AAATTTTGTTAATTTTTGATGTGGTTATAGTTATTTTGTGTTCAAAGAGAAGAAAATCGAAATGAAAAGATAGAAAGGAAAGAAGAGTTGATCAAGAAAGATCGATAGGAAAGAAAAAAGTAAGGAGAGGATCTCACCCAAGACAAGTTGAAGCAAAGTGATCATCCAGCTAGGGCACCTCGGGCTTGCCACACCCGTACTCACAAGATGTGAGCCTCTGAGGGAATTTTGTTTCTATTTTATTGTTTGTCTGTTCTATTGACAGTCTGTCACAGTGACATAAAATGCGTTCTGTCGTTTCTTCTGCATATTTACAAAATCTCTATATGGCTTACAATTCCCAGTTAATAGACCTACAGCTTTACTAACAGAGAAGACTGCTCTGAATATGCCAAAAATGTGTTTCTTCATTTTTGGGATACTTTAAAGTTACTTTAGTACATTTAAAATTGTTCTGTAGAGTACCTTTGAATTTTTATGGTCCAAATGTGAAGCCACTGTTATAAATCCGTACTGTACGGTGAATGTTCAGTATTTCCTAAAATATTTGTTCTTTTCTATTACGTAGAAAAATTATTTGTATTCAGTCTGTTATTGAATGTACAAATGTGTAATTTAATTAATAACTTGTGGTTTATTTTACTTGATTGAACCTCGTATTTCACAACAAAAGTAGAAAAAATTCTTTCTATATCTTTATATTACGACAGCGTACACGTTTTTCACAATTCTGGCTGCCATCAGCAATAAGTGTTTTGGAAGGGACTGGTCCCTTTTTATCTGATTCGGCAAACGGATGGGTAATGGCAGTGATTTTAAACACAAGATTGCCAGTTGACTTTGCAGATATAAAAAGAGTTAAAGGAATATAAAGTAAAAAGCCTACTTTATGAACTTTTCATACATTTAATATATTTTTTTATTTTTGTGTGTTTACTTATTTGTCTGTTTACTTATTTCTCTGTTTTACTACCAACTGTAAATAATCCTAAATTTTATTGGTTTTCTACTAAAATTAAAAAGAAAAACATAATCCCAAGATCAACATATTGCCATTTTCTATAAGACAATGTCCACGTGACAAATTCAACGATATTCACTCCCTTATTTTTGAAATACAATTAAGATACGATTAAAGTTAATCTCTGGCTGGCGCAAGACCAAGAAAAAAAGACTGGATAATTTATCGCCATTTGTATGCTTGGTTACTTTTCTTTTTCCGAGAGCTTTAGTTGGGAATTTTTAAAATCGTTTATTTGCAAATTTATTGCCTCACAGAACGCTGTATATTAATATAAACTTTTTTCTATTTTTCCTGTTATAAAAGCAGGAATAAAAGGAGGTCATAGCTTTAAAGTTTTAATTAAAAACTATTAAAATTAATTTTGTAATTGCTTAATATTATTTTACATCGATTTATGAGTATAAAGTTTAAATAAATAAATAGCAAAAAAAATCTGCATATAATTAGTTATATAACATCAGCAAAACAGACAAATTATGTTTCATTAATTTTGTATCTATATCCTCCTATCAATCCAATTATTTTGATAATCAAATATCCCATTTTAAACAAAAAAACAATGTTTGTTTGGTAACAGCTTGATAACGTTTGATCACTATTTTTCAGGTTCAATTCTTACAAATTATGTTTTTGGAAATTTGTTGTTTATAAATCAGAAACTTCTTTAAAGTATTTCAAGTGGGTGGCAGAACAAACTTTAGGTCTTTACTTAATAATGGTTTATAAATTTCGCTCATTTCCGCCTAAACAGTGAAAAGCATGAAGCCAAAAACATTTCAAGAATGCGTTCTGGTTATACGCTTCCCTGATCGTTAAAATAATTAAGAAATATAAAAAAACATTTAGGTTTAAAATATAAAAATTTATGTTCGACTCTAATAAATTGGCATGAGGAAAATGCATGTTTTTAAATAATGGTTTTAAAAAATAGTTCATATAATTACAAATTGAACAAAAAAACGTTGATATCGGTTAAGAAATGGCTCTAATATAAAATAATTAAATATTGTTAATTTAAATGGCCGGGCAAACGCTCTCTACCGCGCCTTGCCGCTGTGACGTCACCCGCCGTTCTTCTGGTTGAGTGGAGCCAGACGCGTGTTTATTTTACACAGTTTGCTTTTAAACGTTGTTGAATCCGAGTCAAAATTTTAGTTATTTGGGGTAATTAATACATAATTAGTAATTAGTGATATTTATAAATAGTAATGGATGGGCGAAAACAGAAAAAAATGGTCCAAGGCCATGAGAAGAGATGAAAAGAAAAACGTTAAATTATCCTCTATTTTTACGATTTATTGTTGTGAAGATAATTTTGATGTAAGTTCATATATTTATGTATATTGTCTTACATAGGTATATGAAATTTGAATGTACAGGGTTATTCATTATATTTTGACACCCACATATAGCCTTAACTGCAAGTTTTAGAAGAAAACATTATATAAAAAAGTTGCATGGTTTTTCATATACTCTCTTTTAAAATTAATTCTAGATATACAGGGTGTCTCAAAAAAGGTGGTCCAGAAAATTGTAGGTATTTTTCGCTTTTCAACTGTCAATATTTCGTAAACATTTGAAGATAGGTATAGGATATTATACATGAAATATATCTAGAATATCTAGAAACTTCCGAAGAATCCAAAAATATATAGGGTGTTTCGCTGTTTAAAAAGTAACTTAATTTTGGCGTTTGCTTATGGGACACCTTGTATAATATTTTCATTACTGATAAACAATTTATTTCCTATAATTTCTTAAAAAAACAATCTATAAAAATAACAAAGGTAAGGGGGTGTCAATATATAAAAAAACTTTCTTTTTCACGCTATGCTCTGGAGTTACTTTTCCACGTACTAAACAAATATTTTTGTCTCTTTTCACTTCTACATAACCTACAGCATTATCTCCATACGTCTCCCTACCTGATCTGAAAAATAAGTTTATAACATTAATATTTATAACTATATAAAAGTTCGTAACAGTATAGGTACCTACTTATACTTAAATATGCCTCAGTACTACAAAGAATAAATGTTACATACCTCTCTGTTTTTTTCCTCGTAATTCAGCACCAATAGATTGGGAATTTGTATTTATAAAAGCAGCCAACATAAAAGCATCGACTTTTGGCAAGTTATCTGATTGTGCTTTTACAAACCCGGAATCTGCCATTACTTAAAACACACAACACATACAAATAATAACTGCACAAAAAAGCATAAAAAGCTCCTTCAATCAACGCTAAATGCAACAAAAATGTCTTAGTACGCCACCTAAATACGTACATAAACGGAACACGTCTGGCTGCTGCTGGCCATCGCGCGTCGACGAGAACGGCGGGTGACGTCAGACCAATAGAATATCGTTTCAATTCGCAAGGCGTCGTTTGCGTTGTCCATAGTATTTTAATGGCCCGTTTTATAAAATTGTGGTACTGCTTTCAAGAAAAAAGTTTTTTTTTGCATTTACACATATTTATTCTATTAAATTGAACAGTGTCTGGCGAAAAATAAAATATATGCATCTTCCTCATTAATAACTAAAAAACATAAAATTCAACTGAAATGAAATTATAATTATGTTTCATTGCTAGTTGAGAATATTCTGACACAATTCTGAATGACCGACTTTTTGAATAACTATATTAACTATAATACTATAACTAATTAATTGTCACTTTAGATTTGTCTGTATTATTTATCTGAAGGAACAGCCATGTATATTCAACAATTAATGTCAAAAACCCGATAACGAAAGATATATCTGTCTACCATTTTCCAAAAACGATGCACCAATGAACATATAACGACTATATGCTAGACATTTGATCCCCACTATATATTCTGCTTATTAAGGGTTACTATATACTACCAGTCTGTAAAATAAGGATAAGTAATGACAAAGTAATGAGTTATTACATCGTGCAGTGAGCGTACAAATAGAATTTTGCTCTGCGGGGGAGTTCAGATAGGTTTTGAGCACCACTGGCTCCAAAAAGATTAGGCCAGAAAATATAAATTCCAAAATACCGTAAAAACACAATAAAAATTTGAAAAATAATATATTTTTATAATTTTTATCGATTATTTTATAATAAATTTTATATGTTTTCAATGATATATTTTATACTAAAATTTGAGAAATATAATAAGCAAAGAAACGAAAATATTATGCAATTCAAAAATTGACACAAAAAATAAGTAGATATTTACAAAAATTGTTAGATATACAGGGTGAGCCTTAAATAAGTGTAAATATTTTTAGGGGTAGTATATTTCGACCCCAGAAACACGATTATGAGGATTTTTTCACGACATTTTTTTTTAGAAAATATGGAATTCTTTGGATATGTTTTTAGTTAAAAAACATAATTTCTTGATAATATGGCAACATAGTGAGATTACCCGCCTATTTAAAAATAGGCATATTTCGTTAAATTCAATAATCGTGTACATAAATAATTATTATTGATTTTTAAAATATTTGCAAACTAGGGAGATGGAAATCAGACAATAAACAGAAATGATAGGTGTTAGGTAATAGCTTTTAATACTACCGTTCGAGACGCATTGATGTTTTCTTGGTTAGCAAGTTTGGGGGAGGGGTGACAAAGAATGTTATTAAAGGTAAAGTAAATGTTTCCTCATTATTTAACTAGTGTTAACTAAAACATATTATTTTGTTTTCCTGTTGTAATATTCCGTTATAAAGATTTTCCTTATTTATTTGATCTAGCAAAGATAATATATAACATGTGTATGTATTTAATGGATTTCATTTATGGTGTGAATCATTTCAGTTTCATCAATCCTACCAGCCCTGAAAATGTTTGCTTATTGTATACTTATTTAAGACTCACTCTGTATAATTAATTATCTGATTATTCTAATTAGATAATTATTAATATGATAAAATTAATTATTAATAATTCTAATTAATATTCTAATTACATAATAAATTCTAATTGTTTCAGATACGAGCAAGAAAGCAAAGTCCAATTTGTCGTGGATGCAGTGTATGCATTTGCACTTGCACTAGACAGGTTATACAAGGATAAGTGTTACGAATTTGACCAACCAGGGGTTTGCCCAGCCATGACGCAGTATGATGGAGGAGATTTTTATCAGACATACATCCTAAATTTGAATTTTACCGGTAAGTTTTGAAGGAAATGTGTAAAAATAAAAATTTCTCAAAAAAAATTATTTATTGCTGCTCAATTTAAGGATATATATTTCCGGTTGTATCTTTATAGAGTTAAAAAAACTACAAGATTTATCGTGTAGACAACCTATTTTCTGAGTAACCGAAGGGAAATAGAAAAGAGAAATAGGCGAAAATGGGTTAGGGAGACATATTGATATCGGGGTTTCCCAGATATTTTAAGCAAAATATAAAAAAGGGCAATCTCTTCTGGTCATTTGGTGCAGCTGGGTAACTATTTCCCCAGAATAATTTAACACAGCAAACGGAGAATGGCAAACGAAAACGCATTGTTCGTATGGATTCAGATGCATTTAGTATAGTAAAATTATTGCATTTTCAATTTATATTATAGTTACATTTACGAAATTGTTTAATTTAAATTCATGTCACTTAATTGAAATAATAATTCCGTCGAAATCGTATGAGCCTAAATTAAAATAATTATTTTGAAAAATTCGCCTTTCGTGTTCGGCAATACCAAAACATTAATGTGATTTTAATTATATTTTATTTTTAACATTATTTTTAATAAAAACTAAATAAACTAAACATTAACAGTAAGACAAATACCATAAATTTACATTTTAATATTAAGTTTAAAAACACCAAAATGTTACAATTAGGGTAGAACAAAAAACTACAATATAAAACTACAAAAGCCCCGAGAGCGTGTGTTATAATATTTTTTCCTGTGGTTGTTCAATTGCGTTCTGCCCATAATACCAGAAGGACAAAACTGCCAGGATAACAATTGTGCTTATCTAGACGTTCCTTTTTATGTATCTTTATAAGACCTTTTCGGTGTCTTAATATTTTCTATTTCTTCACGTTATGTCTACCTTCTTTATTTTTACGTAAGAAAATAACAGGGCTTTATTACAAATGTAACCCTAAGACCGTTTAGATGTAATTTCCTTTCTGTGGAAAAAGGAAAAAAGTTATATTTTTTACCTATTAGTATCAGGAAATATACAGGGTGATTATCTAATTTAACACCGTACACCTTACACCATAGACATATAATATGAATAAAATAAAACACTAACCACATCGTCCTCTATCGCACGTAATGGCGTAACTGTATTTTAGTAAATTTGTCAAGACAAAACAAAATAAAAGACGTTTTTAATAAATAGGTACCAATCTAAGCATCTTGTTACCTGGTATCAAGCTCCATTATTTTGTTTGGCTGTATCAACAAATATTTTATGACTAATCTAAATTTACTTATTTCTCTGCGGTCTTTACGTTGTATTACAAATTGGATAATAAAAAAATCAAGTTTTGGTTATTTCTACTTCTCCATAGAACAATTTAGTTATGGTTACGATTATCGATTGTATTATGAATAGGTCAGTGAGCAAGCACTAGCTCGAAACTCTGGAACGACAGCAATTTCCAGAAAAAAAACTCCAAAATAGATAATAACGCATTCTCAACGTATTTAACGAAGCCAAATTTTGAGCTATAATTTATTCTTCTATACAAATCACCACTAAATAAAAGTAAAAAAATAATATATCTGGGCGACTATGTTATGGACTGTTTACCATCACTGTTCCGCTATTTTTTAGTGACGATATTCCTATAAGTTTTCACACAAAAAGCTTCCGAATTTCATAAATAACATCCCATATAACACTAAAATACTGGACAATATCTTCCTTCGTTCCTTCTTTCATAACTTCCTCTATAATTTTTCTTTTATAGGCAATTGTCAACAAGTTATTCAGTCTCGAGCTCATTTTTCTAACATAATTGGTACTATAACGAGAAATATAAATGCATCTGCTTGCATGCATATGCATCAGTCTGGGATCATATTATCTGCTGAGATGGATTGAAAAGGATGTATTGAATTATACAGGATGAAGCAACGATAGAGGGAGCTCTTTATCTAATTTGTTTCGAAAATTTCAGGTGTATTAAATAATATAGCTATAGAGAATGCTTGTAGCATCTAACAGAAATATCTTACTCAGACTATAATACAAACATACAAACGTTATACCAGATGTAAAAAAAACAGCTTTAGATTGATGGTAACTTTATTTTATAATAGATTCACCCTCAACATAAAAAATAAGCCTAAAATATATAAAAGTAATTTATTTCGACAAAGTTGTTTACAAAATAACTCGTCATTATCTAGATGATCCACAATCTTATCCAGAAAACAAAATAAGTGTCGATATAACAAAAAATATATATCAAGGCATTCTGAAAAATGAGTGACAATGTCAATATAAATAAAAGAAATATTCATACTTCCCAAATGCAAAATGTTCAATACGCGGAAGTGTGAACATACCGTTGACTACCACTATCCCTCTACATTAGACGAGTAAAAGTCTCTGTCAATATTTTTTCGTAAGCTCGAAGGATTTTATCAAATCGAGATGGATCCTATATCAATCGATAATGTCAATATGTTAGAATCCCACTTAGTTTTAACGTTTGCAGACTTTCCCAGTCACCCAGGATGATCTCTTACTACTCTACTAAGAAATATTATTATATAATAATACTTCAGCTCAACTTTCGTTTAGCTGAAATCAGTTTTTTTACAATTTCAGAAATAGTATGTGACAAACATTTTATGTTTTTTATCTGCGGAAATGCATCCTTTTTGAGTTTTTCAACTTTAGAATTGCTGCAATCAGGGCTATTTTAGTTTAGCCGAAATTAGTTATGTAGAAAATATTTTCCTTTATTTAGTATTTGGAAGCTTTTCCAATTAGTAAGTCACGAAAAAATGTCTGCGAAAATGCACAATTTTCAGTATTTTAACTTTAGAATAGCTGGAACTAGTTATATGAAAAAACGTTTATGTTTTTCATTATAGAAATTTTTCTAAACGTAGACACGTAAAAAACTTCTTGGGTAAGTGTACCATTTTAATTTATTGATAAAATATAGCAAGATTTGAAAAGCACTCGGCAATTGGAATTCGTAGAAAAGCGCGTTTTAGCTTACAGCGTGTTTTGATTGCTTTGGTTTCATTTGGTTTATTGGTTCGTTTTTTCTCGCTACGGTATTGATGTCTAAATTACAGTAGGTAGTGTAATTTAGACATTAATACAATAGGTTGGGTTCATACCTACACAAGAAAAGTTTTTAGAACGTAAAGCAGGAATATGTTTTCATGTAACTGATTTCAGTTATTTTAAAGTCGGAAAAAAGAGAATGATGGATTTCCGCAGAGAAATATTTATGATTTTGTGTTTGGGAAGGCTTCTATATACTGGATGTTTTGTTGTTTTGGTATAAGTGAGATATCAGCTAAAAAAATCACTAATAGTAATTAATAATTTCCATTGAGATTTCTACAAAACAAGTAAATATAATAATTTAAAAATGTAGTTAAAACAAAAATAACTCAATAAAATGAAAGGACAGCTTTATTTTTTCGTGTGCTTAATTGAGGGGTAAACTTTGTGAAACGAATAAAGCAATAAAGCGTTTTTTTTATATTTCCAAGCCGGTCCAAAACCTTTAATATCGGATTTTTATCTGTGTTCCAGATTTGGTTGGCAGCCCTGTTAAATTTGATAAAAGCGGCGATGGTCTTGCCCGCTACGATATCCTAAATTATCAGCGTTTACCCAATTCGTCAGGTTATCATTATAAGGTAAGGAATTAAATAGCCTTTAGATCCTTTTCTGATTAAATTTAGGCCCCATTCTTAATTTTATTACCGTCAAATTGATCATTAATTTTAAAATTGATTCAAAATACAGTATCGGCCAATGATATTTACGTCTTAATACAACATTTCCAATCTCCAAAGGTATTCAGATTAAATCATGTGAACAAATGATGTTTTGTTTATAATTACATAGCACCTATGTGCCGTTATTATTTGATATTGGATTTATTAAGATCTGTCTAGCTGTAGCTGTGTAAAAAATGTTAGTATCTTCTTCAAAAGAGAATATCTCCAACAAAATAAAGCTATTGAGATGAATGAAAAAAACAAAAACTATCGAGAAAGGATGTACCTAAATAACAAAATACATCAAAACTTTAAGGTGCCCGATTTTCGTACCTGTGATCATAGAAATAAGGAAATAACTATCATAATTTAATATATTATGGGAATTTTTTTGTCATTCCTAAAGCCAACGTGACTACCTATTTTTTTAGAACTAAATACGTTGAGTCGCATACTTTTTAAACATTATTTACTAAACATAAAATTGTTATTTCTATTAATAAAATAAATTAAAAAAGGCAAAATAGTTACGAAAGAATTTTTTAATTAAAATTTTCATTGTATTGCATCAAATAAAGTTATGATTGCTTATTAAAATAGAATTTCACTTAGGGCACTTCACAATTTAATTTGAGTAAAAACTGCACCTTGTTCACATTAATTTCAAAAGCAATATTAATTTACAGATAGGGCAAAAAAGATCCGGATTTGGATTTTAATCGAGATAAATATAGATAGAGAGTAATACAGCTTAATGAAAACGAAAATATCGTTACATGCAACAATGCGACATGCAGATATTATTACTGACTGGTAATCATCAAAAATTAGTCAGTAACTACATTTTCGGCTTTCGAAAACTAATTAAATTCGTCTTCCGCTTTTGGAAATTGCGATGCGCCCCAGTTTATTATTTTTTTCCCTGATAGAGATCGATTGGCATCGGGGATTATTTTTCTTTTCCTCTGTTATCGTATCGACTGTACAAACTTTATTAGTATTAAATACAATAACAGTTTTATAAAAAAAATCATCATTAGTTATGTCAAACGCTTATTTAACAGAGAGAAAAAAATGGTTCATAATTCGCAAAATCCCGAAATAACAGAAGAAAAATTTCCTCTAGTACCATTTCTCACACTGTCATAATTTACAGTGTTTTGTCTTATCTGCACACCAGCCTAAATGAAGACAGATTTCATACAGCCAAAAAAATCACACGATTACAGCATGAGTAGAAAAATCGGCCAATCCATTTTAAAACCGTTTATTAAGAACTGCAAAAGTTTTTCGCTTGGAAACGCTAAAACCAAGAACAAGTTTCAATGAATTTGAAAACTCAACTTGTGATTTTATTGGCGTTAATAGAAGTTCTCGAGTAAGTTAAAGCTTAAGACATTTTTTTTTCATTTAATTACTTTTCTTGTAGTTTCAATCTATTGAAGCTGTTGACATATTTGCAATACAAGAGCTCAATAAGTTTAAAAATTGTCAACATATAAAAAAGGACATGCCATTAATTACAAAATAAAATCTTTAATAAGTTCTAAAAAAATCTCGCATGAGCCTGAAGCTTCAAAAAAGCAATATGTCACGCCAAAATATAAAAATATATGTATGAGAAAACATATTTAGAATTCTAAAAGAATTTTTCGGGGTTGATAATAAATATGACTAGAGATAGGCATATTATATTTATTGTATGCTTATCTTGCTAGTTCCCAAAAAATAGACTTTAGGCACTAGAGGGAAATTTATTTCTAAGCCTTATCAGTAGATTTGTTACCCCGTTTACAACATTCCCCTTAAAAGTTTTGTTAATAAATTATACTACGAAATTTTAATGCTTAACTTATTTATAATAACGTAATATTTACAACAACGCAAATTAGTGATGAACAAGACTGGTCTTGCACAAAAAAACAAGACCAGTGCTAAGACTAGCCCTGAATCCAGCATGAAAGACTCTAGTAGTACTTTTAAAAGTCCTCGTATTTTTTTTAAGTTTCATATTACTTGAAAAACTATTTTAAAGATTTTCTATGGAGAAATTCTTCAGAGGTCAGTCCCTCAACAAGAACAAGACTGATCCCTGCAAGCCCAAAACCAAGCCTATATCTTATTAGACTTGCATTTGCTCATCACGAGTAATAAATTATAACACCCTTGTAATCTAAATTGACTATAATAAAACGTTTCTATTTGTCTCAGCTAATCTCTGAAACGACTGAACCAATTTCAACAAAATTTTCACCAAAAGAAGATTATTGCGGGAATGTTTCACGCTACATTTTTATTTTTGTCTATTTGTGATTCGTGCCACGGCATATTATGTTTATTTATAGTTTTCCTGTCGAACAAAGTCGAACCTAATCGCCAGTATTAAGTAAAACACAAATGATTTATCGAACACGATAAATCTGCTAAAAGTAATCCCATTAGTTTCCTGTGTCAAATAAAAATGGCCCAAATTATATTTTACATTGCCACTGGCGGTTCTAGATGAAAAATCGAACGAAGTTTTGAGTTTTACACCTTATGATGATAAATACGATATTGGAGATTTTGTCATAGATTTTATTTGGTCAATTTTAAGTTAATGTCGTTAATGATACGTTCTGCTATACTGTCTAAATGTTATTTATTCATAGAACGATAAATTTATAATTGGTTTTATTATAATCAAATGAAATAAATGCGAATATCCGACACTTTCGTAGAAGAAAACGGTTTTTAAAATAGATGGAAATCTCAATAACAAATTCAATATTCTTTTCAGGTTGTCGGTAAATGGTTCAACTTCCTGGAATTAAATCAGGAGTTCTTAATATTCGATCATAATCTAACTACGACTCCGGTTTCTGCTTGCTCGCTCCCTTGTGAAGTTGGAATGATAAAAAAGCAACAAGTAAGTATTCAATCGTATTACCTTTTTATTTATATTATACGGCTTTTATGACATTTTATTAACTCTTATCGAAATATTTAAAAATTATTACAAAATACATCACGCCAAATGTGGAAGTTATAATTAGTGATAAGCGATATATCAGAAACTGTGATTTTAATCATTGATATAAAAAAAAATTGGTCAAGTGCGAGTCGGACTCGCGCACGAAGGGTTCCGTACCATTCATTATCTATACTACATTGGACACTATATTATTATAAACTTTTTTTCCGATTTAGCTGAAATGTTGAATGCGCGTATAAGTAATTTAAAAAAAAATGAAGAAACACATTACTAAAAATTGTATTAATCAATAATAAATATGTAAAAATTAAAGATAAATATGTAAAAATTAAAAAAAAACGATTAAAAAAAGTCGCCTTGACTAGGATTCGAACCTGCCTTACTACGGGTCCAACGTCATAGCAACGTAAAGTCCTAGCGCTTTAAACCACGCGGCCACCGAGGACTTGAAAGATTCTATGTAAAATTCAAAATTCTTACTTAAAATATAATGTTTAGTGAAAGTATTTTTTTATTTATAAACATTTATGTAACTGTTTTTAGTATTTGTTCTGATAGCGGCAACATAGATACATTATCTGTAAAAATTTCAACTGTCTAGCTATAACGGTTCATAAGATAGACCTTTGTGACAGACGGATGGACGGACGGACAGCGAAGTCTTAGTAATAGGGTTCCCGTTTTTACCCTTTGGGTACGGAACCCTAAAAATCACGTGAAAGTAACTGATGTGATCACGGTGACTTAATCACGACTTTTGGTAACAGCGTTTTTCGTAGTAACAGTGATCACATCATGTTATTAACTCACTTATATTAAAAAATCACGGCATCGCTTCATCCCTAAGTTATAATACAGCTTTGATATTAAAATATTTTTAAATAAACTAACAATACGAAAACTCCCGTGAGTCGTCTTTCGGAGGAACAAGTCTATTTCCCGGCCATTTTGAACGCGAAATCACGTAGTCGCTGGAGATTGTAGTCAAAATGTATATTGCGGTAACACAGCGATTTCTATCCCCAGTAGGCCACTGTCCACCTAATATTATGGATAAAACTTTCCTATGGCGAGCGAACTATGCATTCCTGCTGATGTTAGTGCAAATGGCGTTATTTCAAACATTTTACAGAGAAGTTTTTTTCTAAAGAAAGAAAGAGAACTACAATTAACTCTAATTAGAAATATTTAAAGCTAATAGTTATAGTTAATCTGATCTTAATCACAGTTATTTATTTAGAATATAAGATAATTATTTATTCCAAGTTAAAGCCCTGTATAATTTCAAAAAAATTCTAAAAACTTTTCTATTAAAATTTTATAAATTCCCTGTAAATTTTTACTCACGTAAATCCCTAAAAATTTAATTATTTAATAATAAGAAACACAATTAAAAACGGTATAATAAACACATTTAATGCCACGCCAGTTAATCAGGAGCACTTTAGAAAATTACTGAAGCAATTGTAAATTTAAAGACGGATCTATAAAAAACGAAACCCAATCCGAAAAAAGTCACACATACAGGGTCAAATGATAAATTGCTGTGGACCCCTTAATACGGGATGCGGCACATAGATTTACGATTTGATTTACACTTCCATACCTTTTTAAATTACGTGATTCTGTTCCAGCATAACAAATATAAATAAAATCGAAGTGTACGATTGTGATTTCAAAATAAAGGTTTTTCCTTAAACGGTATGGTAAGTTGCACATAAAAACTGTAGACAAAACCATAAAAAGGGAAAAAAACGTGTGGCTTTATACATTTTGTCCTTATAACATTTTACTAAAAAAACAGTCATACAAAAGACAACATGAAGCTCAGAGAAAACTTAAGTCTTATCTTGATTTAAATCATTTTAATGACTTAGTTTAAAGTCATTTTTCGAAAGCTGCCTTAAGCCTTAATATTTAAGTAATTTTCAAAATGATTTGTGATTTCAATCTTTATTTATACACTTATCAATTGAAAAATATTAAATCATAAAAAAAATTTTTTCGGTTAGATAGATTTAAATAGTTAATAATAGTAAAATTTAAGTCTTTTTAAAACTTGTTTTAAGACTTGTTGCAGCTCTGATTGAAAGCAATTTCATTCATCTTTATTATTGTAACAAGCATAATAAACATTTAACTGTAGAGTTCAAAAAGGGTTATCTCTTAAGTATTTCTTGTAACAAAAAAAAATATCTTGTAGCCTGATAGAATTTATAAAGTCCTCTATATTATTTCAATATCATAATTTAAAACGTTCTGGTTATTTCTGTGGTTATTTAAGAATACTTTGTAACAAGAAATATTTCGTTTTTATACCAAAATATTTGGATATTTTCGTCAAAGAGTAAAATAATATAAAGGGTAGGAATTTCTTTGATCTTTTGAGATAAGTTGTTTTTCTAATCTGTACCCTCTTGAATTTATTAAATTTTGACATTGTTTTGATTAGATTGGAATGTTACATTTGAAGAAAATATTTTCTTAGTCTATTATTTTTTAAATGAACGAAATTATTCATCATAATATCGTCCTATTGCTGCCAAAAGTCACTAACTAACATTTTTCCGAACAACCAAATTCAATCACTAACTATGTTTTGAAACGGAGAATCGATTGCAAAAGTCATTAACTACGATTTCTGGCTATTTATGTTTTAGTTTAATACCGAATAGTTACTAACTATAACATCTTCATGCAATGCAATTCATTTTTAGACGCATTTTTCTCGGAAGTAATAAAAAGTAAGTTAGTGACTTTTGGCAGCAATGGGACGATATAATCCATTGGAGAATGCCTAAAAATATAAAACCATTATTTCTTTAGATAGAAAAAAAATATTTTAATCGCCAATGTTGAAATAATATAAAAGCCATACATTTTTATGGTTCTTGCTATAGTGTAGTAAGTAATCTCTGGAGGTTGTTACATTATCATTATGACTGTTAACCCTGCTATAAAATTTAACAGCACGAGAAAGTTTGTTATGATTTACTGATGTGTAGTGGAGGCAACCTCACATTACACTTACGGGGAAGTTTAACTGTAAAATTGTGGTTTATACTTGGCCACAAACTACATTATGTTATATCCGAAGTTTGTTAATCTTTAGTCGAGAAACTGACAACCTCAAAATCAAATTAGTTTACTAAAATATAGGGTGTATTAAACAAGCTCAAAATGTCTAGTTGCCGCACATATTCTCTGGTTAAAAATAATAAATATAAAAACTTTATTATATGAATAGAGAGAATATAAATATACAGGATGAGTCTTAAATAAGTGCATATATTTTCAGGGCTGGTAGATCTCGATAAAAGAAACATATTTTCTCTTTACCGTTTTTCAAGTAAGCCCAAAATAACCGAGCTACTTTGCTTTGAAAATTTAAAAAAAAATATATATATATTTTTCTTAAATTTTGAGAGTGGTTCTCAAAACATTATATTTTCTGGGTTTTCTTTCTTGTAAATTTAATCTACTACCTATGTTGTCATATTAGCAAGAAATTATGTTTTTTAATTAAAAACAAAAAAAAATCCAAATTTTCGAAAAAAAATTTCGCGAAAAGAAAATTATAATCGTGTTACTGGTGTCGAAATACCCCAAAAATATTTACATTTATTTATGACTCACCCTGTATATATCAAAAAATGGCGGTATCAATTGAAAATATCGAAGTTTTTTTATTTTTAATCGGGATATCTCACTGCCAAACAATGATATGCAAAAAAACTCCGAGTTCTCTAGAAACTTTTAATGTAAGCTCAGTCTGAGACACCCTGTATATAAAATGAAAATTGCCTGAAAATGTTAAATAATTATATTATATTTGGGAAGTCAGGTTTTAACACCAAAAGTGTAAGTTATGTGTTGTAATATATGCAATGGCTTTGAGCATCGAGCCATGAACTAATTATTGCTCTTGTTTTCTGCATATTAATTATTATTGGAATTATGGAAATTTTGGCGTAATTTATAATATAATTGGACATAACAAAAGCATCGGTTTTAATTCCAGTTATTAGCACATATTAATAGCTAATGATGCATTTTATTTTATTAAATGTAAACGTGTAATGTTTAAACGGATACGCCTAATTTTAAAAAGTCAATTTCTTTATGGCCAAAATAAGAAAAACTATTTTTATAAAACGTCTAGACTTTTATCGTGTCTTGACACATATCCGTATTTTCAACATTTTATACATGCGTTATGCAAATGTTTGAATTGGAAAGAACATATTGTTTAGCATTGGCTGGAAAAATATTTCCATGTACTAGTTTTGCGTTTAAAACAATGCAATTCGTAAAAAGCATCGACGAAATAGGGTTTACATAAAAATTGCTTCTTGGAGAAAGATGGAAAACATAAAAATACAAAAGAAAAACCCCAACATTTTTTAAAGCTTCCCCGACTATATTTTCTGCGTTACGTTAAAAGTTCAAAAGTTATGAATAAGAAAAATATTATGGTAATATTTAAGTAAAAATTATTCCAGTTTTATTTATTACACTATTATTTTAAAAAGCAGTAAATAAAACAATAATATATATAGTAAGATACGCACAATATACAGGAACAAGAAATTTGATTTAACACCTTTTCGCATTTCCATCATCTGAGATATTGAACTGCCTCGGACTAATATATCACTCTGTATCGTGCAGTTTTTCTGTGACACTCTATAGATCGATCGTATGAGAGGGTAAAGTTAATCACCGCGACCTTATAGTGAACCTTGTATCTATCGTGTCTCCCTTTTTTGACTTATAACTCATCATACAGTCCCAGGGCTTTGACAAAAGCCAGTAACTGAGACGGTTTTACAGAGGGTAGTTCTCCATCTCCTATATCAGTCGTGCCAAAGTCTATGGCACGAATGGTTGCCGTCTCGGCGCACTCATGAGGGGTTCTGGTGTTTCCATATTCTCCCCACAGAATCTTTAAATTTATTAGCTTCAATCTACTGAGTGAGGTATTCATTGAGGACACAGTATCTTATTAAAAACCCCGTGACAATACAAAGATTGTTCTTACTTAAATCAAGGAAAATCTTTGATTTTTATCGATCGTAAGGCTTCTTGGAAGAACTTGGAAGACTCCGTTCTTACCGATGGAGCCTTCCAAGTTCTTGAGTTCCGCTTTTAATTGGTTTCCATTTGGGAAGCAGAACGGTTCTAGTCCAGTTAGTGGAGTGTTTGGTCCTTTTCTAGCTAGATCATTTGCTTTCTCATTACCCTTTATCTGTTGGTGTGCTGGCACCGAAAGTAGAAGGACTTTTTAAGTAGGTTTCCATTTCTTAATTTGTTCAGCTTCTCTAGGCATTCTTTAACCAACTTAGAATTGACAGACCTTCTTCTTAAGGTGCCGTGCAGATTCCTGCGTAGGCGTTCATCTTTTTCTTCCTCATTAGATGGTTCTATTAACTGCCGCGACTTGGAGTGCTTGGAAGTCTTGTATGCCTGTCCAATGACGAATATTTCTAAGCCAGGATAGCTTCCTTCGTCCTATCCCCCTTTTGCCCCCCTCTATTTTACCCTGGAGAATCAGACGCTGAAAGTGATAGCGTTCTCCACGTAGTATGTGTCCCAAATAGGCTATTTTCCTCTTCTTGATGATTTCGAAGAGTTCACGTTGTTCCAGACCAGCTCTTTTGAGAATGTCTTCATTCCTAACACGGTCGACCCAGGGCACTCTTAGCATTCGTCGTAGGGTCCACATTTCGAAGGCTTCAATTCGGTTTATTGTTGCTACCTTCAGTGTCCATGCTTCCACACCATATAACAAAACGAACCAGACATAGCACTTCACCATTCTATATCTAAGGCCGAAGTCAAATTCCTATCTGTGAGAAATCTTCGCAGTCTCAGAAAAGTAGATCTTGCTTATTCGATCCTGCACTTGATCTCCTGATCCGGATCCCACGTTTCGTTAACCATGCATCCCAAATATTTAAATTGTGTGACCTGCTTGATGACCTCTCCATTTAAGTAAATTCTGGGGTTCGGAATATTGTTTCTGCTAACAGCCATAAATTTAGTGTTTGTAGTATTTATGTTTAAACCCAGTCTTTGACTTTCACTGTTAACCTTATTTAGAAGGATTTGGAGATCATTTGCATTGTCTGCCAATATCACTGTGTCATCCGCATATCGGATATTATTAATTGGAATACCATTTTTTTTCAAACCAATGGGACTATCGGAGATTGACTCAGTGAATGCTCTTTCCACATATAAATTGAACAACATTGGAGATAGAATACACCCTTGCCTTACCCCCTTTTTTATTTCAAAATCTTCTGTTACTCCCACGTTATGTATACGAATTTCAGCTTTTTGGTTCCAATACAAATTACTGATGAGCCTTACATCTTCTCCATCAAGTCCCAAGTCTCTGAGGTATGATATAAGGAGGTTATGTTTAACGTTATCGAACGCCTTTTCATAGTCTATAAAGCACATGAAGACATCTTTTCTCTGATCTTGGCAATTCTGTACTAAAGTTTGAAGACTGAATATGGCTTCTCTAGTACCAAAGCCGTTCTTAAATCCAAATTGACTTTCTCCACTTACTTCCTCACATTTTTTGTAGAGTCTTGTATGCAGTACCCGTAAAAAGAGCTTAAGAAAGTGGCTCATTAGACTAATAAGACGATACTCTTTACACGAAGTTACGTTACTTGACTTGCGCAGCGTGATAAACGTAGAATGAAGCCAGTCTTCAGGGATGTGGCCGGTGTCATAGATGTTATTAAAAAGCTGTACTATAGTTTTTAAGTTTTGTTCATTAATTAAGTGGAACGTTTCCGAATACATATCATCAGGCCCTGAAGTTTTGTCGCTTTTCATTAATCTAATCGCATGAATAATTTCACTTTCCAATATGCTTGGTCCTGATGGCATGGAAATCTCAGTTGCAGAGTTTTCTGATCTTTCGTCTTTGAAAAGATTAATGGTATAATTTCTCCAAGTTTGCAATAGTTCTTCTGTTTCTGTTATAATTTTATTTTCATCAGTTTTAATTAGGGTTATTGATTTATTATGGTGTAACCCAGCTATCTCTTTCACTTTCTTGTGAACATCTGAAGTCTCCAAGGTGACTGAGATTTTCGGCCTCTATACATCTCTCCTTCAACCATGTCTCTTTTGCCGTTCTTATTTGATTACGAATTTTTCTTTGCATAGATTTATATTCGTTGTGATTATTCTGGATTGTAAATTGTCTTCGTTGTTCCATCATTTTTAAAATATCTTCATTCATCCACTCGTTTTTCGCTGTTGTTTGATTAGCCGTGACAGGCCAATAGAATGAAAATAACGACCAGCATCATGATTCATAAAATTTGTAATAATATTGAAAACTATTATTTAAACCACAGCAACTACTACACTTGAAATGTAATAAAGATAGTGGAAGCTTTGAATTAAAAAAAGCATAGAGAAAATAGTATATCCCATCATGATCCTAATCACCAACTACTGTTAAAGGGTTTTATTTAATAAATATCAAATTAAAGTGTCTGTATCTATATCTATTGTTCCAGGGCGACACGTGCTGCTGGATATGCGACAAATGCGAAGAATACGAATACGTTTTTGACGAGTTTACTTGCAGCGACTGCGGTCCAGGTTATTGGCCATATCCTGATAAAACGTCCTGTTATCAACTGGAGCTACAATATATGCGCTGGGATTCCGTTTACGCCATTGTACCCACGGCATTTTCGTGTTTGGGAATTGTTGGAACTTTTGCGGTTATCGGTAAGTTAATTTTTCCTGTCCTGATACAACCGCTTTTGTAGCATATTTATACCCGGTAATAATATTTGACTTATGAGTGAGATCTCAGATATGAGAGCTGATCACAAAGTATCCATATTTATTAACGGATTAAAAAGAGCATATTTCGTACCCCACAAAAACGTCAATGAGTTTTTTAGCGAGAAAAAATATTGTAGCTTTTAATTTTTGTATTAAAAAAACATAATATATCTTGATAATATGGCAACATAATGTTAACATACTTAAATGTACCAATGCAATTGGTATCTTTTTCCAAACAAAGCATATTTATAAAAATTTAAGATAGAAAACATCTCACCGGACAGTAGAAAGAGTAGAAAATCTTACAGGATAACAGAGGGTCATCCCTTACCAATAATTAGGGCTTCGTTGGCACTGAAGAGACAATAAAATCTTTTATAAGAAAAACAACGTATGAGATAACAAAAACAAAGATAACAAAAATATTTTTCGGTTTGGTTTCTAGATCGTAAAAGCGAGAAAATCACACTTTTTACGTGAAGCTCCAGAAAGAAAAATATCTGATGCTGAAGAATAGCTTTTAAAAATCACTTTTACTGTAAAAAGAGTTGAACAATATTTCCAGCCATCTCCTGATTTCTCTTGGTCGATTTAAAAATTGTAGTTGCCACAGAATCGCATTTTTGACGTAAAGCTGCAGTGAGATAAATACATAACGCTACCGAATTGTTCTAAAAAATCACATTTGATTTAAAAATACATACAGAGAAAGAAAATAAATACTAGAAGACATTTCTAAAATAGTTATTACGAATGGAGTTTTTTTGTATTATTACTCAATTGCAATGATGTAACTAAAAAATAAAAAAGTTTTCAAAATCATCACATTTCCATTAACTGCCATTTCTATTATCTTTTAGTAAACTCAGTCGTAATATTTTGTGTAGTACAGATAAATTAATGTAAGTTTTTAAACAGTCCTTCACAGCAAAGGGTTCAAATATAAGATATCGCATCTCATTTATAAACGTCAGTAGGTAAAGGAAGCGTTTTGCCTGCCTTCAGGATATGTACCATTCGCGCTCTCCTTTCTATCTATTATGTTCCAAAACAATAAGCGGAATCTCTTTCTTTGTTTATCAGAACACCCAAGTTGATTAATTAAGTAAACGAATACAAAGCTGGATATGAACTCAGAATTATTCCCTAATCTAGTCGAACTTGTTATCTATATCCTCGCTGCAAGGTCTTTCTCCAATTTTCGAAGAAAGTATTGTTGTGCGTTTCAAGTTTCAATGTTATGGACTATACAGGGTGGTCCGAATTGTATTAGGGAACTTCGGCTGTATATTCTGCAGATAAAAATAAGTAAAAAGTTCGTATAAATGTATGTCTATAAAATGCTTCATTTCAGAGATACAGGCTGTGGAAGTATCAATTTTATTTCGTTTTATTCCTAATAATATCTGAACTGACATCGATATTTGGATGAAAATTGGTGTCTGGGTGTTTTTTCACATGAGATATTTGTTTTGGACCGAGAGACCATGGAAATCAAATAAAACGAAATAAATATGAAACATCTACATCTTGTGTCTCCGAAACAAAGCTCATTTTAGGACATTTTATTTTAGGATCAATTTATACGAACATGTTTACTTATTTTTATCTGCAGAATGTACTGCCGAAGTTTCTCGAATACAATTCGGACCACCTTGTATGTAGGAGTATATCATTCTACTAAAGAATGATATTATTGATTAAAATTGGGAGACCTTATTACCTCAGTAACATAAATTATAAATAAAACTAAAAAATAAATACTTTAATTCTATAGAGAAAAAATCAATAATATATAATGATTATATAATTTAATATTAAATTTGAAGCTCTATCTGTAATGTCACGGTTTTTTTCTGATTGTTTCCTTTTACTATTTCCATTCTGTCGGTTCTTTATTCGAAAATGTGTGTGGGAGAGCTTGTGAATGTAACAGCGATATGATTCGATATGCAATTAATGGGTTTGAAAATCGAATTGGCTATTGTTAGCTGCCAACGTTGGTCATTTTGTACCGTAATAAAGTAATTTATGTAACACACTATTGTCATCTTTTAATAGCTTCTCTTCCATAGCTTCTTCTTTTGTTCCCGTAACAGAATACACTCTAGAAGTTTAATGAGAGCCACTAAAAATACAGGCAGTTTTATTAAACAAAGAAATATTATTCATATTACTGGGTAATTATATTTTTTCTTTCAGGTTTGTTCATCAAGCACAACGATACGCCACTGGTTCGTGCATCGGGTCGTGAGTTAAGCTACATGTTGCTCTTCGGCATATTACTCTGCTACTTAAACACATTCGCGCTACTCGCCAAACCCTCTACCGTGGTATGCATTACTCAAAGATTCGGTGTCGGTGTCGGTTTCTCGATAATCTACGGGGCACTACTCACAAAGACTAACCGTATATCTCGGATATTCGATTCGGCATCGAAATCGGCAAAGAGACCCAGCTACATCAGCCCAAAATCCCAAGTGTGCATCACCTGCTCTTTGATTGCCGTCCAAGTGATACTTACTTTGGTTTGGATGATTATTGAACCACCTGGCACCAGATACTATTATCCTACCAGAAGAACGGTGAGTTTTATTTATTTATATTTTTGGTTACTTATTACTTTACTCTTGCTTCGAAGTTTATATAATGTAAATGTTATACTAAGAGATAATGTACTGAACAAAGAGAGGACAGTGAACACGTTGCCAAACGTATGAAATAAACCGAGAAACTGTGCACATCGCTAAGAGACGTGGAAGGGGATATAGCAGATTTGTCGTATTTGACCGGTCGACCCAATCAATACCTCTGTCAGTACTTAAAGTTCTAGGGAAAGGTGTACATCATGCGTTAAGCTTCACGATTTAATTACGTCTGGTGATACTTGATTTGTTTATTTATTAACGAGTCGTTGTAATTTTCCCTATAGCTTGATTTTTTTAAGTGCAAGCTAGTAACACTTGCATTTTTGGTAAAAATAAGTGGAATTGAGTGGGTGTTCGATAGTGGTCGCGCTATTAGAACTCTGAATTAAAAAATCGATATCTCGAAATATATTTGAAATAATAGATTGTAGTTTTTTCAAGAACTTTGTTAATATTTCTGCTGTATTTTCTTTGTAGACAGTATGTGAAAATCTTTATCAATAAAAAAATTACACGATTGCTGAAAATTGCTATGCTCTAAAAGTAAATGGATGGATTGTTTACAATTTTTGAATGGAAAAAACAACCTTATCGATTTTTTCTTATGTAAACATATTGTAAAATATCCGATCTTGAAAATAAAAAAAGTTTCAATATCTAAAGTGGTTCTTGGGATATGGCCTGTTATGCATTAAAAAGTTGAGTTTTTAAATTATCGCGTTTACTGACGTTTTCTCGTTATAAAAAAAATGACACCCTAACGATATCCTTATAAATCCATTTCAGATGCTGAGAAACATGTCTAATGATTTTATCTAGTTATCTCTTGAAAAAAAAGTCTTTTAAAAATAAGCGGTTTGCGATCGTGATTTTACTTTACTACATAGGGAAAGGCGTATCGGCAACGCCGCAACAGCGCACCGTCGCGCGTCGCGTCGGTCGGTCACATTTGTCTCACTCCGACTTAATAAGATCCCTATGCGATTTACTTCCACACATCTGTGCCACACATGTAAATGCCGACCCAAAAGTAACAGTTGCCAGCACGGTACACCCTCTACGCTATGCGGAAAACAGTCCGAAGCAGGTCAAGGTCGTGTTTCCTCGCCTAACTTTGTGGCATCTCGGCTTATCTTCGGTTGTCTTGGCCTAACTCCGTTTGTCCTGACCTACTTTTATTTCTTAAAAATGCCTCAAGACTACTTGTGAAATTTCGGAGAAAGCCGGGAGGGGATTTTTTTTGGCGACTTTCGGTTGTTTCTTGTTTCGTTCAATTTCGTTTTGTCTCTACTTCCACGACGTGTCGGTATCTAAACCCGAGACAAAGGACTTTTTTCATAAATCTCAGTGAAATAAGTAAACCTAGACGTTTCTAAAATATCTGTTGTACGATATATATTTCTCGTTTACATTTAATTCATTAATTACATCTCGTTTTATGTTGATAATATACGGTATGATCGAAAAAAACGGCGTAAGCGATGGCTATGAAATGAAGATCGCTGTCATTTTATATGGGAAATGTCATCGGTCGTCATTTCCCAGCTAACTGGACGCCGTTTTTTTTTCATCTGTCATACGGTATATTCCACAAGATTAATATTTGAACACGCGTTTATAATATGTATAGTAAATATTTAAGAACACACACAAAACTTTTCACTTAATCTGCATGAATATAATCACAATATTTTTAGTATTTAATTTTATTATAATTAACTAGCATATAAAATTGCATTATGTTGTTTATTTACGGGCTTAATTGATTAATGTAACAGTGGTATTGCTTGATGAGTAATACTGGCAACATCATCAATATATCGAGCTGATTTGGAAAATTATTGATTGACTCGATGTCAACAAAAGTATGGTCCACAAGACGGTCGTTCAAGAAATATTTTGTGAAACATTTCGGCCATACTGTCTTAACATGTACAACGTACAATGTCTTAATTTGGACGTGTGAAGGAAGGGTAAAATGTAAAGTTTATGTCCCGACACATGTAAAAATCATTTTAATTAAAGGATTTTCATTTGTCGAGAATTAAGCCAGATATTTAATGGGTCGCAAGCAATAAAGCAAAGTAAGCACTCTTTATTCCTATATAGCTTCATTTTATATGAACTAAAACAAGTCACGGTGGCGCGAATGAAATGAGCTCCGGGTTTTATTAGTACTTAAAGAAAATGCCAGCAGAAAACAAAAAAGTTCCGTCTGACACTGTATGAGGAATTCCACTTCCTGACGCTATATTTCAGCTTCGTGCTAGATATAAGACGAAACGCAATGTACCAATTTTCTCTTTCCACACTGTTTTAACAAGCCTTACTTAGCTCGTATTTTGCAAGTGTCCCCAACCTTACAGTTGTCTATCTAGGACCCATTCTAATATCTTCATTTTTCATTCCTTCTTCTTAGTCACTTCTCCAAGGCCGTGTTTATGTTGGAACTATGATTTAAATGTAGACTGTAGGGAAGGAGGAAAATTAATCACCGCGACCTTATAGATCTATTGTGTCCCCCTTTCTTGAGTTATAACTGATCATAGTCTCACGGCTTTGACAAAAGCCAGTATCTGAGACGGTTCTACAAAGGTTAGTTCTCAATCTCCAGTATCAATCGTACCAAAGGTTATGGCACGAATGTTTGTCGTCTCAGCGGACTAAATGATGAGGTGTGTGCCATTTTAATAATAAAAAATATATATTTTTCAGCCTTTCTTAAAAAAATATTAAAAATACAAGAACTGTCCTGAAATCAAACATCAAACCTATATTAGGTATTTACTTTAGATGGTCTCTACTTACTTTGCTATAACTTCTCAAAAATAATAATAATATATTCTAAAATATGAAATAACTTTTCTTCGTTTTTTTTAATGGAACACCCTGTACATTATTTTTTCAATAGATGGAGAATTAAAAAATGAACGTTTTTTGTATTTAGAGTATTTCAAAATTTTTAACGGTTTCGCAGATATTCGCGGTTTTATATTTCATATGGCACTTTCCACAGTAAATTTTTATCAAAGCGACCTAATGATTTTTCTCTCGTATTTTACAGTTGAAAGAGCCATATGAAACAATATTGCGTGTATCTGCGGAACCATTAAAATTTTTGAAACACTTTAAATTCAAAAAATGTTGTTTTTTAACTCTCCGTCTAATAAAAAATAATATACAGGATGTTCCATTATAAAAAAACAAAGAGAAATTATTTTATATTTTAAAAGGTTTGGCGTAGAATTTTGAACACCCTGTATGAGATTTAAGATTACAATATTTATAACAAAGTAAATATAGACCATCTAAAGTAAATACCTAATATAGTTTTAACTTCAGGACAGTTCTTGTGTTTGTAATAATTGTTTTAAGGCATGTTGAAAAATATCTATTTTTTATTTATTTATTAAAGTCTCTTAAAATATCGAAATATATTTACTCATATCTTAGGATTATGTAAAGTGATCTGAAAGGAAGCCAAAAATGCAATAATATACAGGATGTTCCTTTTAAAAAAATCATCCCGAACCACTCACACATTTTTGAGCGACCATACAAAAGTTTAAATATTTTCCTGAAATACATCCTCAGAATAAAAAAAAATTCTCAAGTTTTTTTTTTATTCTAGGAGCTACAGATGCTGTGTACCTATAAATTATAAAATACAGACAATAGAACTGGATGTATAAGTTCAGTCTTTCAAATGTCATATAATATAAACACGACGTATATAAAAAATAATTTAATAAAAAATCTATGAATTCCCATAAAAAACAAATATTCTTTGATTTACTTTATCCAAATTTCCACAAGTTTCCCCTCAAAGAAAACTATAAAAGTCGAACAGAACGCAAGCCACAATAATGCAGCCTGAAGGGGTTTATTGTGATTCTCTAGTGTATCTCTTGGTCCCTGGTCAAAAAGGGTTAAAATCCTTATTAGGTCTGAAAGCCTTTTAACCGGCTTTTCATTAGACAATCTTTCTCTCGGATTAAAGGCGCCCAATTTCTAAAATAACTTAAGCAATATTGCAGTCTACTTCAGAATTATTTGAGGGGGATCCTCAACTTAGCATTGTTTATATTGATCAAATAATTATCAATTAATTAAAATAATTTTATTTTTTATGTAGTATGTAAAAGTATGATCATATTTTTCATATTTTATTAAATTGACACTTTTTATGCAAAATTAACCAAACATTTTAGAGTTAATTTAATTAGTAAATATTAAAAAATATATTATGTTTTTTAAAATAAATTTTATACATTCCCTATATTCATTCCTCTTTCAACATGTTTTACAAAAATTTATTCATTAAAATGTTATTGATTCTTTTATTTAACAATAAAAAATGGAACAAAAACAATATTTTAAAAATGTTTTTCGATGAATTCTTCACTAAATATGATTTAGAGCACCGGACACTTATTCCAAATCAAATAAAAATTTCAGTCAAGGAATATTAATTTATTTAAAAATATGTTTTTATATATTTCTTTTAATTAGAATAAAAATGTATCCAGTGAAAGATCATTAGTTTAGAAATTTAATAATAAAAATGGGGAAAACAACAATATTTTAAAAATAAATATGTAACTATAAAATATATCTGTTATAATGTATAAACATATTATTTTCCAATTTTTTTTTTCGTGTTCTTTAACGAAATTTTTGACCTTATTTATTTTATATACTGAACAAAGAAAAAAAAAGGAAATTGCAAATGTACGACTGAAGAAACTTTTTCATGAAAATGTAGTTTTCTTTAATAACAAAATCCAATTTAATTTTTAATTAACAGTTTTTATGGTCTCGACTCAAACTGACATAAATCATAACACCTTTAATTAAAATTATTTTAACTAGTCACCCAGCATGCCTAGTTTACATTCGAACTTTTTCTTGTTCCAGGTTATATTGAAATGCAAAATTCAAGACATGTCGTTCCTGTTTTCCCAACTTTACAATATGCTCCTTATTACTATCTGCACGGTTTACGCGGTAAAAACAAGGAAAATTCCGGAAAATTTTAACGAATCTAAATTCATTGGCTTCACGATGTACACGACCTGTGTTATATGGCTGGCCTTCATCCCCATTTATTTTGGCACTGGAAATGCTTATCAGGTAAGTTTTAGTCTACAATATAGAACTTACGAACATTATTGCAGAACAAAATAAAAGAAAATAGTTAAAACTCTGTTATTATCTCTGTTATTTGGTTAACTGTTAATGTTATTAAAAAAATACGTCTTAAAAACTGTTTCTGTAATGTAGTGATCTTAATTTAAACAATTAAACAATTGTAATAACAGCACAATTTGTATGACAGATTTGCTCACTCCAACCCTGGTAAGTCTTTGTGGGACAGCACTGTGATTTTCATACCTTATTACGTTATTTTTTAGAAGTAACAACTGTGGCAAACTGTTGTTTTGTATTAACAGTTCTAAAATAACAGATTCCTAAATAACGGCAAATTATTTACCAACATATATTTGCCTAAAACAACAGTAAGACCTGTTAATTTCGAAAAATAACAGGTAAAAAAATAACAGTTCCAACTGTTATTTAGAAAAAAAAACTACAAATAAACAAGTATTTTAAAAATAATTTTAAGAAAAACAACATTTAACGATGTAACATGATAAAAGATTCTATATTCACTTTGGGTTCGTCCCCAAAAAATAATAAATTAATTTACTAACGAAATTATGAAAATATTAGCCAACTTTAATTAATATTAAATTATTCAATTTGAAGCTTTAAAAAGGTATTTGTCGCTTTGCTAACATTAATTTAAATACGCAAATGATTTCTTATTTAAAAACTTTGTATTTGCTTATTTGCATTTCTGCTTATCCGTGGAATACTTTTAAGTGCGCTTTTAAATTTCTGAATGCTTTAATTTATTAGAAAGAAGAGAGAAAAAAAAACTGCCCGCTTTTTCCATCTAAATTTTGTATTTTCAGGGCAGTTACTTTATTCATTCTGATGTTGTTATTTTTAAAACCAAATTTTCCAAATAAATACATCAAATAATTATACTTTACTTCATACACAAACCGTGTTTTTCTATTTTCTTATATAAAAACTTATATTTAATAAAACACATAGATTTGCAATAACTGAAAGTTGGAAGATTTGACTGTACCTTTTTTATATAAAAAAATAATAATGTTGTTACGAAAGTCAACTACAAGATATAATGTTTTCATTATTAATCCAATTTTATACAGATATTGAACATATATGCGACAAAAAAATATAGGTTTCAAAAAGGACCGGGATGTTTCAAAGAAAAAATAAAAAAAACAACAGAAAGGTCATTAGTTCGATATGTCCAGACTTTGTGGATTTGCGCTTATTATAACAAATAGAGACATTTGCTGTTTAATACCTGAAGGCAATTAGCGTACTTACCACAGAATACTGTGCCAGTTATTGATCACTTATTTCAATAAATTTGCTGCACTAATGTGAATTTTTCTTAATAACATCATTCATACTCAATTCTCAATTGTATACATCAAATTATTTTTTTTTTATTTTGCCTTTATTTGTCAATTATATTTAATACGAATCTAATATCTGTATATACAGGATGTTAAAATAGTGTACCAAACTTCAGTGGGTGATTATAGTGGTAAAAATGTAAACAAAAAGAGAACCTCTCACCTGTTCTCCGGCAGGGAGAGAAAAAAGCCAGGATGGAAAGCCGCCCAACACCGGGAGGCAAGCAGGGACGTATCACCAGCTTTGCCGCTATGGCTGGACAAGTGAAAATGGCGGTGCTGCCAAAGGATTTCCCAGAAGTTGCTCTGACCACAGACCAGCAAACGGCTGCTCTAGAGGCTATATGGACGAAGTAGTGGCTCGATCGGATCGCAACACAACGATCTACAAAATGTGGGTCAGCTACGTTTTGCGGGGATACACTTTCGGATGGGCATGATCCTCATAGATTGTGTATTTCAAGAATCGGCGAATTGGTTGGTGGAAATCGCACCTAAGCTTAAAAATTGGCAAGGGCCGGAACTGGTTTTAGTGAAGGGAGAAAACATCCCTAAAGGGGCGGCCATAACGGTCTTTCTGCTCACCAAGGGATAGAAGGCAATGAAAAAGCAAATAATCTAGCTAGGAAAGGAGCGAACACTCCACTAACTGGACCAGAACCGTTCTGCTTTCCAAGTGGTAACCAACTCAAGGCGGAACTCAAGAACTTGGAAGATTCCATCCGCAACCTGGAATGGAAATCTTGCAATGGTCTAAGATACTGAAGAAGTTTCTGAGGGCTTATGATCAAAAAAAAATCACAGATCTTCCTGGGTTTAAGTAAGAACAATCTTCGGATTGTCACGGGGTTTTTAACAGGACACTGTCTCCTCAATGAACATCTCAGTAGATTGAAACTAAGAAGAAACGGCGAATGCAGATTCTGTGGGGAAGATGGGTAAACACCAATACACCTCATCACTGAGTGCGCCGAGACGACAACCATTCGTGCCATGAATTTTGGTACGACTGATATTGGAGATGGAGAACTACCCTCTATAAAACCGTCCCAGATACTGGCTTTTGTCAAAGCCCTGGGACTGTATGATGAGTTATGATTCAAGAAAGGGGGACACAATGGATCTGTAAGGTCGAAGTGATTAACCCCCCTCCCACTCATTCTAAATTCTAAATTCTAAACGGTCTTTCTGCCGAGGAGCAAGGAGAAAGACGCCACCTACCTACTGAGCCTTATCCAAGGTCAGAACTTCAATGTAAAGACTGGCGAGTCATCAACTCGAGGGAGGCGGGTCATGGTCAGGTCACAATAGGAATTGACCTCAAATCCAAGGAGGCAATAGAGAAAGAGGAACATATCCTCTATTATAGATACGGGAAACACCGGTTTTAGGTCTAAGGAGAGACCAAGTTAAAGAAGTGGAGAAAATGGAGACTGATCCTCCAGCCTCCACCTCACGGGTTCCTCAGCCGGAGGCAAGCTCCTCGACTGTGAAGAGTGGCACCACGGAGGGCCAAACTCCAACCGTGAAAGGGTGTGTACCCTCGGAGGAGGGTACCCCCCCCCCTCTTACTCATTCTACATTCTACAAACAAAAAGTTCCTATGAATATAAATATACCCTAAAATCATGGTACAAAAAATACAAGGTATGATATTGCGCAGGTTGTTCGCTACGTCACAGGTGATAACAGGCGCTATTGGTCAGCACGCTCCGAGCGCCAGTTCAAATCGTCAAGATATTGTTATAAACCTGTTTTTTTGTTTATATACCGTCACTGAATTATCGCTAAGCAAGTTACTGTGGAGCAGTGCGTAAGGAGTCGGGCTAGGAAGCGAGAGATCTCGGCCGGGACGTAACTTTTTATTTATTTTTTTAAATACTGTTGTATTCTATAGTTTATTTTTGTAGTATAAAAAAAGAACTATTTATTCTGTGATTTTTTAATCTCCGGTATTAATATAAATTAATTGTTGGTACAATACCTCATTTACTATAAAATAATATTCTACTTTTTGAAATGTATCGGGCCCTAATTGTACCTAAAAGTAAAATATATTTTTAGTGATATACCATATTGTAAACTATTTAATATTTCAGTCACTTAAAAAGTTAATTTGCATTGAATAATTGCCTACCATTAAAGGAAATTTGAGCTATATAATCCTTGATGGGCATCTTCCTCTAAATTTTGGGTTTCGTTCAACCGATTTATTCTCAAAACCTGAAACATCTACATATAAAAAGAAACACAGGTCACTAATTATAATAAACTTCACCCTTGGAATTACTTCCACTAATTATAATAAACTTCACCCTTGGAATTACTTCTATCACAATTACAATACATTCATCTGCATTGGCATTTTCTACTGTTCGATGGGAAACAATAAACTTTCCAACATTTTTTAAATGATGTAACAATTCCTCTTGTGGTTACTTTTCCATAGATATCCTCATCTCTGTCCTCATGTGAATTCAGAGGCAATGAACATAAAAAAATTATTTACCATAAACATCGCAAACTAAAAACCTAATAAACAATTTTATACCGAATATAGAAATAAATTTAGTATTCTTACCTATTATCGTCCAAATCCATGTTAATAGATAATTATTATTTTAAATGTATTTTTTAGAACTGATGGTTTTAGTAATTATTAAATTAAACGAACTAAAAAGTCTTAAAAATAAACAATTCTTAACCATAACCCCAAAAAATACAGATCTCCTGTCAACTTTCTTTATTTTTTATTTATTCATTATTTTCCTAGTGACGTCACAGGTGGTATGCGCGAACTGAACGAAATTGGAGCCGCTATCGATCATGCCTTGTATTCTTTGTACCATGCCCTAAAATGTTTCCCAAGGAAATTACAGCCCTTGAGAAGGGAGTTAATAAATAATATTGTTATTTGGTATATTCTTAAGAGCATTGGTAAATCGTTTCTTGTAAAATTTAGTATTTTTACACACATTTTAATGCCATAGCAGATGGATATTATGGATTAGAGCAAATTTTGATATAAACTTTTCCCTGAAGTTTCGTACACTATTTCTTTTACACCCTGTATACTAACAAAAATATGTTTCTTTTTTTTGTCGTGTTATTCGGATACCCTATGGATATTTATCAAGTCGTACTCAAAAACAAAGGAAGTTGACCATCTAGTACTAAATAAGCTGTGGTATTAAAAGTAACCCGTAATAAAAAAAATATCATCAAAAGAAATCATAAATTATTTTTATTATTAACTATAGGGTGGAATAAAAAAATCTATATTACTTTATTTAAGCATACATCTGTATCAGTTTAGTAAAAGAATAGAGCTAATCCTGTAAAGTTCGGTCCCTCTATCTTTCAAATGTTGCCGAAAACAGTAAAGAATTTAAACGGATTGTGAAAAACGTTGATGCCCTATGTAGATAAGATATTTTTACAGTTGACGCGTGATTTTATTTATCGTGATTCGGGCGGAATATAAGAGGGTCCCATAGAAAATCCACACAACTTTTCAAAAAGGCCACTTTATCCATCTGAAAATTGTTGTGTAAGAGGGCATTATTATACAGGGAAAAGTATTGTGGGTCCAATTTTTTATTTAACTTTAGCGAGATATTCTAAGGGGGACAATAATTTTGAAATAACACCAAGTTAATAAAATATTTTATTATATATATATATATATATATATATATATATATATATATATATATATATATATATATATATATATATATATATATATATATATATATATATATATATATATATATATATATATATATATATATATATATATTTCCGGTGTTTACAATATTTAAACATTTAAAACATGTGAAAATTAAATAACACAAAGAATTTAAAAACCATGTTATCATCAAGATGCATCTTTTCTTGAATGCCTTTATTTATTTTTTGGGGATACCTATTTGATTTTGAAAAATAGTAACAATTTACAGCAATAATTTTAGCATCAAAAGCTAAAACTGTAAATTTATTGTGTCCTATTATGCTGTTGTGGTAAAACATAATCTTAACTAGATCAAATCTTCCAATTTAATGGAATATATGTGTTATACTCGGTTCTATTTTTTGTTCGTGGCAGCTTTATCAGTAAACAGTTTTAGGTTTCACAGCGGATGATGGTTTGTCTTTATAAGAGCTATCGAACGAATACGCCATCATTTTGCAGTTATTTTTCAAAAATGGCAAAGAAAATATTTAATTTAGACTTTCACGAGCAGAATAATGCTTCATCTAAATAAGTGTGACGATTTCTGTGGATATTTTTGTTTATTTTTTATGATTTATTTGTTGTATCGCTTTGCTTCAATAAGAAAAAAAACCTAACGTGAAATATTATTTTCTAGCAAGAGTTTTGAGTATCTCCTCTAGTTTTTCAGTATATTTTCTGTGTATAAAAGCGAAAATGACTAGCTGCCAATGAATAAGCTGTTACGAAAGTATAGACATTAATTAAAATACATCTATGTAATTTTGACTCACTTATATATTTACGCAGATACGTACTTAGAAATTATAAATAAATACCCGGTGCGTCTAAAAAGTGGCTCACCCCTAAAACTTTTTTATTTTTTTAGATAAAACAACGAGATTTAGTAGGCTACTATATTATGACATGAATTAAGATTGACATACTCAATTGTTTTCGGTCACTTCCTGTTTCACCGGAAATGACTAAAACTTTTGAATTTTAAATGGCACCTTCGGTATTTGGTTTGGTTTTTTACTTTATTCGATAGAAAATGACACTCTGAATAGAATGTCATATCATATGTCAACTTTTGACATTTTCGCGTATGGTTTATTTGAAATTGTAACCTGCAGTTCATAACGACAATTTGACTCGAAATACCAAGTGTGTGGTATCAAATTATTTGTAAAAAATACCTTTTCCAAATATGCTGATAAGCCACCCTCGTTCCGTTTGAAAAAATTGAGATGTGATTAAAAATACGATTTGGGCATCTTTTAACCGGCCAAAACAAGACACTAAAAACATTAGACGATCAAATTTTTCCAAGGCTCCTGGATTGAAAATTAGTGTTTTTAAAACAGCCATGGTACTCTAGATTGAAGTTTAAAATACAATTTGTTTTTGAGCGAATATGTCAAAAGTCGACATATGATATGTCATTCGATTCAGAGTGTCATTTTCTATCGAATCAAGTAAAAAAATACCGAGGGTGCCATTTAAATATCAAAAGTTGTAATCATTTCCGGTGAAACAGTGACAACAAGTGACCGAAAACAGTTGAATACGTCAATCAATCCTAATTTATGTCATATACTAACATACCAAATCTCATTTTTTTATCTGAAAAAATAAAAAAGTTATAGGGGGTGAGCCAATTTTGAGACGCACCCGGTATTGAACTGAAAACTTAATTTGGTAATTTTTAAAATTACTAATCTATTTTTGATCATATTTTTCTACCGTATGTTTAAAGACCTAAATATATAGGATCTAGATATATTATAGGATCATTTTTCCAGATATAAATAAAGCTGTCAATTTCTTTTACAGACACAAATCACTACGCTATGTGTGGCCACCAGTATGAATGCCACCGTTGCCCTTGTGTGCTTGTATTCGCCCAAAGTCTACATCATTGTATTCCATCCGGACAAAAACGTCAGGAAGTTGACAATGAATAGTGCAGCCTATAAGAAATATAACGCCCAACCATCAACTTCTTATGCTACGTCATCTATTTCAACTAGGGGTAAGAATTTTCAATATTTAATCTAGCATATTCCAAGTTTTTATATCACTTTCATTTTTTACTATTTTTAAAAATCCCTTAATCTAAAAAAAATACAAAAAAGAATCTAAAATACATATAACTCCACTTTAATTTATTTCCAATATTTAGATTCTTCAGTGTTTGCGTCAATAAACTTAAAAAGGGATGACAATGGAGTTCGGCCATAGGGTTCTAACTTTATTTACTATTAATACTTGTTTCCCTTTTCTTTTTCTATTCACTTGCCTGTTAAACTATTAAACTTGACAAATTGCCATGTTGAGGCAACGGGAAAAAATCTAATTTTCTCCGCCGCAGCAGCGAAGATAATTTAAAGTTAGAATAAGGAAATGTCTCGGTAACGGATATCTAACGATTAGTTAAATCGTCATTATCTACCTTTTATTAGGCAAATATTTCTTTCAACGAACGACAGTCAAGTTTCATGATTTAAATTGGTTTAACTTTACAATTTAAAGCTCCGGGAAATTATGCTTTAAACCAATTTTTAATTATCTCTAATTAAATTGGGTTTCTTTTTTCTTTCTTAAATTATCTCAACAACAAAAATACGTTATATGATCGGTGGAGAGTAGTGATGGGCATTACGATTCTTTTTAGTGGCCTTTTTTGGTGCCTGCGTCGAGATTCAATTCTCACGATTCTTTTTACGACTCATCGTTCAAATCTTATGGATCCGTGCCGGCCACGATTCAATTGAACGAACCGTATTCTAAGCAGTGAATCGAATCACACGATTCATTTTTAATACTCGTTCAATCTTTGCCCACCTCTAGTGGAGAGTGGTTGAACCTGTAGATTGTATGGGAGGAGAAATGTTAATCACCACGACCTATAGACCTTTTATACCCCCTTTCTTGAGTTATAACTCAGTCATACAGGGCTTTGACAAGAGCCAGTCTCTGAGACGGTTTTACGGTTTGTTAGTTCTTTATCTCCGGTATTTGCAGGAACACCAGGTGAGAATATACCTATGGAACGCGTTGGAGCTGCAACTCCATCAAGAAGTTCATGTGCCGGTGTCCAAACTGACCCTCAAGAATCTGCCGAGCCATCTGATGCTATATCACTACTCTGAGAATTAAAGAGTAAGTTTTAAATAGTTGTGGTATGTTTTGAGTTACATTTATAGGTCTTGGTCTTGCAGAGTCCAGACTTGGTATTGCTGCAGAAATAAGCAAAAAAACGCAATACTTTATTTTATTTATATTTGTCTGAGGGCATTGCTTCCTACAAAATTAGTCCTGCAATGCGCAATGGTTCATAAAACATAAGTGCCATAACTAATACGGCTATATTCGGTAGGTATTTTTCGACAAAATTTTTTTTGCGAATATGGCTTATTGTTGACGGCTACCATAAATCATATAGTCACTGACCGTAGTTTCGGAGAAACCTTTTTTATTTATAGTATTTTTTATTTAATAAATTATAGGGGTGAGTGGTAAGTAATTTTTTCTTTGGCTAGTCGTCTGTTTAGAGTGCTTTTCCAGCAGAATTATACGTGATTTTTAGTGCAAAAGTTAATAGAGGAATTGCCAGAAAAATACTATGTTATGAGATTAGTTATTAGTAAAATAATATTATCCTATCTCAAATTTTGATTGTAGCCCAAAAGACAACATTTTCCAAATGACTATAATTGTTTTTCCTCCGGATTTAGAAAATAATAAATTGAACTGCACAAAAGGCCATATTTGCTTTTATTTTATTAAAAACAAGCTAAAACTGATTATTCCAGAAAGTGTTTTCGAGTTGTTCAGGTCTCAAAAAAAACACTACGGTAAACGTGGAGAGTATATTTTCAGATGCGCTTAGCTTTCAAATTTAAAACATTTTGCCACCCCATTCACAAACACGCTTTTTTAATTTGAATCTCGCTCTGTGTATCTCTTTAGACATTCTTCAGTTAGACTACATATTTCAATAAACTGACGGTTTTGAAAACGCTTTGCAATTCGAAAGTGGAGGATATTATACGAGGAGGTTTATTACTTCTTTTTGGCAGTTGGGTCAGAAAAACAGCTTCATTCTATGACAGCGATCTTCATTTCCATACAGCAGTGGCTGGTAGAACTTATAGTCCAGGAGGCAGTGAATATTTTCTGTACTTGTTTTCCGATGGGTTGAGGCGGAAAATGCGTTAGAAAATGTACTGCACTTTTTCGTCCAACGATAAAAATAGTTCTATTAGTGAAAGATGTTGTGCAGTTAAAAAAAATAGTCTAGCAAGTGAAAAATTAGATAAAAATTATTGAAACCATTGCCCTTATTTTCGCAGTCGAAAATATGTGTCAAATGATGGTTTATATTATAATTACAGCTGCAAATATAGTCTGGCTAATGTAATCTATGGAACATCCCCAAAGCCTTGCCAGACTCGTGCTAAATTCGGCATGTTGAATTATACAATGCCGCTTTCTCTCTTCATTTAACTACCTGACTTGTGAGTCTGGCGGGGCTTTCATGATTGTAAGTGACAGCCAGGCGTGTATTTTCTATGAAATTATAGTATTATCTATCATGAGACAAATTTCCAAATCCGGGAAAATAAGAGCAAAAATGTTGTAAATTTTGCAATTTTCAAAATGCCGCAAGTCTCATTTGCCAATTTCGTAAATTAGCCAGACTTGCTTTTGATTATATAGTTTATGATAGTATCAAATGATACGTTAAATTTCAAGCAGGGGAAAATGAGGGTTAAGGATTTCAAAAATCTGTCAAATTTTTGCATCCACAGATTTTCAGCTGGCTCCACTTGGGATGTTTTTCCTTTAATAAAATTATTCACTTTAATAAATAATGTCAAGTATTTATGACTGGAAAAATAAGTGGATTTTTTTTTCTTTTATCTAGTGAACCCATCCGAAAAATTTAGCCTAATTTTAGACTCACAAATTGTCATATAATGTCACCATCTGAATTTCACCTACTGAGAAAATAAATACAAAAAAAAATCACTACGACCTGGACTATTTGAGCCTACCAGAAACATTTATCAAAAACAATTTCAAAATTTGCGATATTTTTTTTTTCATTTTTGCGAGTCCAAGAATCAAAAAATATTTTTATATAATTTTATTTTTGTCATATTTCATAGAAAAATTTTAAATATTATCAAGAGATTCAAAGTGGCTGTGAAATTACACCGTTTTATTTTTTTTGTTTTAATTTTCTGCATATATAAACAAATTAATAAAGCATTGTATTTTTTCATAGCTTTAACGGTGTTCAAAATTTTCGATAATATGTAATAAAAATTATAAAAAAAATAAAAGCAAAGTTAATTTTTGCTCTTAAAATTGTAATTGCCTTGGACAAGCAAAAATGACATCGCAAATTTTAGAATTGTTTTTTTAATATAAAAATGCTTCTGGGAGGCTCTAACTTAACTCGCTATAATAGTAGGTTTTATCATGGCTTCTTTCCTTAATTTTAAAAATAATTCAATGTCCATAAATGATCATTCTAATATAATAATATATTTAAAAATTATACAACAGGTTCTAATTCTTATTAAGTCTTTTCAATTAATTTCTTAGAATAAGAATTTATATACTTCAAATAAATACCTTAAAATATGCTAGAATTGCGTGCTAACTTTGATTAGTGTTTAACTATGCTATATTCCAACCACTTTATTCTGTTTAATCCGAAGAAGATAATAGATTGCAATGTTCTTTTTATTAGGAACTCAATTATTACACGCTCACAAAAGTACTTAATTTTAAATTCTTCCAGTCTTTAAAAATGATAGGGCAAAAACAATATGTTCAGACAATAATTCACTAAAATAATTATATTACAATAAAAAAATACATTAATAAAAAACGATTATCCACCAACATAGGTATATCTCATCTCGTCGTTAGAAATAAAAAGAAAAAATTATTTAAAATGTATAAATACAACTATTCAATAATACTTTAGGTTTTAGCAGATACCTCTACGTTTTTTTAGAATGTCAACGGAATTTAATAGACATAAGCACATATGCTACGAACTAGAGTATTGTTGAGTAGTTTTCTTAGACATTTTAAAGTTTTGGATTCAATACAGTGATGTAGATGACAAAAAATAACTTATTTATTTTGTAGATTAACTATTTTTAAGATACCATCATAGTTGCAACGTCATTTAACAAGTAATAGATTATGACACATTGATTTTTAAAAATCCTAGTTTGATTTCGACATTAATAAATAATGTCGACAAATTGGGCCACCCTAGAGCGCTAGAACTGAAAATAATTTTACAACAAATACAAATCATTTTTCAATATTTCTTCCGCTGGTCAGTATTGTTGTGACAGCGTCATCTTTCATCACACAAAGTCCGGAGTTACGAGGCTAATATTCGAAGGGCCATTATTTTTCAAAATGCTATAAAATGTGTTTAATCAAAGGGCTATAAAATAATACTTAATCGATAAGTTATCATCGCCGAGAAGGATATAAGCTTGATAATTTTTTACTGCTCGCTTTTTTTATTTTCAATTAATTAACCGAAATTTAATTAAGACGATTTTAGTTTTTTTTGTCAAACAAATTTATTTATAGAAAACCTTTGAAAACTTTTGAGGAAAGAGCCCTTTGAAAAGTAAGATTCCGTTTTGCTGCTCAAAATACATTAGATTCTGCCGCGGTATTACGTAAGGTATTTATACTTGCTAATTACATTAGGTACGTTTTGCTATTTCATTACCTTAAGCGTACGAACGTTAAATATATAATTAGCAAAACAAAATTATATTTACAAGACATTAAATAATTGAAAGTTGTTCAATAGGAGTTTCGTAACACTAAGTCCCTCTGTATATAAGAAACGATGATTACTCCTTGTTTCCATGAGATTTTTAATATATTTTCATGTCCACAGAGACCGAGCCGGAAAAAAAGAAAAAAGAAATGACGGTTGTTTTCTCCGATGACCACAATACTCTGGATTAATGTATGTATTAAATATATATGTAATAGAGTCTTTTAGAAAACAATAACAGTATAACTATTATCTTACGACTGAATATTTGAACACTGACAATTTTTCATATTTAGTTTCGACTGCTAAATCTACATTCTTCCTGATAACAGTGATAACTTTAAGAAGGAAATTCAAGACATGTCTAGATCAAATTGTGATTCGATCAGTAAAAATTCCTTGAAATTATTTTTATATTTACAATATTAATTTACAATACTCGATAGAATCACATTTGCGAAGACTTATTTTTAGTGGTTTGAAAAATCTTCATAAAAATATAAGGCCGATTAATAATGAGATATGAAACGATTATATCATACAGACTCCTAATAATTTGACTCGTGTTAGTTTCAACCTTAAGCTAAGTTAACGTAAGGTCGAGAATAATTATGCAATAGCAAAGTGTCATATATACTAATCGGCCTTATTGGATAAAGTAGAGTGAATTACGTGAAAATGTGTGATAATATACAGGGTTTTTTCACCTAACCTGTTCGTTAAAATATTATTATTATTATTATTTGTTAATGTTATTTATTATTTATTCAATCTACTGGTTGTGTGAGAAAGCTGTATGTACCTAGCTCTAAATATTTTCAAAAGGGCATGAAACTAGTCATAACTATCGGAGATTCAAAAATTAGTAGTTGAAATTGTTTAAAACATTACATCGCAACGTTTTAAACATTTCAAAAACATGTTGCTGTTTATGGTATATATATAAAAACTTCATTTGCATTTATTATGCAATCTTTTATTTTTATTATAGCTTTAAGAATTGATAAAGAAAATGGTGTTAATTAATTGATCTGGAATATATAATTATGAAAAAACAATGTACAGCTCGTCAAATATATAATAATACAATATACATAATTACTTGTTACAGTTATATAATGGAATTCATCAATATACTGAACAGGCTGGCATGTTGCTATTCCAAGATGATAACTCCTCCTTGAATAAATCTTTTTTTGGAATACTTTTTATTTTTTAAATTTCCAAAGGTTTTTTTTATAATATAGACTTTAACATAAAATCCAAGAAAATGTTTCTTACATTAGCTACTGCGCTTTGTGAGAAAAACGTTATGCTGCGAGCGCACATGCGGTAGTCGGCGATTTCCGAGCACTCGTCAACTACCGAGCGCTCGTCATCGGACTTCGCCTTTCCGTCCACACATGCGGGCATCGCATGGCCGAGCTCTGATCGGAAGGGTCTATCATGTGGCATGTGTGACACATTGGCCTGCATGTGTGGACGAAAAGACGAAGTCCGATGACGAGCGCTCGGAAATCGCCGATTGCATGTGCGGTCGCGGTATTTATTTGACGAGCTGTAAGGTTATAGAATGTTGATACTCTCTAATAATATATTTTATCAAAAACATACTATATAATTGAGATTGTTTTTTAAAACCCTTTGACAGGAGACTCGAAATCTATCCATGTTGTAGGTTAAATAAAACCTCAAAGGTATATCCATTTTACAATTATTTTTTTGAATACGGATGCGTACTTCATAAATATTAGTAAAATTTATGTTGGCATGTAAATACATCGTACCTGCTAATTTAAATATATTTTTTAATATAAGTATGACAAAAAAATTGTGTAAGATATGCTCAAGCCTATAAATGGGTGTACAACATTTATCGATTTATTTTATATAATTTCTTATTTTTTGTGTATTTTTTTCTTGTATATTAATTATACCTTACCATTCTTACAAAGTATAGCAACGGGTTATTTAAATACTCTTAATTACTTTTTAATTTTAATATATTTTTGTCTTCTTAATTTTGATACAAAACGATCTCTATATCTATCAAATATATCTATCAAATAATTGGAAGGTAGATAATTTTTATTCGTGTTTATAATATATGTAAATATCAAGTTACTTTTTGTCTATTCAACTGCAAAAAAAGGATAAATGTAAAATGCTCAAATATCTTTTATTATAATTAAATAGATTTTTGTTTAATTTATCATGAAGTTTCTCGACATATCTACTAATAACTACTCACTGAAGGGCGACAATGGACTTAAAACGTTTAAACGTTGGACGTTAAAAATCAAAAAGCGTTTGATGCAAGATGCAACTTATGTCTCCAGCTGTTAAACGCAGGGTGTATTATTAATTATCCCTGGGTTACATATAATAATAAATGCTGACAATTAATGCAGTTTAATCGAAAGTAGAGGAAAAAAATTCGCAAAATGAAATAACAATAAAAAAATACTAAAAAAATACTATATAAATATTTCATGAAACTGAACAAAATTATTTTGAACGACACGCAAAAAATTAAGCCTTAAATAATGCATAATATAGCCCTCTCGGCTCCTTATATATTTAAGATGAAAATTCCCTAAAGTTCTATTTTAGAATAATAGATTGCATCCTATTCTCACATTTACGCAAGGAAGTTGTAGAAGTTACAAAAGATAAGAGTGAGAAAATCATAATTTTGCCTTTATTATTTCTCTCTACTCCTACAGAGAAAAAAACCGAAATGTAATTAAATGTTCTGTTTTTAAATTGTTTTTATTTATTATAAAAAATGGGAATTAAATTAACTAATAAAACTTAAAATACTAAAAAGTCTATCACTAGGTGAAAAGTCATCACCCTAAAATTAACGTGGAATCTTTTTTAGCGTATTTTTTCAAATATTAACAGAGAAATACTATGACATAGAAAACCACTATAAGCCGGTGGAAGACTTTATTTCATCTATCTACAGTGTATTTTTGCAAGGGTAAATATTAGGTCTTATAATCTCATTTATACTGCTAGGGTCTGACGATCAGTTTTCCTTGACACGGTCTTTCCATATATTCAGAGAAAAAAAAAGGAAAATTTTATTTATAGACTTTGATAGGAAAAAAAGGAGAAGTTTGATCTTGACGTAAGGTTCAATAGAAAGAACTTTTATTTATACAGAGAATAAAATTTTGGCAAACTTGCATACCAAAGGACACCTAAAAATGTTATCAAATAATATTCACGTTCATGTGGATAGGATAGCTTTTTGTAAAAAAAATCTTCTACATTTTTATACAGGGTGAGTCTTTTTGAAAATTTGGATTTTTTTGAAAAAAAAATTAGAATTTTTTTAATTTTTAGTTAAAAAATATATCTTCATTATATGGCAACATAGTAGATTAAATTTAAAAGAAGGAAACCCCAGAAAAGATCCAGCAGTAGAAAGTAGTAGAAAAGCAGTACTTATACAGAAAAATCATTCTTTTTGAAAAGTATGTCGAGAAACCGTAAATACAAAAATAAAGCAATAAGAGATGTAAACCATATTTCGTATTGCTCAAGTAAACAAGAATCACTATTACAGTAACAAAAATGCTTGTATTTTCTAAGTTATTCGATAGATTTTTATTTAATTAGGTCTAAGTTTGAATTCCGTTCCTATACTTAAGTATATAAGTCATAATTTGTGTGGATATGATGCAACAAAACATTCCTTTCAAACGAAATACTCCCATTCTATAAGTTAAATAAATAAAATAAATAAAGATGAATTTATGACAGTAATATATTGGTATACTATGTACTTGCTGTATGTGATTAATAAAAATATATTTAATGAGAAGATGAAGATGAAGAGAATGTTTATTTACTGGAAACTATAAAAATAAAAATTTAACAATAACCAAATGATTTCCTGTAAACGTCAATCAGTGTACTCTGTTCTCTATTAATCTATGCAAAATTTTATTGGAACAGTTGATATGGAAATTACCCATAGCCGTTTTTTCTCTAGTGGAAAAACAAAATGCCCCAACAAAGCATTTTTTAATAATAAAGCATGAACTGTACTAAAAATTGGCAGATTGTGCAATATAATCTGGAATATATTTTCATAAGGTTAAAGATATTAAAGATATAAATTTTACGTTAAGCTATAATTGAGCATATAAAAATGCAGAGAATCTTTCACCTTATTATGAAACATAAGTGTGTTGTTATTGTTGTCAATTAAAATATATAAATTTCTTTGAATTTAAACTCTCTCCATATCTGAGTAATGATGATTCAAACTTTCATTGTTTAAAACGTGTGCTATGTAGAAGTCTCCTAGCGTTGACATATTAAATCTTACTTTCTTTCCAGAGAGCGCTCTTGCTTTGCTAAGTCCCTTGTATAATACGTTAGTAAAACCCAACTATTACTGATATGATATACTAAAAGATCTGACTTTGCATATCATACTTTACGATAAAATTCAATGAAACAAAGTTTAAAAAAGAATCTTAAACCTAAGATTACAGCTATCTTTTCAAATGGTGATACCTCAGCGACATCATCGCTTCTCCCAATTTGGAAACCATCCAATAACTTGTGAGAGTTTACTAGTGATACTTGTCATCAATCCAAAATTACGTGTTAACACCTAACTGCTGATAATTTTGACCAGTGTTTGAACTATCAGTACTCAGTTACTAACGTGTCTACACACAGGCTAGTATTTTGAAGCTGAACAGTTAACATGTTTATCCAACAGAAATGTTAATCAACAACTAATCGTTAAAAAATAAATCAAAGTGGTACCAATATTCAGACACCTGTACTAGTGTACTAGTCACAAAATACAGTGGATGAAATTAGGAAGTTTATTGAATTTATTTAATCTGCATTTACATCTAATATCTAGTGATAAAACTGTTCTGCTTTATTAATATATTTCCTTAAACGTGTGTAGCCGCCATATATAAGATCTATCAATATCTTTCAATGTTTTCTTCATTGTGTCATTTCAAAGTTTAATAAATGTCTCAATAATTGTTTGACTGTCTCAAAAATCAGTATTGATATTTATTGATGTAATTTACACGCTTATGAATATGATATTATTGGTGTATGTCCGTATCTTATCGACACACAAAACATAGAGCATTTATATTTACATGATGGAAAATACATGTCAATTTAATATCAGTCTGAATTAATTTCCTGTATTGGGTGGTGATGACATAACTCTCCCATTAGCAGTATCAACCAACCAGACTTTCGTTTGTAGAGGGTGTCCCAAATTTAATTGGCACAACAGAAATGATTAATTGGTAATATTCGACAATGATTTTATGTTTTTTGAATTGATAAGATAGCAATATAATACCCCCATTCCAGAATAGACTACCTATATATGTGTATATAAATGGAGCTTCAAATATAAGTGTGTGTTTAGATGAGTATTAAAGTGTTAAGATAAATTCTAAATAAATGTATATATACAGGATGGTTCCTTTTTATGAATTTATGACTCAATTTTAGAATTGCTTACGTGAAGAAATGTAAAGCAAGTGATAATGGCCCCATCCTGTGTACGATGTAAATATTTTATAATTAATGAAACATATCAATTTTAATTATTTTTAGAAAGCTAAATTCTGACTGTAAGAAAATGTATATATAACTGAAATTATGTATCAATTATTTTTTGGAGATTAGTTACCTTACAAATGTCAAAAAAATATTTTATTAACATTAAAATATCAAATAAAACAAAATTTAAATGACAAACAAATTATTATTAAATTGATATTATTTTTGGTTCTAATATTATAACTTGAAAGTGTCAAATGTACCTTCTGCTTAGGTATAAGTGAAGTGTAAAAGCTTCAATTCAATATCAAATGTTAGATGTCTTGGTTTAAAATGTTCGTTAAGAACTAGTAATAATAATTAAGAATGGTAATATTTTACTGATTCTGTTTTCCTTCAATTATTGTGTTACTTTCTGCGATAGACATTTGTCAGTATTAATGAAGTACCTAAAACTAGATATAAGAAAAAAATATATAGTAACAATTACCAAAGTTTTTAAGTTTACCAATTTTTCGCTATGGAAAAACATGATTTTTTTTAGTTTTAACCTAAAAATATAATATGTCCATCCAATATTATGATATATTTGTAACATAACATAATATGAATGACTATATGTAATTGCCGTTAGATACAGGTCTAATTTTTATGAGCACTGAATAAAATTTTTTATATAAAAAAAATAAAAAGGTATAGCAAACTGCTATAATTAGGTACACTATATCTAATTCTTAATCAAATGGTATTAGAAGTAAATATATATCTTATTCAGAAAAGAAAAATATTTCCAGGATATTTCAGTGCTCTTAATAAACATCATCTCTGTGCTTATCTAAATAAATGTTATTAAAATATGTACCCAAGTTGTTTTATTTATATTTAATATCTTCATTTCACCAACCATAAAGGGATGAAAAAATAATATAAAAATGTCCCAATATATACACACTCCTATTTTTCATAATAATATTATATTCACTTTAAAATTAATAAAATTTAAGAGTATCTTTAATATATTTTTCTTAAACATTAATTAGTACCCATTAGTATTTAACTATCTGAACTAACAAAATTAGGTCTGTAGTAATAATATATAACTAATAAACTACTTACATTTATATAATATGATTTTACATTTATAACCTGATTTTTCAAGAAATGAAAACTAGAAAACTTTTCATGTAGATGCAATATTTTCAATAGCAAAAATTCAATAATCCAATTTGTTACAACGCATTATATAGATCACTTTAACCCTTCTTTAACCAACTTTAACTAAGAAGTAGTGCTCTATATCATGATAAATCAATAGATGCACTGCTTTAAACTAAAAAATCAATATCAAAAGCATTCTGTAAACAAATATCCTTTTTTTATTAAATTATATAACGACACTTATCAAGTAACATTATCATCGACAGAATTTTAGAAACACATAGAATTTATTATAAATCATTAGGACTCTGTGAAATAATAGTTGCATACTTATAACAACATAACTTATTGGTTTCGTTATACCACAGGTTATACTATAAACTTTCGAAGTTTAAACCTTTCAGATTAAAGTCAAATATTGTATTATTTTCAAATTAAACTCTCAGATTAAAGTCAAATAACTAGGTCACACAATTAAACTTATTTATTTAGTCATAAAAAACAACTTATAAAAATATATGACAACGAACAATACAACAAATAAAAAACAATCATATTGTACAAAAATTGGAACTGTATGAGAAATGAATATTTTTCGAAAATGAAGCGACAATGGATGTAGGCGATCTTTTATCTAAATATATATGGCACATAAAAAAATATTTTGATTTAGTAACTTACAGTATACTAGTATTTTAAAAAATTGTTAGGCACATTTTTGTACGTGTATCACAGTATACTGAGCTTTAAAACTACATTGTTACGTCCTAAAATTACACAACAATTATAAAATGTCAGTTAAAAAAACTTAAAAACATTTGAAAAGAAGTATATAAAATAAACAATTATAAAAAAATAGCCGGAATTTGTAAAAAGGTATTCGTTTATATTTAAAACAAAACTAATTAAAAAAGGATAATTAGTTCAATTGCATATCATTCCTGACCACAAATAAAAGCATATACATCTAACGAATCCATCCCGCAGTGACTTTTCATATCCCAAACCTAGTGGATCGACATCTGCTTGTTTGTGTGGTTCACGATAAACGGCGTGTAGTTCCTAAAAATGTGTTATTTATTATTGATCACCTTCAAGCCAAAAAGCCACAAACAAAAACATATGAAAACAAAGTTAGTATGCCGTACCTTCTAAATACTGTTATATACTACATGCAGACACTTTGACACAGACTACCCAATGGGAAAAACCTATTTCTAAACAGCTTAAAAAATATCCATAAGTAAAAAATTAATAATGGATAACTAAAACCGGAAAACCATATACAAATTTGCTAAAGTTAATGGCAAATTACACATGCTATGAACATAACCAACACTGCTAAACAACCTAGATATATGAGGTAACAGATATTTGTTAGTTAAATTGCTAAATACCGTTATATATTTATAAGTAAACATCAAACAGTCTATACAATAATCTAGCCAAAACAAAAACCAAGCAAAACAAATAATAAAGAAACTACTTACTCCGCGAACTGTGTGAGAATCTAAACTCAGCATCATAAAAGCACCATAATATCGAGGATGCAGTATGATATAATATACAACATTTCCATCAGCTGACGAAAATATTCTGTGATGATGTTCATATTTGGCTAGCAGCAATTTAGTAAGGCCTTGATACCACTGGAAGGGCTTAATCAACAACTGCCTCAAATTCGGATGCAGATCGTACAGAGGCTTCAGTTTGGATAATTGCTTCAACTCTATAAATTCCTCGAAAGTTAGGTGATTGCTTTCTTGAGGTGATATCAGTCTGTTCCAAAGAAGGTTTGTTCTGCAATGTTCCATACCTGTAATAATTAGTAAAAAAATATAATAATTATACATATCGAAATATACTATATTCACCTCTTGATACCATATCTTTGATATCATTTTGTGTGGATTTAGCTTTGTCCAAAATGAGCTGTTGCATACTTTGTTCATGAGATGAATAATATCCCAAATAATTGACTGACTCCTGGCGAATCCTAACGTTTGCTAGGCGTTTACTTAAGGGTGGATCTTCTGAAGATCTACTCAGAGATCCTTCTTCAATACTTTCTTTACTTCTATCAGGATCTGTACCTTCCCCGCTAGATTCTAATTTGGAAGTGTTTGACTTCGAGTCTGCTTCTAAAGAAGCGGTAAATGAAACTGTACGAAATTTTCCAAGTTTTTGTTCATTTTCGAACATAGGATATGTATCTCTGAAAAACATAGGTACGCATTATTTAAGTTTCAATTAATTTCACAATTAATTTAATTCAATTAATTCAAATGCATATGAATTACTACCTTTTAGACGTCAGTATGAGGTAATATCTTAAATGTAATACGTTATCGGTGGGTTTAAATGGTGTACACAAATTGTAAACAACCAATGTCATATCAAAGTCGTCAGTATGTTGTCGGTCTTGAGAATCTTTGTAAGAAACATGTTTAGCTGTTGTCACTTGTACGAGGATGTATTCTAAACATCCATCATCCATTTCCAAAACTTTAAAACCATACTGATGAACATTTGATAGCAAATAATCATATAACTGTTTTCCCTCTGTGACTAAATTCCCAATAGTCAATGTATCTAATAAAAAGAAGAAAATATAAAATTCTATAAACGTTCTATTAAAAAGCCATAGTTATTACCTGTATGAACTAAATTTCTAGCAAAATTTGGTGCCTTATTGTAGTATTTTAAAAAATCGTCTAAGAACTGATGTACATTGTATTTCTCGGTGAGTTTAACAGTATTTCCAGATATATAGTTATAGATACAGCGCATGTGATAATCGTATGTAAAAGAATGTAAATGCATTAGAATTTTTACTTTATCGCACTCGTCCAAAAATGTCAAAGTAAACTGAAAAAAATGTATAGTTAATCTTGATATATTAAAAGCAAACTAATTAATACTCACTGCGTTTACAGAAGCCCTGAAAGTTATATTCTGCAATCTGTTACATTCAATGGCGTGCAGTTTGACAACAAAAAACGGTTCTTCAAAAGATACGGTAAAAATTAATATGCCCCCTAAAATAGTTCGCTGGATATAAAAAACAGAGTTGTGGGAAGACTTGTCCCTGGTCCAGGCACTAAAAATAGAACCCAAAATAGATTATACACTGATTTTTATAGAAAAAGCTATATAGATCTTACCCCACTGTACTTTGGGAATTGTCAATTTGTAAAGGTGTAAATCCTAAACTATGCAAATAATTTCTATAGTCGCTAAAAAATGTATAGCACAACTCAGTATGCCAACTCTCCTTTTCCTTATCCATAATTTTATCAGCTATTTGTATTGCTTGAGACGGATATAATGAGTGGTCCCTCGTAGAGGCAGATTTGAGGCGCCATCTTGGCAAAAATAGTAATGGCGTGTGTACATAATGCAATATTCTCGAGTTCTGCATTAATAAATTTAATTGCGGTACAGATGTTGTACCTGTCCTCGACTGGTACATGGAATGCAATTTTTTCATTTCATCTATAAGAAGTTATCAATCAAAATTACATTACGAGAAATATTATTTTATCAAGTAATAACAAACCTCGATGTTTTCTCTCCAAAGATCTCATTTCTTTCATTTCAATAGTAAAAACAACAGCAATGTCACTACATGTATATTTCGTATTATAAAAATTATCTCTGAAAGCCTCTAAAATAACTGGAAGATTGAAACTAGATTGATGGTTCCTCCTATGTGAATGGTCCCTAGGGAATTTAGATATGCCATCTAAGTTTCCTATAAAATCTTTATAATTGTTGGTAGACAGCATCTAAAATTAAATTTAAAATTTTATAGCTTTAATGTGATACAATAAAAAATACACAACTTCATAAACACTTACAAAACATTTTCTTGTTAGAGGTTGGTTATGAAAAAGTCCCAATTTTTGTAAAGTAACAGAATTCAAATAGCAAGATCTTACAGATAACCAACTTGCTAAATTCTCACAATGATTAACCAACTTGTCTACATTGTCTTTTGCCCAGTTATATGTATAGATTGAAATCTGAAAAATATATTTAGAAGTGTTAGTTTGAAGAATTTTAGAACAACTTTACACTGAAATATTTTATTAACTTACATGCTCGTTGTCCACACAAATCCAAAATATTTTTCTCCTCGGTATAAGACAGTTATTTATAATCCCAGGAACAAATTTTTGACTATGCTTTAAATTTTGAGGGTTCAAAGCATCAGGGACGTCAGTAAATCCATCATCTATATTCTGCCATTTTTGAAAGTTTCTCGAAATAATTATATACTTTTGTATTACATTTGATGACACAAAAGGCACATATATCTTATCACTGTTACTACTAAGACAGCTAGTTGTCACTGCTCTAAAAGCTTTAGGCGAATCGTTCAACATAACAATCAGTTCCTTAACTATTACAGATGGTAAATGACGGTTGACTAATTTTATGTCATTCTTTTTTACAGCGGGAGTAGTCATGGTATGCCCAAATTCTAGCCACGAAGGCAAAAACTTTGAATAGATTAACGATAATATTCCATTATCGTTTTGCTCTGAAATATTCTCTTTATCATCACAGGATATGGCTCTTGAAGCTTTTAAATTATTGCTAGAGTGCACTCTCTTATTGTATTTCCTAGTTGGAAAAAAATGGGCATCTACTTTCTTAGGAAGTAACTTAATTGCTTTATCTTTGATATTTTTATTATAGTTCAGGCCCAATTCACAATCATATTCTATTTCATTATCTAAATCTAAGTCTAAATTATCTATTTCACATTTCTTTTTAACTTTATACGGATTCTCGCTGTATTCTTTTACGCATAATGGTTGTTTCAATAAATAATATTCTGTGATTATATCCCAAGTAGCGTGGCTGACTGCTAATTTCAGAGACTTTGAGAAATTATCTAAATTAATTCTTCCTTGTTTCCATAATCTAAATTCCAAATATGAAGATGGACAAATATCATCTTTTAATATACCCGAACTAACATATTGTTTATAGTCCTTTGTTATAAAAATATTTTCAAGCTCTTGCTCTACATCGGAACTCTGTGGTGTGTTAGAACTTTGTATTAACACTAGAACGATACAAGCTATTCCTCGACTTCCAGCTGCTGGAGTTTGACTTTGGTTATAAATAAAAATATTATCAAAACCTAAACCGTTTGAATTATCATTCTCGCTGTAATCTTTGAAATGATATTCAGGCCTAGTATCCGTATATTTTGGAATATTTAAAAATTGTAGCAAATTCTGTTTTAAATATAACATAAAAGAGTTTGATTTGCCCCAACGAAGAATAAAATCTTGAATATTTAGCTAAAATTAAACAAATAAATTTACATGAATAAAGAGGATCTCAAACTACTAGTAAAAATATGTTTTGCTTTTAAAATAATATAGATTAATTTTGACGAGTAGTGTAGAACCTAAATACATTCATTACTTACTCTTATAATGTGATCTGGACCTTCCAAAGGTTTTTGTATAAACCTTACATCTTCAGGTGTTAAAGGGCACATGGCATTTCTGGCTAACATCACTGACAGAGACTCAAGGACAGCATCATCCAGTCTGTTTTGTAACACCTGAACTAAATCGCATTGGAGTTCAGTTCCGGCATTAGTGATTCCATGAACTTTTAATACTAATGTGTCCTCATTGACCCTTTCTTTGGTTTCAAAGGATCTACTTTCCTTTTCTCCAAATGATCGAACTCTTGGACGTAAATCAGACTAGAATTTCGAAAAAAAAACATAGAAAAAAGTCAGGAAATAATTCATAAAGCTTACTGAGGAAATGGACGGCAAACTTTGTTCAGAGATCGCTAAATTGGGTGCGTTGTTATGTCCAATAGGTAAAGATGCTATAGAAGGACTTCTAGAAAATGTAGTACTATCATTATCATTAGGTTTCACTGAAAGTCTGCTACTGTTTATATGAGAACTCTCATACAGGCTCAAATAAAACACATTTTTATCTTTGTCTTTATGTACAAACATATTACTTCTATTCTGAACCGAGAATTTTTCTAAAATGTGTCTCAAAGCCAAAATTCCTCTAACTTTCCCTCCACTGCCTGTTTTTAGCCGGGGATGTAATACAAAAACTTTTTCCCAAACTACTGGACAACTAAAAAATCCTGGTTTGAAATTTATAGAGGCTTCTGATACTGAATGAGAGATTAAATTAACTTCCGAATCATCACTTGCATCCACTAAAAAAATAAAAACTTCGTAATATACAGGGTGGTCCGAACTGTATTCCGAAAACTTCGGCAACATATTCTGCAGATAAAAATAAGTAAAAAAGTTCTTATAAATGTATGTCCTAAAATGCTTAGTTTCGGAGATACAGGGTGTAGAAATTTCATTTTTATTTCGATTTTTTTCCATATAATTTCTGAAGTAATACCAATATTTGGATGAAAATTGATGTCTGGGAGTTTTTTGATATGAGAAATTTGATTTCGATGTCAATATAGCTCCTACTTGTAGAGGGCCACCTACGTATTTTTTAACTGGTATGAAGATTAATAACTTTTCGTCCGTACCTGTATAAAACTAGCTAATTAAAAAATATACATTTACGGCATTTTTTACGTAAAAAAGGTCTCTTGGTAAAAATCGCTACGAGTAATGGTTCTCGAGATATTTGGAATCGAAATTACCAATACCTGTCATCATTGACATAAATTAAACATGTTGACTAAATAGTTATTAGACTAAAATCACAAATTTGAAATATTTTTGTGTCAAAAGTTCAACAAAAACTGGTTTATCATCATTTTTTCGAGGAAAAATTTATGATTAGTTTAAAAAAATAAAAAGTTCCCAAATTTCTCATTTCAGTCAAATAACTATCTACTCATCATGTTTATTTTTAGTCAATAATGACATGTATTGACTATTTCCATTGTAAATATCTTGTGAACGGTTGCTTGTAGCGATTTTTACCAAGAGACATATTTTACGTAGAAAATCACGGAAATGTATATTTTTTCACTTAGTAATTTTATACAGGTACGGACAAAAAGATATTACTCTTCAAAACAGTTAAAACCAAATACGTTTAAAATAAAGTATAAGGAGGGTACCGCTTAAATTCCTGTCCCGATATTGAAGGATGGCTATAGAATTTCAATGCATTTCCTACATAAGTCTATCCTTGGTTTGTAGGAGGTTTGACTAAACAAGGATGAACCTATGTCTTGAAACCATTCGACTCGATTTTCTGTCCTCCTTCAATACTGGGACGTAAATCCTCTCATTGCTCTTATAGGGAGGCCGTCGTATATTTTATTTAAACGTATTTGGTTAAAACACATGTAGGTGGCGCCCCCTACAAATAGGAGTCATGTTGACATCAAAATCAGATTTCTCATGCCAAAAAACTCCCAGACACCAATTTTCATCCAAATATTGACGTTACTTCAGAAATTATTTGGAAAAAAACGAAATAAAAATGAAACTTCTACACCCTGTATCTCCGAAACTAAGCATTTTAGGACATACATTTATATAAACTTTTTTACTTATTTTTATCAGTAAAATATGCTGCCGAAGTTTCCGGAATACAGTTCGGACCACCCTGTATATAAATTATCATCGTATTGTATAGACAACGTTTGACTTACGATCAGCTTGTCGAAGTTTGCTTATGCTTTTTGAGATCAAATTGTCGTTTATTGAAACGTCATCAGGTTCCAAAAGAGGGTCACATTTTTTAGTCTCATAGAGAGCTTGGAGTAAAAGCAACTGATTGACTTTCTTGCAAAGATCTACTATCGAATCGCGTACTCCACTCTCTACCATTTTATAATTCCTAACGTGAGCCGTTGCTTCTAAAAACCTAGTGAAAAAATATGAAGTCACCAGAAAAAAAAATAATTAAAGAAAGTAATAACCTGCAGTGAAAATAACTATGAACGAGATCCTGGTCTACTTTTAATATCATCCAAAAGTTAGAGAGCAGTGGTTTTTTATCGTTTAAATTGTTTAGCCATTCCCAGTCTTCGTCGTTATCGCTAACATCTTCGTCATAACCTTGAAAAAAAAAATACAGTATGTGCTAAAAAATTGCATTAAATGTGTTATTTTCATTATTGAAGTTTTTAGTAATGAATAAAAATTACCTGCTTCAGTTCCAGACATACCATCGCTTGAAATTTCACTTTGTTGGGACATTGTATCTTCCCTATAACTATTTACCCTCAAAGAGGAAGTACTTTTAAATAATTCTTGCATACACATTCCATAATCATTGCTCTCGGAATGACCTACAAAATATGACTTCGGGCTCATTTCCATGATATCTCTAAGGATTTCATTTTTTGCAACATAATAATATTCTTCTTCCTGGCACAATTTGTAACCCAATGGCAATGGCATTTTTGAGAATTCTTCCAAAAATTTCTCGTGGCATTTGTCGTTAGTAAAGACAAAATTAAGAACAATTTTATTGATTCTGCACGACGGTTTTGAAGGATGACCTTCGCTAACGTGCTTTATGACGTAGTTCAACATGTCCATTGTAACATGGTTGGCATCAAGTAAAGTTGTACATATTTCATCTTCAAGAAGCCACTTGATTTCCTCACAAAGACGGTCTACTGACTGTCTTTGAGCCTCAGTTAAAGCTTTGTGTTGTACTTGGAAACTAGAAGAAATTAGTTAACTAGAAAGATATCCATTACTAACATAAAATTACAGAACAAAAAAATTAAAAGATTTTTTGTTTGCTTTTCCCCAATTACTATAACATAATAAACATTTCATGGGATGTTTAGCACAATAAAATTGTAAAGTCATTAATAAAGACTAGTAGAATTCCCAAAACATACAGGTTGTCCCTACTACGTATTTTTGGTATCAAAATAAGTTCATTGTACACAATTTACCTATACACAACAGTGCATCAAATTTTAAAAAGATAAATATTTAAGAACCATTATTCCGATTTGAATGAGATTTGGAGTGCCTATATTTTGCTAATCGCTTTAACATTTGACATTCACAATAATTAACAAAAAATACGGTAAAGGTGAAAACTACCCCCACTCCTATACAAATTTTGGTAGAAATATTTACCAACCCAACCCCACATCACCGACGACTTTTTTTCGTATAAAATGGTCCTTCTATATTTACTACATATTTTCTCTCTTGCAAAAAGACGCTACCGCGCATACTATTTGAGGAAAAAAATATTTTTCCAAAGCTGACTTACAAAAAATAGTTTTTGCCACACCAAGCTATAGTAGGCGTATAAAATCTAGTATGGGCTAATAATCTAATTGGCGAAAATATGAAATGTTATAATGTTATGTATCACAAATGATATTTGACATATAGGGAAATAAATTGTGTGCAATTAGCTTATTTCGATTCAAAAAATACGTAGTCGTTTTACGTAGTTGTCCACGGAATATTGAAACTCCCAGTATATTTTGTAGTTCTGGTTGCTTTGGAAAAAAAAATCTCAAAAAAGTGTTTTCTCAAAAATATGCAATATGGCGTTTTTCTACGAGCGACAAAAATAAAGTAAACACTAGAAAGACCATTTTACAAAAAAAAAGTCGTCAGTGGAGTTGAAAAATATTTCTACTAAACTTTATGTAGAGGTTGGGTAGTTTTCATAATTCCCGTACTTTTTATGTTTTTTTTTGTAAAAGTCAAATTTCGCGCTTAGCAAAACACATCTCATTCAAATCAGAATATTTTTAAAGTTTGATGCCCTCTAGTGGACAAACGAAGCACTTTTGTATAAATTATGTCCAGTGTACTTGATTCCAATATTACGTAGTAGTTCTATGTCCACGGAATATTGGGACACCCTGTATACTTATTATTTGAAGGTGATGAAAATGATTTATGTAAGCCACATACTCTATAGTACTTACTCAGATATTGCACTACTATCAGATACAGAACTAAGGCTTCTTTGAAACCCGTCGGAACAAAAGGAAGTATTTCTATCATCTTGCTGCGAGTATTCGGTCAATATATTCTGAACACTGGGAGGTAAAGTCAAACATAATATGTCTAAAGTAATTTGTAGTTGAGGTTTATCTATAAATTCTTCCGAATTCAATTTCTGTATCAGCTCTCCTAAACACGTTGGTAAAACTCTAACTGACGTATTTGCGTGACCTCCGTTATATTTCACCGTGCAAGTGAGATGAAGAAAAAGCGGACTAACATCACTTAGTTTAGCTATTTCAGACAACCCCACTTCAACATCCCTTGAAAGTAAATGGGGGTCTTCGGAATATATGCTCATTTCTCTTTCACCTCTGAATTCGATATCAGACGCATACACACTGGCTTCGTCATCACTGTCATTGACAGGTTCTTCCGGTTTGATCGAAAGGTATTTATAATAATAATATTCTCCGTTACTTGGAACACGGTGGAAAGATGAACACAGTATGCTAAAAAACTTCCTTTTAATAAGCATATGGTAGTTGGTAATATCCCTGCAAGGATGTGCCTCTCTTAACATTTGAACGGATAGTTTGTCGTCTTTATTCTGTTTCACGTGACTGCAAATATTTTTAATAAAATCCAAAATATCGATTTGTATCAGCTCTTCTTCGCACATATCCATTGCACTCTGAATGTCAGAATTGCAGATATAAATGTCCAAATGTAAGGCCAAAAATAATGATAGCGTGAAGCATTTGGAATGAGTAAAAGTCAACGCTTTGCAGTGCTCTTGAAATTTTTTATTATCCGTATGATCTGTATCATCTGAACTCTCACTGTTGTTTTCTTTTTCTCTAAAAAAGTTATAAAATGTAGATAGCAGAGATGTAAATTTATTTTTAATAACTGGAACATGTATAATATGGTTAACCTACCTAAAACACTCTTCCTGAACACCACTCACAAATCTGTGATCTTCAAAAAAATCATCTGAAGCTGGTCTTCTGGTCCTTTCATTATCGATAAAAGAATTAATTAGTAACTTTATAGGACAATCGTAAACGTATACGGGCAAGCAGAGAGAATTTGGGGTATAAATAGGTACGTCACTGATGTTACTAGTTCTCGAAGATGCTCTTTCTTCAATATTGTCACTTATTTTATTACTGCAAATTCCTGTTAACGATTTGACGTCCTCAATTGAAGCAGGTAAAAATGTAATAATTACATGTGTCAAAGAAACTCCCTTAATATAACATTTCCAATTCAGGCTTGATATAAGGTCAGGGTTAATTTCTGATATAGGGCAATTGCGACAACTCAGTCTCTCGTGATGCCTTGAAATAATTTCTTTCGTAAAGTTTTCCGAATTCTCCTTTGTTAATTCTAAATCTCTGTCATGAAGTAACGAGAAATGCTCGAAAATATTATCTAGCAATAATTTGTTAGCTTTATCTACTTTATTCTCTGTCGAGTTTTTACACCTATCCTCTATCAGCATTGAGTATATTAATTCAGTCTGCTGGCATAAATGTAAAATCCCTACGGGATCAAACTTAAATGGAATGTGTTCTATGCGAGGAGTTATTATTGGATACCAAGCAGATCTAAAAATGTTAATATAATATGTTTGTTTTAAAAAAGAAAATGAATCCATTAAATACCCGATTTCAGGTACAGAATGACTTTGACTGTCAAAAATAGGAATTCTTGAACTGCTTTTTTGAGAAGCTGTTCTTTTTTTGCTGGTGACCATCTCTGGACCAGCACTGAGGTTATGAACGGCTTTATTTACACACATCAGTGACATATGCTCCATTGTCAAAAGCACATTAATACAACCATAATCAACTTGATTTATCTTTAAAAAAAAATAATCTATAGCATAAAGAATATAGGTGAGATCTGTGAGAGTATGGTGTGTAAGAATAATGAAGTGTGAATATAATTAAATTAAAAGGCCACTCCAATAGGGTTTTGAATAATATGTAAAGTAGAGGCTAGAAATATTTAGACCTTGTGGGCCACATTCCACTTAAGCTATATTAATAATATTAGTTTTGAGTTAAATGTACTTACCGCATCAGCTATTTCATAATAATTTTTACCATTGATATAGTTAATTCTTGAGTTGCGAGGTAGAACTGTTCCATACTGCGGCTCTATCCAAACTTCTGTTACAAGTTGTAGCTCAGCATCCATATCTGATATAGGTTCAGTATCATCCTCTGAACCACTGTAGTAATCATCACCCCAGTTGTAATGCGGAGGAAATAGAACATACTGAACCACACAACTAGTATTTGGTTCTAGCATTACTTCTAAAACCATCGTAACTATACCCGATGATGAATAAGCAAAATGAAAACCCTCTTCCAATCGCATACTAAAAAAATATTAATGACTATTTAACATCAAGGTAATTTATGTCAAGCAAGACATAACTGACCTAGTTAAAGCGTTCAGTATTCTGGACGTAGACAAATCAGGCAGTTTGGGATTAGGAGCATAATTGGCTCTCCAAATCCATCTTTTGTGAAACAAATAGCGAGATAAAGTGGTAAACAGAGAACCGCTAACTGACGAAGAAAAACAACTAGAATTATCTGGAGGTTGTGTACCATCGGGGAAAACTACTGTTGTATAACTATTAGGTACCTTTTCGTAACGAATTAAGATCTTTTCTAAAGGTTTATGTAGTAGCACACGCAACATGACAAACCTTTTGCTTTAGGTATGTACGAGAGTGAAGTTAGTTCAGATTTAAGGGCTTCAAAAGTCTGAAAATAAAATTCATAATTCAAAAACTGCATTAAAAATAAACCTAATTTTTATTTGTAGTATGCTGAGGTTAGTGTTAGTTTAACAATATATTCATGAACATTAATAAAAATCAAAAACTACCCCTAAAATAAGGGTAGCAGAAAGATAGAACTACTGTCAATCGATGACTTTTGCTCCTCTGATTCCACCGACACCACAAACCACTTGATAGACCTACTCGGTCACGATCTATTCATAAAAATCAAAAACTACCCCTACAATAAGGGTTGTTGTCATTTGATGCCTTTTGTTACATTTGTTACATAAAAAAAAACTAAAACAATATACATTTCTTTATTGTTGGTTGGTAATAATAATATTTTCGTTTAAATAATTTATAATTCCCTACGCAAGTATTAATAAAGTCATTATGTATTATTTTATTTACCTGTTTTAATTTAACTGGACCAAAAATAGGTAATATCTGATAAACTAAGAGATAAATTATTAAGTCCACTATACAGGGTGAGTCACAAATAAGTGTAAGATATTTTTAAAAGTTCTGGGACATTTGTATACCGGATGCGTCTCAAAAGTGGCTCACCTCTATAATTATTTTATTTTTTCAGATAAAACAACGAGATTTGCTATGTTAGTATATGACATAAATTAGGATTGAATGACATTCAATTGTTTTCGGTCACTTCCGGTTTCACCGGAAATGACTACAACTTTTAATTATTAAATGGCACCCCCGGTTTTTTTTTACTTCATTCAATAAAAAACGACAGTTTGAATAGAATGACATAGATGTCAACTTTTGACATTTTCACATGGTTTATTTGAAATTGTAACATGCGGTTCATAACGACAATTTGACTCGAAATGCCAAGTGTGTGGTATCAAAAATTATTCGTAAAAAATGCTTTTTCCAAATATGCTTATGAGCCACCCTTGTTTCATATTTGATAAAATTGAGATATGATTAAAAATACAATTTGGGCATCTTTTAGCCGGCCAGGACAAGACACTAAAAACATTAGTCGATCAAATCTATTTTTCCAAGGCTCCTTGATTAAAAATTAGTGTTTTTGCCACAGCCATGGCACTCTAGATTGAAATTTAAAATACGATTTTTTATTAAGCAAGGATGTCAACATTTGACATATGATATGTCATTCTATTCAGAATGTCATTTTCTATCGAATAAAGTAAAAAAATACCGAGAGTGCCACTTAAAAATCAAAAGTTGTAATCATTTCCGGTGAAACCGGAAGTGACCGAAAACAATTGAATATGTCAATCAATCCTAATTTATGCCATATTATACTAACATACCAAATCTCGTTGTTATAACTAAAATAACAAAAAAGTTATAGGGGTAAGCCACTTTTGAGACGCACCCGGTATACGCGTTAGAATAATTTGAATTAACACGATATTATGTTAACAATCATTCATTCATTTTTGGTCTCTATTTTCTTATCTATGAACAAAAAACTAACCTGGAGTCTAATTTGCCCAGGCATATCAGTAGAAAATCCGAGGTTAAGTACAGCACTAGGAAATTTTGAACTAACTCTAACTATACAGAACCCAATTGGTACGCATTCATGTTCTTTGTAAATTAGTTTTAAGTACGTATGGTTCTCTATCAACATAAAAGAAGCCCATTTACTTAACATTCCATAGAGAGCAGTAACGGCTTCTCTACATTGCACAACCTGAAACAAGCCGTTAAAAAAGGTGTATTTTATATTTTATTTTTTAGACCCTTTATATTACTTTTATTGATTTGTCGTTCATCATTAATGTCAGCGTTTACATACCTGATATCTTTGCGATGAACTTGACATATACAATGTACTAGGAAGTGGATTGTCATGTGTTAAAACTAAAGATATTCTGTAAGTATGAAACCATTTTCTCCAGTGATTTGTTTCCATCTGACTGATATCTTGCCATATGTTAATGAATTTCAAACAAGAAAGATCCCTTAAATAATGTATGAAAATGTATATGAATAAATATTTCAAAACAACATTAAGAGTACCTAGGGGTCAAGTTTAGTTTAGTGGTATCAGAAGACATAGTATTGTTCGAACTGAACACGGCTATACCACTTCGAACGCTCTCTGGCAACGTATACCAATCTTTATTATTAGTAAGATTACTCAATTGAACTGCCAAATTTAAATCGCCGGAAGATATTTGAGAAAGTCGACTCCAGAATCTTTGGATTATAGCTTGACGAAAAACTGATTTAGTTTCTTTTTTGATCATACAGGTCATATCGTGGAGAAAGTCATATGGAGCTGAAAACAATACATTAAACTGCAAGGGATTCTATACAGGGATAAAAATACTGAAAGCTTACCGTACACTGAAATTTCAAAATAGGTTACATTTTTCGTAGCCGGCCATAAACATTTTAATTTATAGTGAATAAATATCGATGATTTCCATTGGTGTATTAAATTTATCATTAAATTACCGTTCATATAAAATACATCCTAGTAACATCACAAAATTAACACATATATTAAATAATTCAAAGAACGTTCCATAAGTTCGGTGATTAAAGAGCATAACTTACATCTATGATAAAACCTTCTCTCATTCTTCTAGCTAATAAAAGTGTTATGGAAGCACCAGTGCTATCTTCAGTCTGTCTTTTAGACAACAAAGTCGGCAGTCTTTGGTTATAATATTTATCATTTCTAAAAAATACCAAGCCTGAATACTAACTGATATATCAACACTGTAAAAGTAAATATAGTAAAATGTTCTCTTTAACCTTTTAATAATCGAGTTAAATCATATAATTTCCAATCAAATCATCTTAATTTCTACTTGTACCATATAAATATAATTTAAAGCAACCTACGTTAATGTGCGACAACTTGATATATCACAAGATCTGATAAACGAGTCCTTAATGTAATTCCTATTATGAAACGACCAGATCAAAAAGAAGTCTTGATAAAAATTTAGTAAAAAAGACGGATCATGTACCTGCAATAAAAAAAATAGATACTAATTGTAAACTGCTGAATGAGGAATCCTCATTATAGGGTCCAAATATTATAATAATAAAAGTTTAACAAGTAATAGATACTCACTATTTTAGGAAATGATTCTAAACAGGTACCTAACGTAGAATGAGCAAAAAAATCTAACAAATCGAAATAGGAAACTAAGCCAGCAGCCGAATGAGGCTGATAGCTTGATCCTACTTTCAAAAAAGAAACAGCTACCGCATCGTAATGCAATTGATGCAATAGCGTCTCCATCACATTTGAATCGGGCATTGCAACAATCCCATCTGTTATGACTAGAATATCTGAAAAGAAGATTTAATTTAATTAAAATGATTTTTCACTCTTATACGCATAACCAGTGCGCAGCGGTAAAGAAAGTATATGCGCAGTAGATGACATGCAAACTCTTAAGAATATACAGAAATATCTACTTGAGTAATGAGTAAGCTGTGGCATTACTTTATACTTTTTGAAGACAAATATTCTGTACTACAATTTCATTCTTTCATTTCAGTCAAGAAAGTTTTGCAACAAAGTTCACACAAGCCCACTACAAATGTTATTTTAAATGCGTAAAACAACCTTTTTAAATATATACAATCATTTTGGCATACATCACAAGGTCGACAAAATATAAACATTCAACAGGTTTCATAAGTACGTTTCAAAATTAAAAAAATATATTTTTAATTAAAATACTTAATAAATGGTAATTTATTCCTATTAATTATACGGATATACCTTAACTAAAAAATATGATTAACACATAGCGCACAGTAAATACCCATATTTCTATTATATGCTAGGATATTGTACAAAAGGAAATTATTGAACTTGGACTTTTATTTAATAATGTATACATCACTTTTATAATCATATATATATCTGTATTAGATATCTGATCATGCTGAAATTTAGTTGTCAAAATAACTGGTATTTTTTGGATTATATAAAGGTATCTACCACAATTAAGTATTTTTTTAGAAACTTTAAGATTTCGAAAATTAAATAATATAAAAATAAGCCAATCAATAAAAAGGAATAAAAATCTCATTTCTATATTAAGAAAAATCCAGAGCATAAATAATCTTGTTTAAATTTACTTGCAACTTAAAAACCGATTACTATAATTATAACTTTTAGTGAGATAAATATAATTATCAACATATTACATGGAATATTACAGAGACTAATACACTGTAAGAATAATTATTGCTAATTATTTTTAACATAAGCGCTCTCTCTGTTTACAAAATATAATATTGTGTGTTCACATAAAAAAAAAGCGTCGTAGATGGCGTAGAAATATTTCAAATTCTTGACAATGACTAGAACAACTGTTCATTAAATATGTAATAATTTAGAAAAAATAGGTATCTTAGAAAATATTCAAACCGTTTCGTATTTTAATTTTAACGTTTCACAGAGACTTATTTGGTCATTGTCACTGTCTAAAAATATAATCAAAATTAAAACTTACGACTAAGTGTAATCTCAGGTAATAGTGATATTGCTAACATGGAATATCTTAACATATTCACAAAATTAGCATCTGCTGTTACCATAGGCACTTTTGATGGTTTTCCTATATTAACTTGTTCAAAACCACCATTTGTTTCTCTACTAGATATCTAAAAAAATCATGACAAAAATTAATCAACTCGTCATTTATAATTTCTCAGTATGCTAATAACAATAAAAAGAAAGTACATACACAAATAAAATTATTGTAAAGTTCACTGTGTGTATTTTTAGACAAATTCCATTACAAGTAGTAGAAAGAAAAAACGAATTTTTAAAAATAAATAAAGTTACAAAATAAACACTTTTATTGTTGTTCTATCAATTTATAAATTCAAATTATAAAATTAGCTTCATAAGATACTTTTATTTTTTATCATTTGCATTGTTCTTTATAATGTATTTTATTTTTGCTATTACTAGAGCCATATATTTACTGTAGGGAAAAATACAATCGGCGTTTGGTTGAAATTTATACAGGGTGAGTCTTAAAAATGTGCAAATAATTTTAGGGGTAGTATATTTCGACCCCAGAAGCACGATTATTACTTTTTTATTGTTTCTTAACAAATTTGAAAATTTGGACTTTTTTAGTTTTTAGTTAAAAACCACAATTTCTTGATAATATGGCAACATAGATTGGTAGTATATTAAATTTATAAGAAAGAAAACCCAGAAAAGATCCACTAGTTAGATCTCAAAATTTAAGCAAAAAATTATATTTTTTGGAAATTTTCAAAGTAAAATAACTGTTATTTATATATATATATTTTATTCTGTTATTTGGACTTATTTGAAAAACGGTAAAGAGTATAAATATGTTTCTTTTATCGAAATCTACCAGCCCTGGAAATATTTGCCCTTATTTTAAAACTCACCCTATGTAGAATCATTCTACAATTAATCTACATTAAAATCATTTTTTCTAAATAGTCTGTAAAAATAAAATTAAAACTTACTTTTTGGTTGTCGAGCTTATCGAGCGCCTGTATACAAACTTCAGCAATTTTTTCCTCTAACATATCAAAGTGAAGCTCGACACATTTAATTATTTCCTTGATATTTTGTGACATGAGTTTTACGCCCTTTAATATAACTTGCTGAGCTGGACTTACGAAAAACGGCGTATTTACCATAATAGTTAAATAGATTGTAGGTTGGAAAATAATTGTATTGCCTGGTATTGTAAACTAAAAATTTAAATTTCCATTCAATCGATATTAGTAAATTTCTATAATCGATAAACCAAACTTATACCTGTTTTGATAAAGCTTCTATGGTAGTCCGGAATACGTGCAATATCTGATCAAATAAAAACTCTTTCCCATCCGTATCGACGTTGGCATGGCTAGGGCTCATATCGAAACAATAAACGAATCGATACGAATGGGCCATAAACTTCAATTCCGTCCGATAAGTAATTAAAAAACGGTTGCATTTTAAGTTTGAGTTTTGCTCCCTTCCTACAGCGGATAGAACTTCAATGTTTTGGGACGCGTCAAACTGAAAATATTGCCAAAAAGTTGGTAAATCTCATTCAACGACATAGTACAATGAGAGAGAGGTATGAGAAGCTTAGGGTACGTTTATGTTGGAGCTGCGATAAACGATAAAAGCAGTAAATTAGCGCTGCTCTTATCGTTGCTCAACTGCCAAGCGTGTCTCGACGCGTTGCTCCAATATAAACACCTACATATAATAATATTCTTTGCTTCGCTACTGTCGCTGCTCTTATCGTTTATGTTTATCGCCGCTCCAACATAAACGCGCCCTTGCATAGGTGGACGTACGTAAAGCAATTCGAAAACAAAACTTGTTAATTTAATTAAATTCACGTAAGCACGTAATAATATGTAAAAAAAAGATGGGAGCAGGATTAAGTTTGAATCGTTCTATGATAATTGGTTTGGATATTAAAAATCAATTCAAATTTGATTCGGTGTGGCTTCACTTGGCTTTGTGAGAAAATTAAGACAAAAATTACCCATTTTTATGCGCCTTATGCCAGGTGCAGACCAAGGCAGCGGCGTGCGGTGACAATTATAGGCGGGGAAGCGAATCGGTAAAAAAAACCTATTTCGAGACATTATTTTTACATTTTCTTGATAGGAACCGTTGGCCTACCAGACTTAATAATGTCACTTATTTCTTGGAAGTTCCGACTAGAAAATCCCTTTTTTAATAACACACATACAACACAAACACAGTCTAAATTATTGTCCACACTCTCCATTATCTAAATTATTGTCCACACACTCCATTACAAACGAAACAGTAAACACTAAATTAAATCCGAAAAAAAATACAATATTACCTATAAAATCGCAAGCGAACCCGTCCCGATAAATTAAAAGTCGAGGAAGGCGGCCGAAACATCGCTGCCGTGGCTAGCAACTAGCAACTGTGCGCGGTTTTCCGGCTTAAATTTGTCGTTTGCGTTCGAGGTCAATAACACCTACATGAAAGAGGGATAGGCGACCGGCGGCGATTTCCAGGCGCGCATCCAAGCAGTAAAAGGCTAATTAAATTTACTACGGTTATGTAAGGTTTCAAATAAATAACTTTAACAAATTAAATTAATCTTTTGTTATAAAATAACAGTATTATTAACGTTTAACTATTTATTTTTTTTTATCTTTAAAAAGTTTAAAGAAGCGGTGCTTCCCCCGCTTCCATGGGCCGCACGCCGCTGGACCAAGGAGACAAAAGGAAACACGATTTTGAGACAAAAACAAGAAAAACTTGAGACAAATTGTCCACACCGCAAGGACAAAAGTACAGCAACGTCAAAAGTTTAGTTGTTGCGAATGAGTTTTATTAACCATACATATGTGATTTCACTGGTCTCTTACTGTTGGCAGCACACGCCATCCACACTGCACCGACCACTTGTAAAATATAGGAACAAAACATCGACACTTTGATCTTTACCGACTCGAGACAAGACATTGAAAGGTCTCCGAAACAAAAGAAAAGTCTTGAAACGAAACAAAAATGTAGCAGAAATGTATTGGATTTGTCGCAATTTTGTCGTAAAACATGAATGTTTCTGTCTTGTCGATGTTTTGTTTGCTTAGTCTGGACCCGGCATTAGAAACTTAGCAAACATAGTCATAAAATTATGAAAATTTCAGAATTAGAGCGAAATTTTATGTTGATCAAAATATATACACTTTTGAAGGCTTAGGTACCTTGGCCTTGTGAAAAAAAAATTTGTTTTGGACCCTTGTTTTTCAGCTATTTTTGATGAAGATTAAAATGTCCCCTATGTCCTTTACTGTTCTCCTAAGACCAAAATGAGACTTTTTTCCATACATATAGTCATGAAAATTGGTGATTCTCGTCATGTCACCAATTTGGTTAAAACTGCTGTTCCTTACGAACTAAAAGGTGTAGAATAAGAAAATATAGGTCATTGTGGTCTTACGAGAACAGTAATGGAGGTAAGAGACGTTTTAATCTTGATCAAAAATAGCTGAAAAACAAGTGTCCAAAAAAATATTTTTTCGCAAAGCCAAGGAAGCTAAGCCTTCAAAGGTGTATGTATCTGAATCTACATAAAATTAACTACAAATGTTGAAATTTTGATAATTTAACGATTATGTTTGCTATGTTTCTAAGGCGCTTAAAAATGGGTAAAAAATAGACAAAAATGGGCATTTTACCCATTTTTATGCGCCTTATATAGAACATATGTAGCAAACATAGTCATAAAATTATGAAAATTTCAGCATTTGTAGGAAATCTTATGTAGATTCAGAATAATATTGAAAATTTAGATACCTTGGCTTTGTGAGGAAATTATTCTTTTGGACACTTGTTTCTCAGCTATTTTTAATGAAGGTTAAAACGTCCCCTACGTTCATTACTGTTCTCGTAATACTACAATGACTATATTTCCTTATTCTACGCTTTTTAAATAGCAGCAGCAATTAACAAAATCGGTGACATGAGGAAAATCGCCAATTTTCATGACTGTATGTATGGAAAAAAGTAAAAAAATGCCCATTTTTTGACATTTTTTGCACATATTTAAATGATTTTTAGAAAAATAGTCTAGCATCTAGCAGTGCAAGCAGTAACTAATTTAATGTTAGATCATAATATATCTTGTGCAATCTTGTGTGGTGTAAGTGGTGTTATTTAATATAATTTATTATACTCTTTGTAAAAAAGGAAGTTTTTCCCAAATGTTTTCATTTTTAGTATGGTAAAGTTTAGACAAATTGTACTTTTGACTCACACTGTATAATAATAAACTTTTCTCATTTTTTGATATCCAAGGGCAATTTTAGTTTACTTTTACTATTAACTTTACAGTACTTTTAATTTATTAAAATATTAATCATAAAAAATCAGAACTATTGCTGCAGCGCTGTTTTGGAACTCCTCAAATAATGATGATTTTCTCAAAATAATCAAATAACATCAAATAACATGCAGTAACCATTTAGGGATGATTTAGGGATATCAAAATTTATTTTGTATTTATGAATGATATTGACTTATTGATTTATGAATGATATATAAATAAACTGTTTTTATATATAATAAACATTATATTAATTTGTAAAACATGATACTTTATACATTTATGTACTTATTTATATATCTGGGACTTTGTTTCTATATAGCACCTATAAAACATAGAAAAAAAGCGACAAAACCAAAAAGCTTCACTTACAGATTTGCAATTGGAGGGAGAGACAATCTTATTTAAGTGATCCAAAAGCCACTGTACTCTTGCTGCTCTTGACACTGGAACATTTCTAGGTAAGAGTAAATAGACAACTTTTGCTTCCACAAAATCTGGTTGATTTTCATCACTGAATATGAATTCATTGGGGAAATTAAGTCCATGTTCTAAAGACAGTTATTTTCTTAATATAAAATGCATTATACCAAGTGAAAAAATTGAAAGTAGTAGGTATGTATTATAGTGCGACAACCACTTGAGACATACTATATGAAATTATATTCTATTGTAAAGCTTATATTACATACCATATATCTACTTAATGTTAATTTTAGAGAATATTGTCTCTAGTATTTTACCTGATAGGGATAATTCAACACCTTCATCTGAACACTGGCTTTGAGAATCAAATTCCATTATCACTCACATTATAAAGAAATAAATCAGGGTAAAGTAAAAAAATTATGCACGCAGAAATCATAAATATGACAATGTCCAAGAAACTACCTACAGCTATGTTTACTACATAAATAAAAATTTAATTATTTTTAAGTGCACCACACACAATCACAACCGATTTATCAGATGTTTTTGACAGCTGTCTGGGCCCGAACTCGGAGATCGATTGATGCATTGGTGCCAGCTAACAAAAGAAAAGTAAACATAGATACTCAAGCCAGTGCCTTCTATTAAAGATCAGCCTACGGGCGAGATTTATGACGTCACACTAGTTAGATAACAGTTAATAAATATGTTGTAGAATACATGGAATACATAATTATTCCTCAGATTTTTGGTTTGTATTTTAAAAATGATATAGTTTACATGAAATATACATAATATACAGTTAATAACTACAACATATATACCTATTTATAGTAATAAATACTTTGGCAAATATACTATGAACCATACAAATGCAACAAATGTTTTACAATGTACAAATAATGTATAGGTACATAAGATAATGGGTAAAATGTAAATATATTTTAAATTTTGGGGTTTGAAAATCGATCTAATTTAACAAAAAACATTCAATATCTACTAATAGTGACGATTATTATTTGCATTCTAAAATTCCTTAGTATATTGTTGCGGACCCGTACCGTGTGAACTCGGCCTTAGGCTTGGCCACTCGGCTATGACTCCGCCCACCGACGCGCTGGTGGGGCCGATTGCCATTTGCGGCCAGAACCTTATAAAACAGAAGTTGCTTTTTCAATAAGTTTTGATGACCATAGAATACAGAAAAGACCGAAATATTATATTATGCACAGAAAAAAAATTTGGATGCAGATCTGTAACCAGTGAAGGGCAGTAATGTCGAAGGTTTAGTTCTACCGTGTATAATAAATGCAATTTGTAGGGCCCGAATAATAAGTAAAATTTCTTGGTTAGTTTTTCAATACAATTAATTTTTTGCTTTTTTTTTATAAAAGTACAATATTACTTGACTATTTCTAGCTATATTTTGAAAAAAAAACTTTTTCACTGATGCGTACTAAATTAATTAATAAATTAGTATAAAATAAAAAATAAAATATGCTATTTAACCTTGAGTTTTGTTGAGTGCCCAAAGTTGCCCAATTTATTGGCTGATGTTTTATGAAAGATTGGACATTACCCTTCATGTATTTGTCAAACCATCTTGCGCAACTTTGCGCAACTTTAAAAAAAATATTTTTAAAGTAAAGTAAAAGTAAGTATGTCCCTGGTACTTTGAGTAATAGATACTATAGGTCTTTATGATTTATTTAGATTAAGTTCGTGTGATTTTAATAAAATCTGATACTCATGAATCGCCTGTAATCAAGCACATAGTTAGGGGGTCCAAGAGTCCTAGACCCTTCAGCCCCACCCCACCTCAAATCTACAAATTTTGTGGATTTTAACTGAATTAATGCTTAGATTGAGGCTTAGATAATATACAATGTCCCCACTCCTTTTTTACTTTTTAATGGAACAACATGGAATTTGAAGTAAAAGGCAATATGGTAAAAATATTACGTTTTTAGTCTAAATATGACAGTTTAAAATTTCAAGATGGCGGCTTAACTTATTAAAATATCCACACGTAAATTCAAACTATGATATGTACTAAAATAATGAACCGATTTTAAAAATTTAAGCATTTAAACAAATTATTTTTAAACTCATTACATTACGCTAAATTTAAAACCTTTTAGTTGCTCCAATCCAAAAATAGAAGGAGAAAAAAAATGTGGCACCCAAAACCACCCTTCCCCCGAAATGGTTATTAAAATTTTTGGAACCCCCTCATCATCCGAAATTAATTTTTAGATGCTTGCCTGTAATAGGTACTCGAAAAATCTAGTCCATACTTTCTTGATTACGTGCCGACTACTCATTCTGAGACATGTGAGACCACTATTGAAAATAATTATTTTTTTACTTCTTCAAAACTAGAATCCAAAAACAATATTTATTTTTTTATCAAAGTTGTTGGTTACATACCGATAAAAAAATATATCAAACAGACCGATAAACAGACAGACCAGTCCAGTTTTCATTAATACCATCATGGGAGAATATTATTTTTAAATTTATTAAAGATATTTTCAATAGGATTCTCTTGATTTATAACTCGTACCCACTTTTCTTGCTCTTCCGGGCACTTTAGGCTGCCTAGTATAACTATCCTTTCCACCAGGAACACAACAAAGATGAGGCATAGCACCAAAAACACACTCCACTTAAGCTTTATTGATGAATTGTTAGAGTCTTAAAAAACACACACAAAAACACGATAAGTAAAAATATGGGCACTTTTAGGTTAAATCACTTACACAACGTGTAGTTTTTCAATTTTTCTATTTTTATGCGAAACCAAAATATGCACGCAGAAATCATAAATATGACAATGTCCAAGAAACTACCTACAGCTATGTTTACTACATAAATAAAAATTTAATTATTTTTAAGTGCACCACACACAATCACAACCGATTTATCAGATGTTTTTGACAGCTGTCTGGGCCCCAGACTCGGAGATCGATTGATGCATTGTTGCCAAGCTAACAAAAAGAAAAGTAAACATAGATACTCAAGCAAAGACTACTAGCCTTGTCTACTAGTCAGTAGTCATGTACTAGTCTTTGACTCAAACCACAGAAATTAAATAATTTGGTGTAAATGGAATTTTTCCGTATAATCTTTTATTATTGATAACAGAAAATCAAAGGGATGCATTAAAAATTATTAATTCTTAATATAAAGGATGCTTCATTGAATAAAATCTAAAAGGATTTAGGAGTAGGGAAAAAAATTGTGAATAATTATATTTCTAAATAAGGATATATGTATGACTATTTTATAAATAATATGTTCCTTTAAGTAGTTTGTAGCATTTTATTTCAAAAATAATAACAATTACTCTTGTCATTCTCACTGAAACTTAAAAAATAAATAAAATATTACAACAAAATTAACATAAACAGCATTCTCAGTATTTCTCGAACCAGACTAGACCCATTATGGTAACAAATACGATTTCGGTGGATTAGTTATATTTGATACAGCTGGAGGTGAATTATCTGTAGGTAGAGGTATTCTTGGTTTTGGTTTCTCCAATAAAGATCCAATTTCGGATAAAAGAAAACGGGACACTTTTATCAAAGCTATGTGGGCAGCATATTGGAGAATAAGAGCACCAAACCCTTTATATAGACCTGCTGTACCCTCTTGTGAGATACAGCTGTCGTAACAATCCATAACACCTCTATAGCTTGTTAGAATTGCAATTACTGAACTTCCATTATCTAGATTATCTATAATAGTACGTGTACCCTAAAATAACATTGATAATGTATACAGTCGTTTAAATAAATATAAAGAAATCACACTTGTAAATATAAGCGATGCACAATTGTCTCACAAGGATAGAAAACAATATCACTGGCTATGGTAGCAGTCACAGATGCCGTTAAGTTAATTTCCTGGGCTGCTTGATTATTGACATCTTTTGAGCTAGTGCACTGCAATATCCTAGCTGCAGCCCCTCTAATCATCATGGAAAATAAATATCTTGTTATTCCTAGGGCCACAGTTGGAACAATAAGGGCCCAAATAGGTAACATCCGGCCCTTTGCTGGAGCTCCCCAGTTTAGCAGCCTTATAAAACCTTCTCTAAAAACATCCAAAATGCCAGGTCTTTCACTAGCAATTTCACTTTGGACAGTCTCAACAAATGATGCCGAATAAAAAGGTGTTACTAAAGCTAGGCTTGCACTAAAACATAAAGAATTTAGATTATAAAAATACAGCTATGCTAAGAAGTTCATACCATTTTAACATAGTATGTTGACAAAACTGCTTTAAGCTACTGTGCCAACCTATTTCTCTGAAAAAATATACTGATTCAATAGTGAGTTTTCGAGAAAACTAAACATATTTACTTTGGCCATGGGGTAAGCTTTGAAATTAAATCTTCTATACCTAATGTCATGCCTCTTACAAGAAGAGCTGATCCTAAACCTTTCCATAACGTTGTCAGTCCTTGATGTTGATGTAAATGACATACTGTTGGTACTAACGTAAAAGGTAACAAGTGATAGCGAATTGAAGAATGATTGACCTAGAATTATTTAAAATAAAACGAATGTTATTTCACAAATAACTTACATAAAATAAAGCTTTACCTGGCATTGTCTACGCAGTATTAAAAATGGATGACTTAATAAATTTTCTGTTATTAAACTAACAAAAGCGACACCAGAACCAATATAACGTTTTACAGTCACATCTAAAATTAATTCGTTTTAAACAGCTTTTCAGTAGTAATACAACATACCTTCGTAGCTTTGGTAACGCTTAGGACTCTTCTGATTTGCATACTGAACTAAAAGATCTCTGTTTGAGTAATAATCCTCTTGGCTTGTTATATCTGGGTATTTATAAGGGTCATGCAAGTGTACACCCATATAGGGAGCAGGGTTGTCTCGTGGATCCATTCTTTTTATTTATGTAATATTTATAACATTGTTGAATTAAAATTCCTACCTAGACATGCATTTCTTGCTATCTACTTGACATATACTGTTAATAACTAAGTAGCATGTGTGAAAATAACTATAAAAATTAAAAGTTTTGTTCAAGAAATCATAACAAATCACTGCTTTTCTGATTATTAAATTTAAATATCACCGGCTGCATACAAATTGATATTAAAAATTTATATAGAAAATGTCATTTACACAGCTGGACACACAGCTGGAGTGACAAACGTCAAACGTCATCCACAAGGTTATAGTCATAGACACGAAGACCAAAAGGTAATGGATTTATTAATCTGTGGTTAGTGGGTGCCTCGTAATTTTGGACCAATCAGTGAACACCGCGTAAATACGTAATTTAAATTTAAAGCATGCAAATTTTAAAATTTACTTCTTTCATTTCGTTGTTAGAACAGTAGTATTTCTCTCTAAAATTTATATTACATATTCTTAAAATTTTAATAATCGGTAAGCTAAAATGCTCATGGTTGTCAGAAGGGGTAAATATTGATGGAACCAGCCACCTTTCTCAGGATCTTCCACTCTCTTTGCTGCCGCATCAAATATTCTTTTTATCTTCTAAGTTAGCTCTCACCATTTAACTTTGGTGGCCCAAATAACTCAGGTCCGTGGGGGCGTCACTCCCCAAAGCGGTAAAATCCTACTGCCCTGCCCCTGCGGGGTTATAACCTGAATTATTATTAATTATATTAATTAATGTTATTAATACTGCATATTATTAATTAAATTTTGTAAATGCTATTCATATCTTTCTGATAACAAATAATATTTTATTTTTATTTGATTTAGAGGTTTAGGAAGGTGGATTTTAAATTATCACATCTGATTTTAGACCAAATAACACTTCCAGTAAAATCGTTCTAATAAGAAAAGGCATAAATAAGGATTCTACAGTTATTAACAAAAAATATATTATTTCATTCTATATATGATATAAGGCTCTTTTTCTTAGTATTCCAATATATCCTATGTAGCAATAAGCTATAATAAGAATAATTAGGAAGATTAAGTTGTTGCTAACTCTTTCATATGTTTGTCCAAAATCATAATTTCCTAGTACATCTGTCCCATTTTCAAAGCAAGTGGTAGTGTCGATCTCACTACAGTTTGCTGAAAATTATCATAAGTATAAGTATTTAGCTTTGAGTATATTTGTTAAAAAACCTACTTATATGGCCCACGTCTAACCAGTAGACTATACATATTGACTCATATGTCACATAAAAAGGAGATATGTATTTTACGATGGAAAAAGCCTTAGATAGAGTATGAATTCTGATCCATAATCCAGAAAGTACCAAACAAAGAATTTCAAACGGTACTATAAAAAGATTGATATATTCTAAGGTAGGAAAAAGTGCAGATAAGCATAATCCTAAAATGGTTAAAAGCAGATGTTGAATTATTATGTATTTAGGCCTCTCTATCTCACTCTATGTACTAACCCAAAGAGCTGCCACATACAGAAGTTAGAAATAGTATCAAATACATTTCCAGCAATAATTTACTTGTGGTCAGAAATGGAAGACATGTAAAATAGATTATTAAAAATACCAGAGAGTGCACTAATGCAAATGGAATCTGAAAATAAAATTAAGCTATATCTATTAATAATTCATTATTAATGAAAACAAAATAACTTACTAATGATACAGTTTTAGATAAAAAATAAGGTAATGGAGAATATAATTCCTTTTCTTGTACAAATATGTTAACTTCTTCTGGAAAGGTATAAATAGCCTGATACATTTGAATAAATATTAATTCTGATACTATAAGTAAAAGGACACCTTGAATACTTTGCACTGCACTTGTTTCTGCTAATGTGACATTTGAGTATACAATACCCAGTATTGAGGCAGTAATCTATAAAAAAAATGTATATATTAATAATGCCAATAACATTATAAAATGTAGTATTTTTGAGGCTTTTACTTACCACTGTCAAAATGAATGAAAAATAATGTTCTTCTGTATTTCTACCCAAATTTACGAACACTCTCCAAGATAACCACTTAAGTTCATGGAGAAATCCATTTTCCTTTTCTCTGTGTAAAGAGGAAATTTGAAGTATTTCTGTAATATTTAATTTAATACTTACTTGTATTTAAGCAAAAGCCCATGATATCCGTTTTCTGGAAAATCAAATTTTAAACTGTAATCCTCTTTGAATTGTTTAACTAGATCCTCGATTTTCCTTTCATCGTTTGGTGTTTTAATTATTATATGATTTAAATAAAAATCCGCTGGGTTATATGACGATGGACAAAATAGTAATTGGCTGAAACACTATTAATTTATTTGATGTACGACAATTTGTGAATTCAAATAGACCTTTCAAAAAATGTCTTTGCATTATCCTTAGATCCTTCAAAAACGATTTTACCATTCGGTGATAACATGATAATATTATTAAATAACTCGAATACTTCAGATGATGGTTGATGAACTGTCATAAACACTATTTTTCCTGAACTCGCAACCTCTATCAATATTTTAACAATAGTTGTAGCGCTAAAGCTATCTAGACCAGAAATAGGTTCATCACAAAATAGAATATACGGATCTGAAAATAACTAGAAAAAAAATCTGTAATATATATTTTTAGTTGTATTTTATATTTATCAACAATGTGCATAAAATATATACTTACACACGATAATAAGGACAGCCTTCTTTTTTCTCCGCTAGATAAATTTTTAATTTTGACGTAGGTTAGATGCCCCAAACTAAGATTTTTTAACAATAAACTTATAATTAATTCACGTTCTGTCTTGGTCTTGTTCAAAGACATTGCTGCCTAAAAACACTGACTATTACTTCAAAATATAATCACAAAATTCTCAGTTAAATTCAGATTTATTTTGGCTATAGGTCCAAACCCACCTTGAATGTAATATGTTCCTCAACAGTCAGGTTTTCAAAAAATACATCAGATTGTTGTAAATATGTTGAGTTACTTCTCAACATCTTCCCAGTTATAATTCTTCCGTTAATTTTTAGTACACCTCGACCTAAATAATATTAGAATAGCAAATATAAAAATGAAAAACGAAATATATTAATTTAAGATATTTCTTTATCTGAAAATTATATAAACCATCACAGTACAAAGTACAGTTACCTTTTCTTTGTCCTGAAAGGAGCGTAAGAAGAGCTGTTTTTCCACATCCACTAAAAATATCAATAAAAAATATGTAATACATAATGAAGAACAATTTAATGTTTGCTGTACCTTCCTCCAATTATGGCTATTACCGAGCCAGAAAATGCACATCCTGAAACTAATAGATATTGGTTAATGTTAATATCTCTTCAATAAATAATAACGCCAGAAAACTAGCCAATACATTTCAAACATAGATTTTTTTTATATTTCTATTTGTATTGGACGTCAAAATATGGGTAATTAACTGGACCATTATGGACTTACCGTCATCAATTAATATTTTTCGTTTTTTACTCCCATTTAGGAAAGATCCACATCTCTCTTCTACAGAATAATTAATATTATGCCATGTGAATATAAATTTTGCCTGCAAACATTACAAAGTCATCACAAATAATTAGTTTCGAATGATTTTATATAAAAATATTACTTCAATATCAAATAAAACAACAAAAATATTAATATTATTAAGTCTCCAAATAATAAAAAATCTAATAGGTAGTGATTTAACTTAAAAAAAAATATATTTTTTATATATTACAGTAAAACTAAATATTGTGTTATGCACTTACCATTATTCCCGTATGTCTAAAAGGTAGTTTTAGATTGTGAAAACTTTTCTACTTTAGTTTGTACTTTATTTATTTAATATGTAAATAATGATAATTATTATAAAAGATGTGCTTTTCATTAACTAAAACCAGACTTGATCATAAAAATAGAATTCTGTAAAATAAATCGGCTCTTCAAAAAATGATATACATATAGTTGGTAGTTTTCTAGCACTTCTAAATAATTTGTGGCATATAGTGCATATGTATTATTTCATTAAATTTAACCATGTCGAAAGATTATTTTTAAGACTGGGTTATTTAATTAATTTAGTAAGCAAATATTGATAAGTTGAATGCTTTTGAAACAATTTTATTTCAGGTACATATATGTTGATTTAAATGTGCAATATCTTCTTAATAAAACAATTTTTATGGCTCATGTAATATTTATTTATAAAAAAACATAGATTGAAACGAGCTAATTTTTCATCTTATTTATTTTCAAAAAATTATATGTAAAATCAGACAAAAACATTTGCTACAATATAATATTAAAGTTTACACTTATACAACGAAACAAACATTTTAGACGGTTAAGAAAATAATTGAAAAAAACGCGTGTAAAAAATATAATAATAATAGTAATATAACAGAAAAGAGAACTGTCAACAGGAACATTTGTTTCCGGCTAGATCAGGATTCGAGTCGTCAGCCAATGAAAATTGATCTCCACCTTTGTTTTTGTTTATTACATTATCCAATTCTAATATCTGCAAAAATAAAACAACATAATTATCATGTAATCATAGAACAAGGATTTGTTTGCATTGTAAAGGTAGCCAAACACCCCATAGTTTTCCTCAAAAACACTGTCCAAACCTGGACTCTATAAAAAACTATAATGCGCGCCCAGGGACGCGCCAAGTATTTTCGGCCGCGTCGTGCGAAATAAGGGTAGGCGCCTTTCTCCAATATTGTAATATTGAGCCAAAATTTCCAATGACCAGCGGCGCGGCGCTCGACATTGGTGGATAATATATTATCACCACTAGCGTTCATAGATAAAAGTATTACTTAAATTTTATGTTAATTTGTTGATAAGTTCCAAAAAATGGTTTTATTATTTTTTAAAATCAACGACCGCAGGCGCCCTTAGGGCTTTGGCGCCGTCGTGCGCCGCACAACCTTGCCCATATGGACGGCGCGTCCCTGTGCGCGCCTCCTTTTGCGCGTCATCCAGGTTGGAACTGCGCAGGGTATACACAATCTCAGTCTGGATATGGATCATCCGCATTAAACTGTATGTGTGTATTTGTATGTGTGTGTGTGACTACAACTTTATGTAACATTAAATTCACAAAAATTACTTTTTGGACTAGGGTTTTTGCTGCATCATCAATATTAATATTATCTCTGGCTGATGTTTCTAACCAAGCTGTAAAACCATTTTCTCTACAGTATTCGTCCATTCTAGCTGGATTTGTAACTAAACCTTCTTTTTGTTGATCGCACTAAAAGGAATAGAAATATTTTAATGTAAAATTGACTATAAAATATTAAAAAAGTACAAAGTAAAATAAGTACTTTATTAGCAAGGAGAACACATGGTATGGGTGATCCATCAGGTAACTGAACTTTGGAATCTAAATCTGATTTCCAGTTGGCCACAGATTCAAAAGTAGTTCTTCGAGTTACATCAAAAACAATAAATGCTCCTACTGCTTCTTTGTAATATACTCTTGTCATGTTCCCATATCTCTCTTGACCTATAAAAGAGTAATACAATTACCCAATATCTCATTTAATAATGTACTTATTATTAACTAATGTCTTTACGGTATCCAATTTATTTTATAATCTTTTTAAATAATATACACAATCGAATAGAGAAAACACAGCCAATAACAACTTTCAGTTTTAAATACAATAAAATGTTAATAAAAGTATATATTTGTATAATTGAATTTATAACTTTCTCTAAATTTTCAATCATTTCACACTTCCACGTTTTATATTCTAGTGGGAATTTTTTTTTTATTTCTGCTATCTATTGTATTAAAACTATTCTTATATTGTCATAAATATAATTTATTTAAATATATTTTTACTGATAAATTTCACACCATTTCTAGTATTTTGAACATCTATAATAGAGTTTGCTATTTACTTTTTAAAGTATATTTTTAAAAAACGGTGTCGCAGTAGCATTTTAAAATAACCATCGATGACAATTAAAAAAATATTTTTAGCAACTAGAATTGCGCCTGTTAATGCTTACCGGCAATATCCCAGAGTTGTAACCGTATTACTGTATTTTCATCCCAGTTTAGTACTTTTAAGGCAAAATCCACTCCTATCGTTGCTCTGTAATGTTGGGTGAAGAATCTGTGAACATACCTTTTGATTATAGAAGTTTTGCCAGTTCCCAGGTCTCCAATAACTAATATTTTGTACAGATGATCTTTTGGCTTGTTAACATTTGTCTAAAAATAATGTTTTAGTATAAATTAACAATTTATTATCAATAATATAACCTAAAATGTTTCACATCGTGTACAAAAATGCAAATAATGCAATATAAGTAATAGTTTTTATTTTAAATTTTAATACTCACATAAAAGGACCCAAGGGATTTTGACATATTAGTATATTATTGTATAGAAAAATTAAATTATAAAATACGATTGTATATAGACAAGAAAATTAAAAATTATTTAGACTAAATAAACAGAGAATTAAATATATTGCTATTCTTTATTATTATTTTTTAATTTTTTATACTAACTGCTCTAAATTTAGACTATTAAAGTTTATAGACACCATAAAGTGAAGAGTCCATTTGATAAAATAGAATCCGTTCTCTATTTCGATTATCTCAGTTTGGCGCGCAGTTTGGCCAGTTATTAGAAGAGATATACTTTAATTGTTAATAATTTAAATAATAAAAAAAGGTAGATGCTATATGATCATAAAGTTCTAGAATCAAGCGTCCTTTGTATGATCACAAAACAATTTGAAAAACTATCTATTCTGTTAAAATTTTAACTAAATATCCTTAAGAAAAATAATTAATTAAATAAATGATTTAAATAATGTCGTATTTCTCTCAATCTTAATGTGTATATTTGTACTAATATTATAAAAAATACCTTTTGAATTAATATATAAATTGACTGCTAATCTAATAAAATTATAGAATATCTAAAATATAATCTAAGTTTTGCTGTTATTGATTAGAGACTTTCAAATGTAGTGTGTTTTGTCTGTGAAACCTAATATCACAATATTGATATCGATTTCTCAAACCTTGAAAAGAAGATACTATTTCGTTTTTAAAATACTTATATCTATAGAAAATGTACCTTATTTTCCTGTAGTTCAAAAACTTAAAGTTATTCTTCTAATAAAATATATAGAAAATATATTTATTTCATAGTAGAGAGACATAGATATAATCTTTGAACTATACTAGATTTGACAGTGAAAAACTGATATTTATTTAAAGTTTTTCAGAAATGCATTTTATACATTCACTTTAAAATTGTGATGTATTTTAAAATTTAATATGATTTTTTAAGCAATTTGTAGCTAAATTTATTGACTTTTTAGTGTCTGATTCTAAATTAAAAATGAAAGTTCCCATGTGCCAATTATAGGAGGAAAAACAAAATGTTTCACCAAAATGATATTTTGGTGAAAGTTTCAAACACCCTGTGGAATATGTTAGCAAAACAAGGATTTTAAAAACATCTAGATAGTACGTCCTTTTTCGATAGTTTGTTTTTTGATTCATCTCCATTATCTTTATTTCTATCATAGATATTCGCTTTTGAATAAGACAGTAACGATTTAGAACAACTTGTGAACATGAAAATTTTAAGATGCCCTAAACATGAAAATTTTAAGGTAATTCCTCGTGCCCGTTTTTTGTATATCCAGCAAAATAATGAACTGATATATTAGAATAAATTTCCAATAAATGTAATTATAATTAAATATACCGCTAGAATTGATGCATCCAAAAGTAATTCTCCGTAAGCAGGCATATTTGGTATATTTTCTAATGATCTAGTCCTCACAAATATTGTTTTGTCCGTTTCCAAGTCTTCACTATACTTGGACAGTTCCAAAACCTCACTGGCAAGGTCTGTCAAAGGTTCCTCGTCAATATTACCGAAATCCTTCGAAGTTTTTCCAAAATGACCCTCTGAAGCTGACTTCGCCAACACAAATTGAGTTTCTTTACTCGATTTTTCACTTATTCCTTTTTCAGCGGCTGATAAACTGACAGATTTCTTCAATCTCGGCGTTCTGGATTTTGGTTTCAGTTTTTCCAAAACGGCTTCTTTGATTTTGGAACTTTTCGAAGATATAATTTGTCTCACATTCTTCGAAGGTTTTTCTTTTCTATCTAGTCTACTCTCGGACGAATAACTTGCTTTTTTCATCTTACTATTACTTCTAATGCATAACGAGCTCGTATTCGTGTGTAACTGGATTACTTAGGTTTCAGATAACATTATAATATTAAAGTAATTAGTCAGTGGTTAGTAGAGAGTAAGTGTATTAGGGTGTTTTAGCAGCGTATATAATTTATTTTTTCTGATGAGTTTATTTTTTACTTCTTCATATTGGACATAAATTGAAAATTTAATTGAAAATAGAGTAAACAATTTATGCTGTTAGTGTAGAAAGGATATTCAATTTCAAAGACAACATCATTAATTATCAATCGATATTGTTGTGAAAGCTAAATGATACATACATAATTATTGCAAATCAAAATAATTTATTAATAATAAATTGTTTTGATAAGCTATATTAAGCTAAATCTATAAAATAGATGAATTCAAAAAAAGTTTAATTTTACAGTCAATACATTTTGTTATTGATTAAAACAATAAGTTGTAAATCATGATTATAATGACGTTATCTTAAAAACGACATTATTCTAATTCAATGCAATTATTTAAACTATATGATTATATAGAATATTGCAATATTTTTCGGGTTATACTATTTAATAGACGCATTTTATTTATTATAGGTTTATTTAAGGTTTTACTAAATCTCTCTAACTTGAGCTACTATATATTCTATCTCAGATTACATTTAAGAGGCTTAGAACATACCTACGAAGCTAAATCGTTACATTCGAGAAAGAACTTCATTCATTTTATTACATGCCCATATCTATACAAATGTTATATTATGTTTAAAAAAATATTATAATGTATAAAGTATAATTATTCTATTTTGATATCTCAGATTATATTTTCTTGATGAGAAAAACTGTCATATTTCAGTTTATTTGTAATGAATTATCTAAGATATATATTTTTTATATCCAAAAATAATATATTCGAAATTATCAGATTCCTGACTTAAATTTTTAAAAAATTACATCAGATTTTTTCTTCTTATCACGTTATGGTGAAATAAAAATTACAGGAAATATAATTAAAAATCTACGTCTTAAAATTTCCCCAACATAATTTTTTCGAAGAAAAATATATTTTTTTGTTGTATTCTTCTTACAATATACAGGGTGTCCCAGAAATAAGTGCTAGTATTTTAACTAGTAGTATAGTTGATCCCTAGAAACACGCCTATGAGGGTTTTTTCGCAAAAATTTTTTTTTAAAATTCGAAATTTTTTGACAAAATTTTTGAATTTTTTTTTAGTTTTTAGTTAAAAACCATAATTTCTTGATAATATGGCAACATATGTAGGTATTATATTAAATTTACAAGAAAGAAAATCCAGAAAAGATCCAGTCGTTCTCAAAATTTTAGCAAAAAATCACTTTTTTTGGAAATTGTCAAAGTAAAATAATACCGTTATTTTGGACTTATCTGAAAAACGATCAAGAGAAAATATGTTTCTTTTATCAAGATCTACCACCCCTTAAAATACTTGCACTTATTTCTGGGATACCCTGTATATTAAATATACATTTAAATTCTCACGACTCGTGTACTTGACAAACATTTGTAATAGGTCTACAGGGTATATATGGTGCGTCGGTCATCTATACAGAATTTCTAAGTTATTTATTATAGGAACTATACTTGCCAAGTAGACGAGTCGTGTGAATGCGCCTTAACAGACAATAAATTGTTATAGGCTTGGTGCGTTCCTCTATGGGTGCGTTCTCTATAAAAAAAAACTTAAATATTATGACAAAGCCACCATTTTAATTATGTCAATGCGATCGACATGAACGGAAACGTGATTGCGTGAAATCGCGTGAAATACCTTAATCGTGCACTTCTAATTTCTTCCGTATGGAGCGCTGCGATCGGAATTTTTAAAATGAACCGAAATGCACCAAGTTTATAGGTTAATGCCACTCAAAAGTGAGATTATCTTTATTTTTAATATTTTAAGAAAAACTTAATTCAGTTTAAATTAGGTATGTTTGTTTAAAACCGTTTGTTTAAAATTTTTTAACCGAGTTAAAAATTTAGGTGAATTATTTTTGATTCGGCACCAAATCGATCCCCTGAGTGCGAGTTAAAAAAGGCGCGGGGGCAGATTTCCCATATTAATCCGGCTATACCCTTTATATAAGTAATAACTATGAATTTATTAATTTATATTAATAAAGTCAAATTTTATAATTAACTTGAGACTAGAAATACCACACTTAATTTCGATGTTTTAACTGTACATTAGTTTTTTGTTTCTCTAAATATGCTACGATGTTTTATAATAGTTTTTTAGAATAAATAATACGTTATAGAGTATTCAAAAGAGTATATTGGTTATTATTTATTTGATTGTAGCCTTACATAATATGAATAATATAGAATATAGAATATAGCAACATGTTTATAAAAAATAAAAACAATTTTTTTTTGCAGAAAAACATATATTTTTTCCCCAATTTTTTTTATTTATTTTTGTAATAAAATGCATATTTTAAATAAAACTATTTAATTATGAAATATACCATGTGCAACTAGATCATCTAAAACATAATCAAACAATCCCACAGGTGTGTAACTTTTTAAATTTTTTAAAATAAGTAAAAAAAACATGCATATAGAAAAAATATAAAAAAAGTTGTACTAAAAAATGAAAAAGTTATTAAAATTCACAGAATTATTGAAATACGTTTTTCTACTCTAATAAACTATTTTTATCTACCGTGATATTATTGCCTGCCTGTTGTCTATCATTCAGTGACACCAAATAATTATTTTTTGATGAAAAATTCACAGATTCTGTTGAGGTTTCCCTACACAACGTCTTATTTCTGTCATATCTTTCGCGCCTCTTGCTTCTCTCTTTCCTGGTTCTTCTGTTAACTTTTTTCTCTTCTGACATACTAACTCAACTACATTCAACTTTGTCTACGTTACTATTAATGACTAATGTTGTTAATTCAAAAATTTCATTCAGATAAGTTTAAATTATAACCTTTTTCTGTTTTATCGTAGTTTACCACCGAGTTGATTTTATAGGCGCATGTGTTTCTAAATCTTTACTTAATATTATGTATTAATCGAACTCATCGTGCGCGTAGATATTTCACAGCTTTAATAATAGTTTTATTTATTAGAAAAATTATTAATAAAATTCGATAATTTATTATTTTGGTCGTTATAATAATAACAACACACTCGAGTTATTGATTTTCGAGAAGTGATATATATATACTTGATTTAATAACAAAATTCTCTACAAAGATCAATGACACTAAATTATATTGGGAAATACAGTAGCTAAAACGATATAAGTACGTTCTAAAGTGCGACTTTTTAAAAAAGTTTCCAAAAATATATGTAACTTTTAATATTTTTGGCTTAAAATGTTAACCCCCAGTGCAATTAGGTATAAACAATAATATTATTAATAAATTAATAAATAATACTTATAAATAAGAAAAATTTTAATGATCGTGAAATAATGTTTTGGTTAGATACAAAAATGAAATAAATTTACTCACCATTTCAATACGGATCCTCTTCTTATAATGTAGATATTGACATTGATTACTTGTCTAAATAAACTGCTTTAAGCACGTAATTTAAAAGTAAACTAAAATACGAAAAACACTACACTTAGTGGAATGTATGTTTAGGTAGAATAGTCTCTTCTTAGCATCACTAACTGATAAGCGTTTTCACTCTTTGATAAGAAACTGTGATTAAAATACTTTTAATCGGATATGTGGCGTAAACAGCATGCCGGTGCTCTTAAGAACTCAATCTCTTCTTTTTTGATCGGATCTACTGTTAAAACTGAATGCCGCGTCCTTTTTTTGCTACAATTTCAGATCGCTTGCAAACTGACTTTCACTAATATATAAATTTGGTTCTTAGATAATGGTGTTATTATATTTTTGAAACTGTGCATTCGATTTCTCGATTCACCTCAACACTGCTCAGACTTCTGACCTTTACTGTATCAGCCCGAGATATTGTTTAAACGGTTTATTTACACATTAATTAAGCATATACATATGTATGTATAAAACAGCGTGCATTGATGTTGTTGGAAAAATATACAAGTTATTGAAAATCAAATTAGCTTCTTATAAATAATTACAGTATTCTTTAATATATTTTAACTGTGCAGTTACAAGGGAGGTTAATCAACCGGTCCGCTTTTTACTAATTTAATAAACCTCGTATCATGATTCTTGATCAACTGTATTATAGATAAGATATACTAAGATACTTTTATCTATTTATTTATTACTATTTTAAATAAAAGTAATAAGGTTCTTAAAATAAAACGTTTAAATTATCAATTTCTAAAAAGAATTATTTATCTTGCACCTTTATATAAAGGTTATTATATGTTACAATACATAACATATTAAACATTGTGGTAATACAGTTATAATAGCGTAATTAATTTATTTTACGATGTCACTCATTTGCTTTATGATAAAGAAATAAAAAAATTACACGAAACAATAGTACACAGATTAAGCTACTAGCTACCCAAATTGTAATACATTAGCTAAACTAAATATAATAACTGTAAATATATAATCTTTTGAATAAATATATAAATCCACCTATGGGCCTTAAGTCTGAAGGCAATAAAAAATCAGAATAGGAGTATGGTGGTATAATAAAAAAAACTAGCTGCTTCTGTATATTCGAACTCTTTTTGTATTAAATAATTTTTAATAATAAAATAATACATTTTAAGTTAAATTTGTTATTAGCTTTTTCCGTTTTTTACAACCACCTTTTTTGATTTTTTTCCTAGTCAGGCTACTGAATAAGAGTAATAAATATCATCAATGGAAAAGTAAAATTTATGTCCATATCGCAATTTATTATAAACACTTTATTATAAAAAGGAATAAGTCCGGTTTGAATATGGACTAGATTATGGATATAAGATGAATAAAAGTGAATAAAAGGGCCTGAAAAATTAAAAAATACACTTTTTACCGCCCATGCTTACGCCATCTATCAATACAACTCTTATTGAAAGCTATGAATTAAATAAACATCGGAGTTAGATCCCTGTATAAATTAAAAATTTTCTGCAACCCTTGTATTATTCAGTATTCTCTTTAGTTATCATTTTTTACGGCAGGTGGCACCTCTTCACCTCTGAATGTCAAAAAACATTGTTGTGATCATTGTCAAATTTTGTATTGTGAAATTTTAAATCATAATTTAAAACATTTAAAATATCTTATTGAAAAAAGAAAAACAGTTATAGAGATTATAGACTTGTAAGACAAGAATTAAGCTAGCTGTTAAAATGTCAATGAAAACACGAGGGAGTTCTAAGGCAGAAAAAAATCGTGCAGCTCCATATTCTAAAAAGTAAGCAAGTAAAAATACGAAGAATATTTATTAAGTAATTTATTTATAATTTAGCGATGTGGTGTCACTTGGCAAATCCACAATAACAATTGGTACAACTAAATATAGAGATACAAATGGGGGTTTTCTGTTAATCGATCAACCAAATGAAGAAAAGGTATTATGCTTATTACATATAGTTATATTATATATTTTATGTTAATATCTTATAGAAATTGCCACAAATAGAAGAACCTCTCACAGATCTTTCTAAACATGAGTGTGAATCATGCAGTCAGCCATTCATAAAGTCTTGGTTGTTTGATAAGTTTGGTCACAAATGTTGTGATAGATGCAAGTAGGTAAAAACATCTATTATTTTTTTAAATAGCATTAAAGTTTTCTCCATTCTGTAGAGAAGATGATGAATATAAACTTATTACAAAAACTGAAGCCAAAACAGTATATTTACTTCAAGACTGTGATTTAGATAAGCGAGACCCACCATTGAAATTTGTAAAACAAAAAAATCCCCATAACGCACGCTGGGGTGATATGAAGCTATATCTGAGACTTCAAGTAGAAAAAAGGGCTTTGGAGGTATGGGAAAGTATGGAGAGGATTGAAGAAGAGAAGGAACATAGAGAAGAAAAAAAGGTGCTGGCTCAAACTAAGAAATATGAGAAAAAATTGAAAGAATTGAAAATGGGCATGAGAAGCAGCTTATATAATAGGACAAAGGGAGCCTTTCACACTCATGAGTTTGGCCCAGAGATGTATAATGAGGAAGATGATATTTATACAAGAACATGTTTAACCTGCTCTTATGAGGAATCATTTGAAAAAATGTAATTTTTTATATTGTGTCTTTATGCTGTCTCGAAACTTTTATCAGTTGTTTGTCAATTTAATATTTGTGTTTTTATATGGATCTGCAAATATTTAGATATCTCTTCTTGGTGTCTACTAGGTAGAAGTTTTGTTTTGTATATTTAAAATAAATTTTTTTATATAATTTTTTTGTACTTTTTATATGTATTGGGTAAGAAAAAGATAATATTTTTTTCTATTTTATTTTCATTTCTCCTGACTACATGTAAGAACGTATTTAAGACAAAAGCTTACATTACAGAAAATAAGGTACAATATTGACAAAATTCTTTTTTATTGGTACACTTAGGATATACCATGTAAAGAAATCCATGAAACAGAAACATTATTCTAATCCTTGTGTTTTAAATCTAAAAATACTTTATCCACTTTCTATTTCACTTTTCTTTATTATAAAAATTCGTCACAAAATCATTTATTTCCTAAGCATTATTAAACTATACTTCCTATTATATGCATGTTCAACATACATATTATAAATATTTTAAAAATAATTAATTGGATCATACTTTCTTACTTAGTGCCTATGTCAAATAAAGTTAAATTTGGCCGTGACTTTACTATCAGTTTGTAAACCAAACTAAATCTAATTTTATACAATCATCTTGCACATTAAAACCCCATTTCTCTAGTCCATCTTTATTCCTTCCAATTATCTTTATTCTAAATTTCAAATATTGTCCTTGCATGGTGGTAAATACATGTTTTTACTTCTGTCAAAAGCTTGTAATAGTAATGTCGTTGATCTGTTATGCCTTAAATGACTTTTAACTAAGTGTCCAGCTGTTAAGGCTGACATTAAAGACAATTCACCAGCTAACACAGTGGCACATACAATTTTAGCCAGTTGGCAAGCATTAGCACCGGGTTCAGACAAATTGGCACCCTTCACTCCTAATATGTCTAAACAAGCTCCCTGGGCAGGCAGTATTGTACCTCCTCCAATGGTTCCTGTTAAAAAAATATTTTATAAATTATATTATTCAAGAAATAATAATAGTTCTTTATTACCAATTTCAATAGAAGGCATGGTACAAGATATATACAAATCTTCCCCAGAAGGTCCCCATGCTTCCATCAACGTCATACAATTACTGCTACTAACATTTTGAGCTGGATCCTGCCCTGTAGCTATAAATATTGCAGTAACTATATTTGCAGCGTGTGCATTGAAACCGCCTATACTGCCTGCAACTGCAGAACCAATCAGATTTTTCGAATTATTAACATCTATTAAAGCATGTACGCTGGTTTTTAATACATCGGTTATTATTTGACCTGGTACAACAGCCTCACACACTACTGATTTACCTCTACCTTCAATCCTGAAAAAAAGAATAAATAATTTCAAATATATAAAGTACCTATTCAAAAACCCCAGTGGCGGCCCCTTAAGAAACACAGCTTCGACGAAGTCAGGGAACTAAGCATAAACAAAATATTCTTAATATTTTTAAACAAAATATAGAGAAGCAATTTTTTTTGTTATATGTAATGTTGAATTATTTACTCACCAATTGATGGCTGCTGATTTCTTATCAGTACAAAAATTGCCACTGAGACTCATAATTTCCATGTCTGTGAATACTTGTTGCACATATTTCAAAGAGAATTCCGTACCCTTGTTAAAAAATCCACTGTTACCAAATAATAACAATATTTACTCACCAATTGATGGCTGCTGATTTCTTATCAGTACAAAAATTGCCACTGAGACTCATAATTTCCATGTCTGTGAATACTTGTTGCACATATTTCAAAGAGAATTCCGTACCCTTTGATATCATGTTCATTCCCATAGCATCTCCTGTAGTTGCAACAAATCTTACAAATAGATATCTTCCAGCAATTTTTATTGTCATTCTTTGGAGTCTAGCAAATCTACTGCTCGAGTCAAATTGTTGTTTGATTTTTACGTAGTTTTCTTTGTCCTGCATCCATTTCATTGCATCGCTAAAAATATCTATATATTATTATATATTATAAAAGTGAATTCTGTTGAAAATTTAAAATAAGCCAATGCGCTTCCTGGTTCTTTTAAATACAACTTTTTTAAAACCAGCGATGATAATCACTAATGATTAAGCATGTCTTTCAAACGTCAGTAATTATGAACATGAATCTTTTGGAATTATAGAATAATACACTTGGTATTAATTAAATTCTGATTACCTGGCTCTGACAATTGAAGGAAATCTGACAACTGGTCCTCTAGTCATGCCATCTCCAACTACACTACTGTTTACTCCGTTTATCCTCAAAGCCCTACATCCCCTATTGGTGCTAGCTACAAGACACCCCTCCGTGGTAGCCATAGGAATATGAAACTCTTTCCCATCTAGAAGAAGTGGGCCTGCGTATCCAACTGGCACTGGCATATAACCAATGACGTTTTCACAACATGCTCCCATGACCTAAAATATATTCAGAAATAATTTAAAAAATCTATGTTTAAAAAGAGATCTTGATCAACACAGTTAATTTACTTTTTATAAATGAAGCACAACTTTACCTTTGAATAATCATAATTTTTATATGGCAAATCCTTTAAAACTGGCGATTCTACTAGAAGATCCCTTTCTAACAATTTTCTTCTTATTCCTACTCCACGTTCAGGATCATCGACTGCCTTTTCAACTTGATATGCAGCAATGTGCTTGTTCTTTATCAGAAGCAGTACTTCGTCATCTGAAAGGGCTGTAGCACCCAAGTCAATATTATTGTAAACTTTTAAACAGTCTTCTAAACTTCTGCATAAGTTGGATATGGGTTCATCTGGAGGGAAGTCACCTTCAACTTGGTCAGTGTTTGACGTTTGAATTTGCTTGTCCGCGAATAATGGTTCTAAAATTAATCACATTAAGTACTAACTCATTTTTGACACAGTAATGTGATGATTACCATCATTAAAACGGAATATCGGCATTGATTTAACTTCTGGTGTTTTAGGCTTTGACATAGGCTTATCTATTTGTTTAACACTTTCCACTTTTTCTTGGAAAAATAATACTTTTATAACAAGTATTACTAAAGGAACCAGTAATACTATATAATTAGTACTATTCGTCAACCACCTGTAAGATTGAGCTTTATATATAAGAAGGATTTTTCATTGATGATTTGTGGATATTTACATTTCAAGCTTAAAGGTTTTGGCCAATCATAAATTAAAGTAGGACACGAAATTTAAATTTATAGAATTATAGAAAGTAATCACTATTTTACTCTACACATAGAATTCCTGTTGAAATTTATGTCTAATAAATGTCTCAAACTTATTAGTTAAAAAAAAGTAGAAATTCAAACGTAGGCATTAGCTTGAATATACATATAAATATTAATGTTCCTATAATACCGTATTATAAATATTTCTTATAAATATCCTTATATAAGCATAATTACCTTAAAAATAGCTCATGTGGACTTATTAGTTCTTCGGTGCGATTGAGAGATTGTTGAACAAGCGGCCTCATAATGTGCACATCGTTATTTTCGAATGACCAACGACTAAAAAGTTTTCAAATAAGAAAAACTGCCATATGTAATCTCTGCTAAAATCTATGTAACGCAATAGAAAAATATCCCTATGAACAAGCTATTGGCTATTTGCATATTTCTGTATAGAGTTATTTTAAGTTTTGATTGATATTCAAATATTCAATACCTCTGAGCATGAACCAATAAGAGACCGACTGACATAATTAGTTTTACTCGCTGAACTACCGGGTTCGACTTGTGGTCTTCCTCTTTAAATGCTATGTTAAGCAAAGACTCTCTAGCCTTGTAGAAGTTTGTCCATCTCGATAACTAAAAAAACATTTCAAAATATCAAATCAAAATCCTTATTCATTAAAGGTTAAATCTGTTACCTCTAATATTAATGACAAGCATGCTGGATAGAATGTCATAAACACTACGTAATTAACTAATACCGATAAGCAAGCAAACCAGGATAACATTTCTAACCTTTGTACACCTAAAAAGGAATATTTTGTTAATAGCTATCCTAAATAATAATTAAGTATAAATTTATGAAATGTTATTAAAATTGGAGACCAGAAGAAAAACGTTTTCAGACAACCCTCGTATATATATATATATATATATATATCCATAAAATAATCCATAATGTTTACCAATTTCCATAATTACTAGCAATAAACCTGTATAACCACATCTGGTAGATATTAATATCTATATTAGTTCTATATACAGGGTGAGTCTTAAATAAGTGCAAATATTTTTAGGGGAGTATATTTCGACCCCAGAAACACGATTATGTGGGTTTTCTCGCAACTTTTTGAAAATTTGGATTTTTTTGAAAACAAATTCGGCATTTTTTTAGTTTTTAGGTAAAAAACATAATTTCTTGATAAAATGGCAAGAAAGAAAGGTAGTAGATTTAATTTACAAGAAAGAAAATTCAAAAAAAATCCGGTGGTTCTCAAAAATTTAAGCAAAAAATCATTTTTTTTTTTAATTTCCAAAATAAAATAACTCGGTTATTTTGGACTTATTTGAAAACGGCAAAGAAAAAATATGTGTCTTTTATCAAGATCTACCAGACCTCAATATTTGCATTTATACAAGACTCACCCTGTATAAGTAAGCTATTCTTAAAGTTTCTGTTTACATCTTTACACTTGGTATATTTATATACGCAAAATAAAATAAAATTTAATATTTTTATCATTAACTATAACGTCAAATAAATGACAAAATAATTAATAAAGTAGAATTAGTTAAATAGATATTTAATAGAAAACGATGTTAACATTTCATCATCGTTTATACGTAAAAAAATAATACCGACTTTGATATCTACATTACAGCCAAAGTTTCTACGGCTCACCAATACCGTGCCAATACGCTGTATTTCCGCTTAGTGGGTTATGAAATACGAGGGCTTATAGAAAAATAACAAGAAAAACAACAAAGTTACCTGATAGTGTTCCTACACCAATAACAAGCGTTTCAACTACAGCGTCCAGCGTTATCGTGGGTCCTAAAACCGATAACCCTTTAGCAATATTGTTCTTCATTTCATTCTGGTTTTTAGCATTCAGAGCGAACTTGGCTAATGTTGCTGCTTTAGGTAGATCAGTTAACAAAAGGAAGAAAAACAGAGCATCTCTAAAAATAAATTATTTGAATTAGTCCAAGATTTGATATTAATATAGGTTTCCATTAAATTTAAATGTTGGAAACTTACTTTAGATCGCTTGTTTTTATCCTGAGAATATTTAATACAGCTGAAGTAAAGACAAAGCTGGAAAATACAGTAAATAAACCAGCAATACCTAAAAACAAAAATAAGATGTTTTCGAACATATACCTCCAGTGTAGTTTAAATTATTTTATCAGACATCGAAGTAGCTTATTAATTAACCAGTTGTTATAAAAAAATATGATCAAAGAGCTTGGACTTTTGATATTTATTTTTTTTTAATGTAATATCACAATATACTTGGTTGTATGTCATCATATAAAACATACTTGATTATGAGACTTTTTGATCATGTTTATTGCTAATGTACAATTACAGCTTCCCCAAAATGCTATGATATATCTGTATGTATATTGTAGCTATCCACGAATCTATCGCACTATTCTGTATAAAGTTTTTAAGAAAAAGTTGGATATGAAGCAGTGGCATATGGCACTGAGGCCCCCAGTTGTCAAGTTACGCCACTGATATGAAGAAATTATGCTCATTGGATTCTGAATCTCCCAAATGACCTAAATTGTTAATATGGCTTATTTTACTAACAGTTAGTGCTAAAAACTTTTTATTTCTTATTTTAAACAAGAATCTGGTATGCACTTAAAACGTCAGGCAAAAAAGTTCTAATGTAAACCAGCTAATGTATTATTAGTACCAACTGAAAATCGATATATAGGACAACGGCAGGTTTCACAGCAGGCTAAAATCTTACAACAGCTAAAGAAATAATAGTCAATAAGAAGTCAATACCCTAGAATTACAAGAAAAAATAATACGCCTCCACCTCAATACAAATTATAAAATAAGAATAGGAAGTGATTTTCGAAAAATGGTATAGTAAGAAATGTGTATAGAAATTGGGGTCAGGAATTCGAGAGGCACACATTGTTCCAAGCCATTGGTGGATATTTTAGTGTTTTTTTAATTTATTGCCAATTAACTTCTGCTGTTTTCCTCATCATGGTTTACAAGAAAAATTTCAGTGTAAATTATATATCAAAACTTAAGAAATATCGCTAAAAATAGTAGTTTTTACAGTGTATTGCGGCATTGAGAGACTGTGTAGTATTTAAAATTACTAGAAGAAATATACAGGGTGAGCCAAGGATAGAGTATAGAATCAAAGCAGGTTTAATTTGTTTCGAGATATATGAAGAATCTAAAAATAAAGTAAATAATTTGGTGTTCAACACTTTAACATCTATTCGTAATTCCACAAACAAATAAAAGAATGAAGTATTTTCTATCGTTGTTTCACCCTGTAGAGCTTAAAATGGTACTGTAAATTTTTATTATATTATATTAACTAATATTTCTTACATTTATTAACGTTGATGATAAAATATTTATTTATATGAACTTATTACGAAAAACAATATTTCTATCTAGGTGTTACAATACAAATTTTTAGAAATAACTAAACATAGAAATTTTTGCGTTTTTAATTATTTCCGTTCTAATTTCCTATAATTATTATTTAAATATAGAAAATATAATAGAAATCTATTTATACATATTTCATACTTTTTCGCGCTAGTAACTGGCACGGACCAGTGATACTGGCGCCAGCTACTGGATACGTGTAAATTAGCATTTTAGTTATTGATGTCCTATTATTTTTGTAAAATGCCATAACAAAGAGCTATATAAAACAAATTTTAAAAAAATTGCGGAAAATAATGCAAATTTTATAAAAAAAGGAAGTAAAACAGGTGGACGTTTCATTAACATTTTATTAAAAACCAATTAATTAATTCATTGCAAATACCTCAATGCCGTCCGAATATGTTCAAATATGTCAAATATTCGTTCCTGCATGCTTTCCCATGATGTAGTGTACTATGTAGTGGTTCATATTAAAATTAAGTTATTAAAATTCATTCTGCCGTAATCATTGTGAATATTAATTGAAATACATGTGTAAAATACAAAAATTGATTTGCGGCAATAATTACATAAAGAAGTTACGAGGTGGCAATCGATCGTGATGTAAAAGTGACATTGACTTTCTCCGCACAGAATGACATGCTGCATATACGGCCGAAGATTCCGACCTTGAAATCATTTTCACTCTGCTTTCTTCATATATCAGATTTTCTGTCTTTATTATTAAAATTATCGAACCAGTTTTGAGCGAAGAAAGCAAGAGCGAAACATGGATTTTGTTAGATGCATATTCAACTATTTCAATAATTCTATTACTGATGTATCCCTGTATGAAAACTTGCCAGTACATATTTTGATATTCTGTTGGCTATTACAAACGTTAATTTAACATACTACTGTTTCTTAGTTTATAAATGTTTTAAATATAAATTAACATAAAAAATATCAATTTACAATTTAAACAAAACTGTTACTTCCAAATAACAGTTGAAACAACAGCCTGAAATAACAGATTTATGTTCTATTTGTGAATTTGGGAATCACCAAATAATATTTACCAGGCTTTCGAACATTAGAATCACTGTTATTTTTTGCAGTAGCAGTTTTTGTTTTATAGCCGTAACTGTTGTAGCTTGTATAGAGAGTAATAACAACCAGTTCTGCTTTTGTATGATTATCGATCATCAGAGGCACTGAGTCAGTTCAGTTGTGACAAAGGCAACAGTTACTCTGAAAGCCCGTCCAAATAAGCAGTATAGCGCTTGCTGTTTTTATACCTGTTATTTTTTGAGATAACCAACTATTGAAAACTGTAACAGTTGTTTACTTTTAATGTATGTATGCAGGTAAATTTAGGGAAAGCGACTAATAAAAGTGTGTTTGCTTGTTAACTTTTATTAAAAAAATACGTATACGGTTATATATATATAATATTAATATTTTATATTTTTACCTCTCCCAGGTTATCTAGTTGTCAAAAAGCTAAAATAAAATAAACGCCTTAAATACTGACTGTTAATTAATTGATCCTGTGGCATTTTTAGCATTCATAAAAAATTCCAAAACGAAAAATATTTTGTAACAACTCTGTTCTTAAGTCGGTCATATTAGTAGGTATGAGAAATACATTGAAACACCTGTTGATATTGTAGTTTTGTAAGATACAAAACTGAAATAATACAAACGCTTATGTTAATACAGAATTTCATTGAAGCCATTATTTTATATTAAAAAACAAAAAATCAAAAAATTGACAAGAAATTGTTCAGGATTTTCATTTTTTGGAATTATACAGGGTATTTCAAGTAACATGTCGCATCTCTCGTGGGGTGATTCCTCACGGAAAAATAAGATTCATTTTTCATATCAACGATTCTGTTTTGTTTAAAAATTAACCCCTTGTAGCTACGAAACAAAGCAGAATCGGACCTATAAAAATAAATCTTATTTTTACGTGAGAAATCTCCCCACGAGAGATGGAAACACCCTGTATACATAATAATAGTACTTTAAAAATTTACCTATATAATAGTTAAAAAATACTAGTTCGGGGCCTAATTATTTTCCTGCACTCCTTATAGCTTTTTTCCACAGACCAATGAAATTTAAATACCAAAATAACTATTTTACACCACATAAATTCAAAGATATTAAAAAATTAATCAATCATTCAAAAATAAAGACTATATGGAGAAAAAATCTTTAATATGAACTCTATTTAGTGGCTACTTCGATGACATTTTCCACTATACTACTATATAATTTACTTACCAAGTACGTATTTCGAACTCAAGAGTTTCCTGAACTGATAATAGAAGTAGAGAACAGTAAGGCATCTAATAATCGTCATCACAATAATATCAGCTGAATTGTCATCAATCTGAAAGAAATACATTCTTAGTGGTAGTACTACAAGAAAGTAATCTTTTTTGCAAATTTAAAATCATTTCATAGGTTAATTCCATCGAATCTAAATACTTTTACAAAGATTTGAGACTTTTGCAAAAAACAACAGATATTTCTCAGACTTTCTGGTTATGTACTTACTATATCATATAAGTAAACAATGTTTTATGTTCTGTTTTGTAAATACATCAGTTGAATGAGAGCATACTCGCAGAATGCTATATTTAAACTCATAGTAGCACAGTTAGAGCTTTATTTTGTTACAACCGCAATTTTAGTACATTTATAACTATCTTTTGTTTAATTGCTTATAAATATTACAATAATGTGAATATAGGATGAAGGTTTTTAAGAAAAATTAATTGAACATTGTTATCTTTTTTTCCTAGACATCGATCACCGGGATCATTAGCCATGGACTACACGTTACGGATAAATCCTTTACAAGGATAATTGAAAAATTTAAATTAACATGCACATTTTAAGTTGAGTGATAAAAAGATCAAAAACAAACCCAAAAATGTAGAGAAAATCAAACAAGAAAAGTAGGTAAGTATGTAGTTATATCAGAGTATCACAGATGGTGATTTGTTAATATCTTTCATAAAGTTTTTAAAATATATTTATTTTTTCCTTCTTCAGCTAAATTTCTGCGAATTTCACCACGTATCTGGAATGTACTTCTTTCTATCATATATTAAGGACATTCACATATAATGTGTGTACTGTCAACTCAACATCACAGACTATGCACATTAGAGGCATTTTGCCTTTAAGCAGATATGCATGTGTCACTGCAGTATGCCCAATACGAAGACATAAGGATATTGAGCTTGCTGAGCAGTTTCACCTGCCATTGTGCTGCCAAGGACATTAGTGTGGCTTGGGATCCATAGTAACGTGAGTTTGTTTCCCCTTTCACTACACTTTCGAATAAAAGTCTGAATTTTTGGTTTCAGACGATCTTGGACAAATACGTCATTAATTTTAGACACGATCTCTACAGAGTCAGAGACAATTATCACTCTAGTTTGATTGTATTCCTCGATACCATAGGATAAGGCTTTTCAAATAGCAAAATGTTCTGTGAAGAAAGCTGATGCTTCATGTCCCAAAGTCGATTGAAAAGCTGACCCGTTGATAGTATTTGCACATCCAGCATCAGTTGTGGATCTAGTATTTTCTGGAACTGTTGTTGGTATATTTCAGGTGACATATTCTTTGACATATTAGCCATGGAGGATTTTCATGAGGGATTTCATTGATTATCATAGGCAGATGTTCTTTTTATCTATGACGGGATAGCATTGTTTCTCTTACTATACTGCTAGGATTTGCCAATGCCGAAGTGAGGTAAATTGCGCTAACTTCTTCCTTCTGTATTTTTAAGGAGCTCTATTCCCGCTTCAGCACATATAGACTATGTGCGGAGCTTGTGTAAAAAGCTCCAAGATCTTGTTGCTGTTGACCTTCGTAAGATGCATTATTGAGTCACAAGTTCTCATCTAAAAGATATTAACTATCATTATAAACATTAACGGAGCTCAACTGACTCAACGTTACCTAAGTCACGAATCCAGTTTGTCTTAAAACACGTAATATCATTCGTCTCATTTATTAATAAATTATTATTACCTAATTAAAGATTTATTAAATCGAATTAGATTATTAAATTGCCATCACAATCTAAAAAGCATTATTGCTAAGGTGGCATTTAAATTTTATTAATTTTTATCATATCAAAAATGAAGCAATACTATAAAGTTATTTAATTGGTCAATTATAAAGGCATTACATAACCTAAACTCATTGACCCATATTTGAATAAGGTGAAATTGATATTATTGTTGGGCATTATGACAAATTAGTGTAATTACGTATTGTCAAATGAATATGAAAATTAAACCAGACACATAACAAATAGTGTGATTTATTTATTTATGCTATTTTATGAATCATTTGGAATGGAACTAATGACTTGTATTATTGTTTAGATAGTTTCATAGATTTGTATCAATTTATTGGTTTGTTTGTTTAGTAGATGAGTTGATGATACTATTGATAAAGAGAAACGAATCAAAGAAGGGTACCACGTGTTTTAAAGCATCATTTTTGGGAATTTTGTCGTTCTTTCTTCAGATTGACTGGCAATATCTGCACATGGCTTTGTCCCTGAATCCCATCAACTTCAGATGCTAATAGCTTACAATGCCCTGTTAGTAGACCCACTACACACAACTTTGACAGTCTTCCTGTATTTGCTTATCAATCTGCCTTAAATTTTTGCGAATGTTCTACTATAAACTTTTGTCGCTTTTGCGTTTAGCCTCCCCTTTCCCGAATCCTGGATCCGCCCCTGACCCTTGTATAATACAAACAAAATCTGTCTCGTATTGAGAGCATTATACTGACTCTTTTGCAAATGAAACAAATCCAAATTGTGTTTATAATAAAACGGTCGTTTCTCTAAACTCCTAAATCAATAATTTTCGAACGAGATGAATTTACGCGCTTTGTAATGCACTTGGGTGTTTTCAATCGAAAGACGCATTACAATATTGCAATTTACCGTTACACAGCCTCATAAATTTATCACTTAACGTAAATCAATTTATCTTATTTGCGATATAAAACGCATAGAGGGATCTGAATACATTTAACCTATAACTAAGATTATTCAAGAGGATACTAAAATGTCAATTGCCTGCCATAATACTTGCTATAAACTAAATAAGAAAGTCATTGCGTAGAAGAATTTTTCCGTATGTTATGGCCGGTTTTCGACAGTTTTGATATGATTTACGATAGTCAAAGTTCAAGCAAAATATATTGTGATTTTTGTCACATATACAGGGTGGCGCACTTCATCCGCTTCGGTTGATTATACGACAATGGAAAGATTTAAAAACAAAATGTTTTATGGGTATATTGTGGGAAGACACAAATATTTATCTATTTAGAAATATACAGTGTTTCAGAACTAAGATCCATACCAAAGTTATATTTTTTCTTATGGAACCACCGCTATTTTTTAGGCTCCACAGAGTATTGCATTTGAAATAACGATGTTTTTATGTAAAATAAATATTTAAAATAGACCAGCAATTGTTGATACCCCTGTACACATTAAACGAAGCAATCAAATTTTGCAGTAAAGTTTATTTTTCTTGCTTAAAATTCAGTACAAGAATTAATTCTGAAAAGTACTGTACACGGTGTTTAGAATCTTTTTTATTATAGCATGCATATTCAAATATTTTCAAATATCTGAAAAACCAAAGCTTGTAAACATATTTAACTCTTATAATAAATGCCTTATTTTGTGTCCAAGGATCCAAAAATGAAGTAAAATACCGGGTGTTCCATGAGAAAAAATATAACTTTGGTTTGAATTTTAGTTCTCACACCTTTTATATTTCCTTCCCCCATATACCCATAAAATATTTTGTTTGTACATCGTTCCGTTTTTGTAGAGTCAACCGAGGCGAATGAGGTGTGCTACCCTGTATATAATATTATACCATAGATAAACAACATTGATTTGTATTTTGCAATATTCTGAGGAAAATATATAAACAATTTTTTCAGTTTTTTAATCGAAATGATGAATATGAAAAAATGAAAATGATTTATTAAACTTGTCTTACCCCATGATGACAATCTAAGCAGGGTTTTTGCGTCCTTATTGGAAATCCAGGATTCTGTCTTTCAATTGTTAACATACAGGCTATAATTGTGAACGTAGCTACAATAACTTCCCATGGGTGATTGGTGCAAAATTCTCCATGAATTCTAAATAGCGTCGACATGGCTAATAATACTATTACTCCTTGTCAAAATCTGAAATTAATTAAATATCGGTAATTATAATAATTATAAAATATATTTCTAGTTTTTTACTTGCATTTTAAATATAATGGTTTATATAATAATATTTCCAAATATTTTTGCAGTCATATATTCTCATGTATATTTATTGAATATTTAAGTAAATTTGCTTTATTTCTATTTCCCAAGACTAAAACTACAGTTTTAGAAAAGGTTATGCTATTGTGTAAAGCCGAATAACGTTATTGAATTCCTACGTTATTAGAAAATTGATATTTTTTTGGTTCTCTTAATATTTATGTTCAATTGTTCAAGTTTAAGTGATAAACTTTTTCAAAAAAATGTTGAAGTTTCCATTGCTAAAAATGATGCGCGTGACTAAATACGAGTTGACATAATATCATCTCCTTTAAATTAGCATGCCTAAAAGACTTGTTCCTTGTTGAGCAAGTGTTTCATATCGATGAACACAATTAGAATAATTGATATGATGGTCTATAGCAGGCATGCACGAAGGTTGCTATATACTTTCTCCTTCAAAGGCTACAACCTTCATACTATTATCCTAAATTATATTAATAACAACGGCTATGAGTTCAAGTGCTCCATCCACATACATCGGCTATAGTAAATAGCACATTGCAAAACTAGAAGTCATTATTTCGAAAGAACGGTGTAGTTGCTAATTATTTCAAGATTAGATTTTCAGTACATTTAATTTTTAAGATGCAGAAAATTAAATATTATAATATGTATCTTTACCTCCTTGAGAAGTTTTACCTTTTTTAAATGTAATTGAAGCATAAAAATATTAATTTATGCAGAATTTTTACTCATAAAATATACAGTAACATTCAAAAAACAAAGAATTTGAGAGATTTTAATTCAGAAAGTATCAAAAATGTCTGTAATAAGTAAGTCTTCTTTCTTTCCCGATATTTGATCATTACGTATTTAATCACAGCCTTGGCGAAATTAAATTTATTCCTAAATATGTTAATATTAACATAGTACGATATTTTGTTCATTTTAACATATAATAATCTGATTTTGAAGTCTTCCTGACTATTTTTTTAAGGAAGAAAAACTAAAGAACGGTTTATATTTAGATTATGGCCTCCCATATCATCTTTAAATATAATTTATTATAATCCATATCCTCCCCCATATCATCTAGCATCATTTAACTTCAGATATCTTTAATAGATCTGTCATTTAACGTAAATAAAGAATATTATATATCAGTTTTTTTTATCGGTTACTGAGAAAAATCGTACCCTTACTTGTCACCAGACACACAAAAATGTATCGAATTAGTCTGACATTTTTGGTCCACACTGATTAATGTTTCCTATACGCCCGCGCTACCTGACTAGGTCTTCTTTGTTAAATGCTAACCAACAACCAATAAGGTATTTTTATTTTAGTTTATTGACTCGAAAATTTAGCAAAACCACAGCAATACTATAAAAATTTTCTGTATAGTCAATTTAAAAAGATTAATGTTTTGTAATTTATCATTTAAGATCATTGGTAATTGAGTAAAATTTTGAAAATGCAATTAAAGTAAATAATACAGAATTCTGGTAAACCCAATGTCAATTTATTTTAAACTAGGAAAGTACATTTTTTTTTCTTTTGACGTAGGTAAAAATTTTAGTAAACCTCGATATAAATTAGTTTGAACTAAAAAAAAACTAAAAATATTGCAAAATCAATAGAAAATTATTTGTATAGAATAGAGAATAAAAAAGTAAACCGTGTTAGTTTAGTTTTAATTATTCTTATTTCTTTTACTTCGCAATCAATGTATGTTAACAATTTAATTGTTATATTTCAACAAATCTGCAATGTATAATGTGAATGCTATGTTGTTAATTTGTATGTCAGCCATGTCAGCGACGTATTTCAACAAGGGACATAAAATTGCAGTTGAGTCTACCAGGAATATCGCCATTTAAACAAACAATTAATGTCAAAATACATCTGTTTTTATGCTAAAAGTTCTTCTTTAAATCTACTTAAAAAGAAGCTTCATTAATACAGTATTGAAATTTTTCAAGAAGTATTATGCTACATATTTCTGACTCAATAAACTCGTAGATATACAGGGAAAGACTACCCAGAAATTTGAGGTAGCCTAATTCAGTTATCTATCTATCCAATATATTTAAACATTATACATTTTTCTTTTCTGTTCTCAAAAACAAAAGAGCCATAATTTATATTTATTTTCCAACAATTTCAAAACCTTAATGTGGAATAATGCGGTAGTAAATTAAAATTCAGCGCTTGTCTTCTGTAGAAATTTACATATTAGCATCATTCGGTACAGAAAACATGTAGAAATAATATAGTTTTATGTAAAACGCAAAAAAAATCAGACGCCAATAAAAAAATCAATTTTTGGTATAACTCGATGAGGTTACTTACAGATTAAGTTGCTTTATATTTAAATCAAAATATAGTGTTTTGTAATACACACTAAATGACACACTATATTCACTGTCCTATTATGTATTCCAAACTCGATTAATGTCCATATCAGTAATTCTAGCTAAGGCAACTGGTAAGTCTCGTTTTGTGGTACCAAATATCTAACAAATCTATTCATTATTTCCAATTAAAATTCGTCAATATTTTTTTAAGCGACATCAATTTGTCATGGTGTATTTTTTACGCCGATCATATATCCATTTAATTTTTCCCATTAGTCATTTTTAAGCATCAATATGTCACATTTTAAGACTATAAAATATCTACGTAAGTAAGTATATGCCTAATTAGAACTACCTAAATCAATCACTTTGGTACTTACTTATATTTGAAAATGTACTTCGATGACATTAAAAATTGGGAAATTTTCAAATAAGAAAGACGTATCTATTTTGTTTAGTTTTTTTGCATGGTGTTTGGTGTTATTTTAAATATAATAAAAGTTCTAAGTAAATTTAAGAATATATATAATCTTAGAAAAACAAATAAGTGTAATATGAGTATAAGAAGAATTTTGGAAATTTTAAAATACCTAGATATTGCAGGCATTGCACGTGGTAAATAAATAACATTTTAAGCGCAAATATAAGAGCAATACACTTCTTAGAAAGAAGAAATGTTTATTCTTACATTTCTGTATACAGCATCTTATTTTAAGAACAGCTAATGTCATCAAAGGCACTTAACTTCGATACTTCTTATATCCTCAGCGTAAAGAACGATCAAATGATTTTAATAACACATATTTTTTTAATTTAATTCCTATATTTTTTTCAAAATGTACATTTAAAAAATAACCAATTGCATATTGCAATAGACTGAAAGCACTGGTACTACATCTTTATAAAAGGTAAATATAAAATTAAGAAATTATACAAAGGTAAACGAGCTCTCTTAATTTTTAAGTACACCAATTAGTAGATGGGTTTTCAGAATTTATAAAAAATACTTCAGTAAAACTAAAACGGATGTACAAAATAAAACAGGTTTTTGGAAAAGCTTAAAATAGTTTTCAAGTATTTATCTTTTATAATTTTCTTAGATACCCAGCTCCATAAATATTTAATAAAATAATAACACCTTTTTAGAATTTAGGATTCTCAAGAACCATGAATAATATTTTATATTTTAAACTTACACTCTGTAATTGATTTCCAGACAATTTTTTCAAAAATTTTTTATTTTATTTTTTAACCAAATTTCCTTACCATTTTTTATAAAATAATTAATTATGTTCTGCGCCCCCCCCCTACAACAGGGAGATCCCCATGTATGATGAGTTATAAACTGTATAATAAGTATTATAACTCAAGAAAGGGGGACACAATAGATCTTTAAGGTTAGGGCTTAGTTTTTTATTGTAAATAATAAGTCCTCTTAAAGATATATAAATATGTAAAAGAAACATTAATATTTGATGTTTTTTTTAATATAATTTTAATATATTTAGTTGTTATAGTTAGTATAGTTAGTTATACATAGTAATCGTATATTTCTCAAAAAGGAATTCATAATAAATATTAAAATTCTTGTTTGTCTGAAATACTTAAAAAGTTATTAAAAATAATAAACAAATCTCGTACGCGCATGAAATAAAATATAATGCTGACGATTATTATTAGGATTAGCGGTCTCAGATTAAAAGCGTGCCACTAAAAACCTGAGATGATATGCATATGCACTTGTCAGCTTGATCTAATTTTGCTAAGCCGCATATGCTTAAGTCAGCATAACGCAATCTTAAGAGTCCTCCATCACGAACTGAAACGCACTAGGACGAGGTTTGTATATACGCTTAACGCCTTTTTTCTTCACGCTGTTATGGAATCATCCAGTTCAAATATATTATACAGATTATCTTTGAATTTGTGCTAAGAACAACAAAGGCCTGTCTTATATCATCTGGCTTTATGATATGTTTTGTTAATATGAATGAAATAAAATGTTAAAACAGGGTTGTATACATAAACTAAATTGTTTTTGATCTGATATGATTGCTATTATAAATTTAATTCGTCTATTAGTATTATTTGAGTAAAATTGTTTAGAAATATCTTCACTGCATCTTTATATTATCACTTGATTTTTTAATTGAAATAAAAAAGTAACATTTGCTATGCAAATATTTCTGTTTATTATTTCTATATTATTGGCTATTCAGCAAATATTATTTGTTTGTTATTACCGCTTAATGAATAAATACTTTGTGATTAAGCGCGAGCTCTTTAGAATTTAGGTTAAATATTTTCATTTTTTGCGTAATCGCTGTAGTTTTCTGATTTAATCTATTCGGTTCTTAAAATGACCTTGCAATCTAAGAACATAATGCACACAACAAAATGCATCAAAACAGTAAGAATTATCCAAATAATCTAAATGCATTGATGGCAATAACGTATTTCTATCTCCATGTAAATATTAAAACAAATTAAATGTAAATTAAAAAAATCTAATAAAAAAGAATAAATTAAAAGAAAGTAAATGAAGACACGGTATTTTTATTTGTGAAAAAAATGAGATAAAAAAAAAGTTCAAGGACTAGTTTAAATATCCCAGTTAATATTTTTTTGTAATTGATAAGTATTGCTAATTAATACTATTTGATTATGGTACATTTCTCACATTCTTTGTGATTCAATATATTCAACGATATAGTTGACAAATTATCAAATATTTTTCAATCTCACAATAACAACCGGTTTAAAGGAATTATAACAATAGAAATTAGAGAAATGTAATTTTCCTTTATGGTAGTTTTGTTATGGGTTGAAATATTTCGAGAATTTTCGTTTTTTTTTCTGTTAAAGTATTTTATAAAAATTTACAAATGTGCTACAAAATTAAAACGATATTATAATTCACACTCACTATAACTAATTTTCAATAATACTTAAATTATTTATTATGGAACGCAAAAATGTAAAATATTATTAAGTTTTAATTCAAAATTATAATTAATGAAATAGTGCATACAAACTTACCCGCAAATTTAATTCGCTTAGTAATTAAAGAACCAAAACATACCGTAGAGCGCGACCGAATAAAATAAATTTCATTCACCAGGAATGAAATGCGTAAGTGCCAAATCTGCACTGACCGGTGGATCAGCAAGACCTGAATGAGTTTCGTAAATTTGGTGGGGTTACTATTTTCTGTTTTAACAGCTTAGAAACAATTTACCGATCTACTTTTAAATTTTGTCCACCTCATAAAATCTGTTTAAATTAACTCTAATCCATTTTTTCTTCTGGAGAAAGGATTCTTCAAGTCATGAACCGTTCAGCACTAATTATTTAAAAAGAAAACAGAGTAAAAGAATTTAATTACATGCTGAAATGAAAATATAATACCTTCTCAAAAATAGAAAGTTTGACATTAGGCCTGAGAGCTGCAAAAAATATTTATTTTATTCTAATTATAAAATTATTATAATTCTAATAAACCATTTAAAATTCACTGACCAAAACTGATCCCCAATTTAATAGACTGCAAATAGTTCATTTATAATTATTTCAAAATTAAAAATATATATATTCGACTGAAATGAATACTTTAATAACTTAATTCTTCGCAAAACAATTCTTATCTATTATACCCAAAAATGCATATAATGACATACTATATAATAATTTTACGAAATAAAAAAACAGATATATGTAATGTTACTATTATGAGAAAATATTTTAAATATTAAATTAAAGGAAATTCTTATATATTTAGTGTCTCGTACATTACATAAAATCATTACAAAAATGAATTCATATAATAAAAATATGTAATGCAACAGTAATGACATTACATATTTTTTTTCAGTTTATCAGAACATCAACGGTTTTAATAGACCTGTGTTAAAAAGTGTTTTCGAAGTACATGATGACATTTAGACATTTTAAATGCCCCTTTCAAAACAAAAAAAAATGGAAATATTACCCCTTGAAATTTAAGCATTGGTGAATGGGTAAATTTGTTTAGGTATAAAAAGCTAGACTTACAACAAAGTTTAGAGAATTCTGTAAACTTAGGTAGTTTCTGTTTGTTTTCTAACGCAGATGCATTTAAAAAATTAACTCTTTTATTTTTCTTGGGTTCTATATGATTGAAAGAATAACTTATGAGTAATTTTCTTTTGTTATTATGTATTTATTTATTCATGATATGGGAATATAAATAAGAATATAAATTATTACCTATATTACAAGTCTAGAAAAATAATATAAATCCAAATTTGGGGGGGGGGGAATTACATTTAAATCTTCTCCATTTAACATAATAATAATGATAAATTTAATCATAAATTAATAATTAATTTATTGCTTTAATAATAATTGCTTTACGTAGTCATTTACTAAACTTATTATCAATGTAGAGAAAACAAATATTTTGATAATTAAATTTAAATCTTAAATTTCATAATATTTCTTGAAAATGATTATATTTTTTAATAATTGTTTAACTACCTAATCATTTAGTAATTTAACTAAAAGAAGGAACTAGGTATATTATCTAGAAATCAGAATTTGCTTTTAAAGCTTTTACATAATTATTTACCGAAATTATTAGTAAAACGCCAATATACTATATTAACAATAAACTGAAGGTCTTAGAAGGTATCAAAGTGAACTAGGTTAAAAAGACCATGAGTAAAACTTACCAAAAAGCACAATCACTCATTAATTAAAAGACCGAAACATACCGTATCACGTTAACCAATTCTCATTCTATCGAAAGACTAAACACTAAACTGATCAGCACCGTTTGAACTGTGGTTTGAATGAACCTTTTAAATTTGGTGGGGCTACTATTTTCTGTTTTAATAGTAAGCCATATTAATCACAACCACTTGAAAGTTATTTAAATTAAAATTTATAATTTGCATATACCGAAAACTGTAACCGATAAGATACCACATTTTTATTGAAGCAGTACCTACTTAATTTTCATTTTCCTTCATTCAAGCAACATCTTTACAAAAAATGGTTCGAGGTTTTCCTAAACTTATCAGAAGAAAGCTCAAATCTCGTTTTGAAATTATTGAAACCAAATTTTAATTAAATTTAAAATATATTATATAATTGTAATAATAGTTGTGTTATCAACACTGATTTTAAACTCTCTAGTCTAACAAAATTATTCCTGATAAAGAAAATTAAAAAAGAAAATATTTTGACACACAAATATTTTTCTTGTATATTTCAAGAAAATGCACACATATCTTACGTCTTGAGCGATCTTGTGAAATAGAGCTCTTAGTAAATTTTATCGTCCTTCCAGATGTCGAGCCCATTTAAATTTGATGACCAATGGCTAAGCCCTAACCCGTGGACAGATGAGCAGGTAAAAGAGTAAAGAAACGATATCTGAGTTACATCACGTATCTATTCATTCATATAAATTACATTACGCAAAATTGATAAAAGTATGTAAAATTTAATAATGATAAAGTAAAATCACAGATATAAAGCTTTTGCAAAAATATTGTAATTTACATTTTAGTAGCAATTTATGTAATATCATATGTTTTATATTATAATCGTTAAATAAAACTTAATTATACAATATTATATAATATATAATATATAAACTTATAATAATATGAACTTTATGAAAGTTTGAATAAAAGTTGGAATATAAAATCCTATCAAGCTATCAAGTATTATAGTTATACAACACATTATACAATTAATAGCTCGTAAGAAAAAAAAGAAACCTGTAGAATTTACATGTATCTTTTAGTACCATAGGGTACCATAGTTGGATTGACAGTGTAAATCGCATTATATATTTAGAGCTTATGTTTTATTAATATACATATGTTTAGGATTATTTTAAATTCATAATACAGATATTATTTATGCTATATAATATATATTCTTCTTTAAAGAAAAAGGATTAGTTCATAGAATTCATGGCTCGAAATAAAAAATCCAACTTTCTTTACTTTTGAGATATATCCCTAGATGGCACTGCAGGAAAAATTTAAAAATTGTAGATAGTAAGATAAATATATAATTACTAGTTGAAGCCTGGCGCATCCGCCAAGACATCAGAAAAAAATACTTTTTATTTTTTTTTAATGAAATGAAAAACAAAAAATCCGGCAACGACAGTTTTTAGAAGAGCCAATTAGCTATATTTTACTAAAAAAAGCAACTTTCTAAAGCAAGTCGTTACTTCAGTAGAGACGACACAGATATAAATATTAGCATTTTATATATGTAGGCTAGTTGAAGGCTGGCGCATCCGCCACGACATCAAGAAAAAAAATACTTTTTATTTTTTGTTTAATTAAATGAAAAACAAAAATCCGGCGACAACAGTTTTTAGAAGAGCCAATTAGCTATCTTTTAGTAAAAAAAGCAACTTTCTAGAGCAAGTCGTTACTTCAGTAGAGGCGACACAGGTAAACATTAGCATTTTATATATGTAGATTATATCCTTGTATAATAAAGTAATTTTAATCAATAAGTATTCATAATCGAGGGTTCTGAAATAAAAAAGTTATTGATAGCATACAAGCGTGCCCATCAAAATTAGGGACAGTTTAATAACGTGTCTTATATTTTCCAAAAAATGTCCCATTCTTAGGTTTTGGACAATATTTATTGTTATACGAGGTAGGCTCTCTCTACAGGTACTGAGAGAATGCATCATCACACAAATTAAATTTAAAAATATTTTTGTGGATACAGTGCTGGTTCAATAAAATGTAATTAAAATCTGTTTAAGAACAAATCAAAATGACAAACATACTAGACTAAAATCAAAATTATGCTTTCAAAGACTTTCACCCCATTTCTAGTATGGTGTTTCACAGGGCCTATTTTACCATAAGGCCCATAAGGCGGTAGTCTGGGGGGCCCGTTAAAGGATGTAAAGTATTCATAATTTCAAATGTAAATTTATTATTATTAAAAAAAATATTTATTTTTTAAAATATTTTTGTGGATACAGTGCTGGTTCAATAAAATGTAATTAAAATCTGTTTAAGAACAAATCAAAATGACAAACATACTAGACTAAAATCAAAATTATGCTTTCAAAGACTTTCACCCCATTTCTAGTATGGTGTTTCACAGGGCCTATTTTACCATAAGGCCCATAAGGCGGTAGTCTGGGGGGCCCGTTAAAGGATGTAAAGTATTCATAATTTCAAATGTAAATTTATTATTATTAAAAAAAATATTTATTTTTTAAAATTAGAATTAATTGTTGTTTATTTTTTCATTATTTATTTTGTTGAATATAATAATGTTTATTTATTTTTTTAAATTATTAAAAAAATAAAAATAAAAATAATTGTCGTTATTTTTTAACCCAAACTAACAAGAGAATTTTTGAATTTTATTGGAAAAGAGGGCCCGAATTTTTGCTTGGGCCTTAGGGCCCGATCAGGTGAAAAATAGGCCCTGGTGTTTCATAAAGTATTCTTCGAAGTGCTTCTTCATACTACCTGCTATCGTTAGAAGTGCATTACAAACAATTTGAGCCATAAAATTCTAGTAAAGTCAGACCACGGCATATAAAACAATATTGTTTTATATGCCGTGGTCAGAAAACGTTAAGCTTATCAGAGCTTATTGAAAAAAATTTAAAATTTTAAAATTTAAAGACTATCCCTTAAATATGTCTGTAAATATTGGTTTTGTTCAAAACTAGTTTGTTATATTAGTTTTTAAAAAATCAACGCAAATGAATTCTTGCATAAATTAAAAACATAAATATGTACATAAATTCAAGTGAATTTTGTCGTGGGAATAACTTGATTTTGAAATAGTTATACAAGTTTATTAAAACTTTATTATTAACCACGCTTTATTATTCTGTAGTTAATTCTTACCCACATATTATAAAAGTAAGGAAATGTCGAATTATCTAGTCTCAAGGTGATTCGTTTTTTTTATAACATATAAATCAAACCTAAGGTAGAAATGCGTAGAAATGCTGGATACTCCCAAGTGCTAGTATGCTAGACATACAAATACACGATATAGTGATGAGCAGCTATTATCGACAATTTTTATATATCAAAGTAAATCAATTGTCTTAAATAGAAACAAACGCATTATATGAAAAAGCACTCTATATGCGACTAGTTTACCTGGATGTATGTAGACAAAATACTCAGTATTTAAAGCACAATTATTCTAACACAACAAAAAGGAATAAAAAACATTAGTTTGTCAATTTAACAAATTTTATTACAAGTTATATAGATTTAAATGTGTAAGTGAATATTGCTATATTTAATCTTGGTACACTGACATATATAAGTATCATTAATTGAAAACATGCCCATCACTAATTGTCTGACTTAATACAATAAATTTGTAATGAAACTGCTATAATTATTTCCGTCCCTAATAACACACCTGCCAATTAGTCCACTGTGTTTAAATTGGGCGTAAGTCATAACATGATCGTATCCTGTAAAATAATTACAATGAAACCAATTACATTTAAGGTCAAAAAGATTTGTTTTTTTTTTTGTTGAAATAAAAATCAAAATAACATAAATCTATTACATTCTTTTACAAGGAATGATATTCATTTAATAATTAATTAAAACTAAGAAGATATATTAGAAGTTTCTGTATTACATTAGGCATATGAAAACTGATGAAACTGTGCTAGGGTGACGCTAGGTCCTAGTCAAGTGCTATGGGGAATCCCCTCCACCACTTTGGCTGGAAGGAACATCCACACTTGCATCTGGCTGTAGTGTCGCTGCCAGGAAAATGCACCAAGACGTATGACGATGCCGGATACTACGGGACTACCCTGGCCGCTATACCAGGCACCCTCTACTGACTAACTCAAGAAAGGGGGACACAATAGACCTTTAAGGTCGCGGTGATTAACCCCCCTCACTCATTCTACATTCTGCGTTCTATATCAGGTATGGAAGAATGAGCCCATTGAAATTGGAGGCTCTAAATCTACAAGTCTTCATCAAATCAGAAACAGTAAGGGTCAAATTTATTTGAGAGTGAGAAGCTTACAAATGGCACAAGATAAGATATTTATATGAACAACCAAGAGTAGACCAAAAAATGTTGGAATGGGTTCAAAAAATATCAATTATGAAAGGAAAATATAATATAATTATATAAGTACATAAAAAAGTTATTCTTTTTATAAATTGATAACCTATAGGGTTGAGCTATGAATCAATTAAATTTCACATTTAATTACCCCACTAAAATAATTTTTATTATAGGTACTTTTAATGAATCAGTTAGCTTGTGTAATGCTCTTTCCATGAACGATATTGAACAATATGAGTGCCTTTACAGTGTCTGTCATTTTCTGTCTTTGTTTTATCCATTGCAAGGGTGTGACAATATTTATTTAATTCGAATTTGTCTCTCAATACGTATTCCGTACAAATGATGTTCGATAGAGCAATAATGAGATTCATTTTTAGAATTCTCTTTACCACGATATATAATTTGTTCTACGTTTCTCTCTACTATGTACTAAGGTAAGTCTATAAAATAAAATCTCTATAATGCAAGCTCTTAAAGAAATATACTTTTTACATCTATTCAATGTTTACCAAAATTTCCTTATGCATAAATTTATCACTAAATAACAAAAATATATCATAACCAGAAGAATTAAGAATACTTACTGAAAACAGGTTTTATTTGGTTCAGCTGATCTATTTTGTTATTTAAGTAAATATTTTCTATATTTTAGATTATACTCGTTAATTTTTCTGAAACAGCGCATCAGAGATTTTAAACACACTAAAAACTAAGCGGTATAAGCACAAAGCAATTAGCATAATTTTTAAGTTTATTTTTTGCAAAATATTAGACAAAAGTAGTCAGAGCATACACTGACAATCTAAAAAGGAAATGGCAGTTCTTAATTAAATATACGAGGGTACTTTAAAGATTAACCAATTACTGTTTTAATGCAAGTTTAATTTAGTTAATTAGATAACATAATAATTAAGATAATTTTTAAAAACCCATACATAATTTGCACTTTTGACAAAAATTATATGCAGGAGGATAGTAACAATATTTAAAAGCATTTATTACATACTAACGTTATGTAAATATAATAGATTTAATTGAAAACCTATGTATACGCTATATACTGTTTACATAATAAAATTAGTATTAATCAAACAGTTCAAAAGTGTATTTATTCACGAGACTAGTTTTCAATATGGAGCTAGGTTGAGGAAATTTACTTAGTGTTGACTTCCTCTCCCCCCTTATCGCCCACTGAGTATATATGTGCATGTACCTTACATATTAAATTTACAAGGTGTCCCAAATTGGATAAAAATACTGTTTTTAATATCGATTTGCATGCACTAGATATAAATTTATTTGTTATATTAATAAATAATTTTTATTTTCATGATTTTAAGAGAAACATAAATTAACAGTAAATTAAAGTTAAAAAATGTTCATAAATTATTACTTAATGGTTTTAATTGTTTGTTTGAACAATACTTATAAACAATTGTGTTTTTAATTTGAAAATATAATTAATAGTTCAATAATATCGCTGGACAAACACATTGTATGGATTAAAATCAGGTTGTTTTTGAATTTCTAGAATGTTTCTAACTCATAAAATATTTTAACAATACTTGAGCAATGCATATGAGAAATAGTCTAAAATAAAAAGGTGAAAAAAATGAGAATGTGACTATAATAGTTATTTGAAGTCATTATGACTTTTGCATACAATTTTATAAGAAATAATGCTGATGCAATATATACTGAAAAACAATTGTTCTATATAGAAAGTGTATCTAGTAAATATTGATTAGAATAGTGCAAGAATCTTGCACTACTTTAGCAAGACTAAATATAGAAGAGGGGGGGGGGTTAATCACCGCGACCCTACAGATCTATTGTGTGTCTTTCTTGTAGTAATGTAACTTTCTTGAGTTATAACGAGTTATAACTCATCATATAGTCTCAGGGCGCAGCCAGTATCTGAGAGGGGTTTAAGCGGCCCATACATTATCAAACAAATTGCGCAACGCAGGCTGTTGCGCAACGAGTTGCCAATGTATGGTAGTGTCTGATGCGTTGCGCAATTGATTGATGAGTTTCAAGAATGTTTGAATTCTTTTGTGCAACAGAACTGTTTGAGCAACTCGTTGTGTAGTGTATGTGTGTGTTGCGCTACGTTGTACAATATTTTAGTTCTTTCATCCAAATTCTTTGTTTTCATTTTCATTTTTTGGTATCATCGACATCATCTTGGGTATATACGATAATAATTGACGCAATGGCAATTGAGGAAATGATTGTTTCTCAAACAATGCACAACTTTTAATAAAAAGTTTAATCTAAATTTTAATAAATCCATGGGTGATGCAGTTGTGCAACGGAACGTTGCGCATCGCTTTGTTGCGCAACTTGTTTGATAGTGTATGGACCGTTGAATCAGTTGTGCAACGCAGCGTTGCGCATCGCTTTGTCGCGCAATTTGTTTGATAATGTATGGGCCGCTTTACAGAGGTTCTGCATATCCAATATCAGTCGTATCAAACTTCATGGTACAAATGGTTGTCGTCTCGGCGCACTCAGTGATGAGGTTTTCTGCTGTTTCTCCATTTTCCCACATAATCTGCAATCGCCGTTATTTCTTAGCTTCAATCTACCTAGGTGTTCGTTGAGGATACAGTGTCCTGTTAAAAACCCCGTGACAATCCGAATATTGTTCTTACTTAAATCAAGAAAAATCTTCGATTTTTCTCGGTCATAAGGTCTGAGCAATTTCTTCGAGTGTCTTAGACCTCTGGAGGATTCTTATTCCAGGTTACGGATAGAGTCTTTCAGGCTCTTGAGTTCCGCTTTAAGTTGGTTTCCACTTAAGAAGCAGAACTGTTCTGGGCCAGTTTGTGAAGTGTTCGCTAATTTTCTAGCTAGATTCTTTGCCTAATTTGTTACGCTTCTCTAGGCATTCTTTGACCAACTTCGAATTGATGGTTACTGAGTTGATCACTTTTAATGCTGCTTGCCTATCGGATAAGATAGCTATTTCTTGTTTCCGATAGTTCCTATCTAAGATAGATTTCAACAAGAATGGACCCTGCAAGACAAAGACTACTTATTAGACTGCAAAAGCAAGAACTAAGACTAAGAACAAGGAAGTCTAGGTCTTGGTATTGTATTAATTTCGAATCTGGTCCATTCTGTACATAAATATCTAAAAAAAATATACTAATCGTTTACGTGATTAGTACATTTTTGCAGACGTGGAGGTGTTAAAATATCACGTTAAATTAAAACAGATTTTAGGAACTCTAATATTTTTTAGAGCCAATTACTATGCTATTATCGCTTTCGATGAGAACAAAACATATTTATAAAGGAAAGTGACGCATGTAAGGCCGTTTATTGATTGACTCTTTTCTCTTGTACGCCATCGTGCGAAGTAAGTGGTGTTTTATGCCGTTAAATATAGAACTTGTTTGCTCTTTCGGATTATTGAGTTTTCATTTCCAATATTTATTAGCAAAATTTCTTTGCTTCCACTGTAATCAATCAATATTTGTCAGTCAATCCCGAGTGTCGTCCAATATTTAAAAAGCAATGTTTTTCTTCTGCGGAATATAGTCAACAGCAAATATTTTTTTTGCTATTCGTAATAAATCTAATGGATTTCCAATAAAGTCAAATATGTTTAGTATTTTTTTATATGACCTCTTTATTTGAACACATGACTAAACTTATTTTTTTTTTATAGAACGTTATAAACCGTTGCTTTAATTTCTTATACATTTCATATTTTTTTAATTTTATTTTAATATTTTTTGATTTAATATTAACTATTTATTTCCATTATTATATTAAAATTAAGCCTTCCAAATTACTTTATACCTAGAAAATAATATTCTCAATAGAAATAAAATAATTGTTTCATTATGTTTTTATTTATTTATTTAAAATATTTTATACTCGATATATTAGTATATACAAAGGCGAAAAATATGACATGGTATTCGAAAAGGCTTCAAAATATTAAATAAACAAATATTTCTTAAATAACAGATTTCATCTAAATGAAAGTTGAGCCCTGAAGAATAATTTGTCCTGTTAGATTTCTGCATCCTATGTGTTTTTTTAAGTTTTCTGCTTTAGTGTTAGTTTCCTTTTTTAACAACTAATTTTATGAAAACCCCATCTCTAAGAGAAAACATGTTTCTAACTAGAGGTTATTCTTTGACTATTTCCATATTTTTCACACTTCCGTACTGCAAAACCTAGTCATTAACCTTTGTATCAAACAAAAGTATGAATTTTATTTACCTAACCTCTAAAAAAAATTGAAAATTTTATTATGCACAGGCTTAATTATTATTGATACATAAACGTAAATGGTAAATATATCCAAAAATAGTATGTAAACATTAAGATGATTCTATAAGCTTAACATTTACATTA